GAACCCAGATATGGACCCTCAACTCTATGGTCAAATAATCTTTGACAAAGCAGGAAAAAACATGCAATGGAAAAAAGACAGTCTCTTCAATAAACGGTGCTGGGAAAATTGGATAGCCACATGCAGAAGAATGAAACTCGACCATTCTCTAACACCATACACAAAGATAAACTCAAAATGGATGTAAGACCTCAATGTGAGACAGGAATCCATCAAAATCCTAGAGGAGAACATAGACAGTAACCTCTTTGACATCACCCACAGCAACTTCTTTCAAGATACATCTCCAAAAGCTAGTGAGACAAAAGCAAAAATGAACTTTTGGGACTTCATCAAGATAAAAAGCTTCTGCACAGCAAAGGAAACAGTCAACAAAACAAAGAGGCAACCCACAGAATGCAAAGAAGATATTTGCAAATGACATTACAGATAAAGGGCTGGTATCCAAGATCTATAAAGAACTTCTCAAACTCAACACCCAAAAAACAAATAATCAAGTCAAAAAATGGGCAGAAGATATGAAGAGACACTTCTCTGAAGAAGACATACAAATGGCTAACAGACACATGAAAAAATGTTCATCATCATTAGCCATCAGGGAAATCCAAATCAAAACCACATTGACATACCACCTTACACAAGTTAGAATGGCCAAAATGGACAGAGAAAGAAACAACAAATGTTGGAGAGGTTGTGGAGAAAGGGGAACCCTCTTACACTGTTGGTGGGAATGCACGTTGGTACAGCCACTTTGGAAAACAGTGTGGAGGTTCCTCAAAAATTTAAAAATAGAGCTACCCTATGACCCAGCAATTGCACTCCTGGGTATTTACCCCAAAGACACAGATGTAGTGAAAAGAAGGGCTATATGCACCCCAATGTTCATAGCAGCAATGTCCGCAATAGCCAAACTGTGGAAAGAGCCAAGATGCCCTTCAACAGATGAATGGGTAAAGAAGATGTGGTCCCTATATACAATGGAATATTACTCAGCCATCAGAAAGGATGAATACCCAACTTTTACATCAACATGGATGGGACTGGAGGAGATTATGCTAAGTGAAATAAGTCAAGCAGAGAAAGTCAATTATCATATGGTTTCACTTATTTGTGGAACATAAGGAATAGCATGGAGGACATTAGGAGAAGGAAGGGAAAAATGAAGGGGGGGGAATCGGAGGGAGAGATGAACCATGAGAGACTATGGACTCTGAGAAACAAACAGGGTTTTAGAGGGGATGGGGGAGGGGGGATTGGTTAGCCCGGTGATGGGTATTAAGGAGGGCACGTACTGCATGGAGAACTGGGTGTTATATGAAAACAATGGATCGTGGATCACCACATCAAAAACTAATGATGTATTGTATGGTGACTAACACAACATAATAAAATTTAAAAAATAAATAAAATAAAATAAAAAATATACATCTATCTCAATGCCATGAGAGTCAACAAAAGGCTAAGGAATTGGCACAGACCAAAAGTGCCTAAAGAGCCATGAAAACTAAATGCAATATGTGAATTTGGATTAGAAAAACAAAATCACTATAAAGGACAATATTAGGACAATTGCCAAAATGTGAATATGAACTGTATGTTGGACAATAATATCGTATCAATGTTCAATATTCTGAATTTGGTAACGGCACTGTGGTTACAGAAGAGACGTCCTTGTTCTCAGGAAATTTAGGGGTAAAGGGACATGATGTCTGCAATTTACTATCAATAAAAAAGAGAATGAGAATAGCCTCTGTGTGTGTGTGTGTGTGTACTTCCTGCCTTAAAAAATACAATAACTGGGGCACCTGGCGGGCTCTGTTGGTAGAGCATGCGACTCTTGATCTCGGGGTTGTGAGTTTGAGCCCCACACGGGGTATAGAGATTACTTAAAAATAAAGTCTTTAAAAAAAAACACACAATAGACTGCAAACAATTTAATACTGCTTGAGTGATTCCAGAGCACGGGGAACTTTGTGTCACCATCCATAATAGTAACTGTGATTGTACAGAAGTGTGAATATGAAAGTCAAAGGGGAGGGGCTGTGTGTGTGTGTGTGTGTGTGTGTAGCTTAGGACATTCTCCTAAATGTGCTTGATTTTTAAATTCTCTTCTAAGCTGCAATTCTTGTCATTTGCCTCTTTCTCCCAGGAATCAAGGGCAGAGAGTTCATTGCAGTTTATACCTAACTAGAGATTAATGTATGACACAGGGTCATGGTGGATTTCTCAGTACTCTGTGGTAGTGTTGTCCACTGGTTCTCAGTTTTTCACTGGGTTGAAACTGAGCTTTTTCATTGCTCTGCCTTTGAATTTGCTAGAAGCTGCCTCAGGCCACTGGCTCAGTAGAGCTCCTGCTGGATCCTCAACTTTCTGAATTACATTAATGCAGTAAAGTGCTTAGTAAAGCACAGAAGAGGACTAATTTAGGTGTCATGGGCACTTATATATTCAGGAGGAGGGAATCACCAGCATGGTGCCTTTTGCTGAAGGAACAGAAAAGAGCAAGACGACTCAAGGGAAGGTCCCTTTCTCCAAGTGTATGTGACATCAGTTATGCCAATGGAGACCAGAAAAGAGCAATGTCTTCTCAAAGCTACTCCAAACCGCAGCAGCTACTGGGGCAGCTACTGGGCCTAGCAACATGTATTTTCCCCACCAGTCGGCTAAATCCAAGTTTAAATGCAAAGTGTGCATTTCAAGGACATTAGGTGGATCTGTGGCAGTGCCTAGAGGCGTCTGGGGCTCTAAAATGGGTCTGAAGAATGAATTGCAGGGAAATAAAAACAACAGCATTTTCATTAGTGACATTCATAATATTTTCACAACATAGAAGAAAACTGGTGATTTCCTGTAGATGAGCATGCTCCGTGTCCCTACGAAAATGAGCACCACTATGCAGAAGTGAGAATCGAGCCGAAAGCAATTAAAACGGTGACATGTCTACAATACCAGGCTTCACAGTGAAGGACAATGTGCTCAGTCTTCTGTTTCCAGCTAAGCGGGACTGTTCGCAACTCAGTTTGAGGACAGCTGTGAGCTAGAGTCTGCTGGGGCAGGTCTTGCCCAGACCAGGACAGTCTCAGTGGGGCCTACTGTGTGGTGAGGGCAAAGGCAGGTCTGAAAGGGTGGATGAAATCACGTGCAGTCTGACATGATGTGGGAGATGGCCCCCAGGGGCACCTTCTTGCAAATCATCTCTTTCCCAGGAGCCTCCTCTTGCAATATATACCCCATCAGACCTTCATCCTACCCCACACCCCTTCATCCTAAGGCATCATCCAGATAAATTATGACCAACCCCTTCCCATTTTTACCTAGCTGGTCCAAGATTTGTGAGGCAGGGCATCTAACAAGCAGTGATTAGCAGATTTCTAAATACTTGACTCCCATGGGGCACAGGATGAGGCAGTCCTCTGAGCTTACATGCATGGCTGTGCCCCAATGTTAGGGTCTGGTATCAGCAGCCTGTGGTTCCAGAGATCCAAAACGGAGTCATGCTTCAAAGTTGCAAGGCCTCACGACCTACGGTCTGTGCCACACTGCTAGTTTGTTTAAACGTTGTATTAAGAAAAAAAATGTTTTTTGATGTAGTGTTCAATGATTCATTAGTTGCGTCGTATAACACCCAGTGCTCATCACATCACGTGCCCTCCTTAAATATTAAGAAAATTTCTAAGCAGATACAGAAGTAGTTAGTTACAAGGAACCTCCGTGAATATGTATCTACATTCAACAATCAGCAATTTTTTGCCTGATTTCACCTAACCACTCCTCCCCTCCTTTTTGCCCTATTTTAAAGGAAATCCTCAACATCAAGTCATTTTATCCAGAAATACTTCAAAAGGCTTCTCAAAAGAATAAGAATGTTGCTCTTATAATTAACAAAATTCACAATTCCTTAACATCTTCTAATATCCTGTCCTCAAAGTTTCTTGGTAGTCCATAAAATGTCTCTTCCTAATGCTTTATTTGAATCAGAATCAAAACAAGGGGGTTACTGTATTATTATTTGGTTTTATCTCTTAAAGAACTTTTATCTCTTTGTCACTTTTGACAGGAGCAATCTCCTCTTGTCCGGTGCCCCTCTCTCTCTACTTCCCTAACACCATTCACAAGGCCATAGAACAAAGGCGGTAATTCTATAGAATGCCCCACCTTCTGCATTTGGCTCACTGCTACCTTGTGGTGCTGTTTAACTTAAATCCGTCATATCATCTGTAGACTATAAGTAAAGTCTTGGATGCAAATTTAATTATGGGGGGAGAGCGGGATTGGGAGAGGGATGAATACCTCATAAGCAGTACTGTGTACTTAATATTGTCTCACATTAGAAAGTGTGTAATGTAGGATTGTCTTGTTTTAGTGATGCTAATGCAGAGCTGTTTGTTTTCAGACTGAAATAAAACATTTCCAGGCATCCAAAATCAAAACTATGAAACAAAGTATGATCAGAGAAGTCTTCTTTCTTTCCCTGCTCCTCCATCTGGTTCCTTTCTTCCTCTTCAAGGCAATGAGTTTTGGGCTTTTTTCCATGGTTTCTTTTTGCAAATATAAGAAAGGCACAAACCTTTTTTACAGAAAAGGTAGCATAAAATATGCAACATACTATATACCATATACCATGTACTACATACCATACGTGTACATTCTGTACCTGGCTTTTTACACCTTACAATATACCTGGATATCACTCCATATCAGCACGTGGAGATCTTACTCATTCTGTTTTCATTTGCAGATGGTTCCATCTTGTGAATGTACTGTATTTCATTCAACAAGTCCTATATGGATGAATAATCTGGTTATTGCCCATCTTTCGGTATTACAAAAATTACTAAAGTAAATAATCTTCTGCATGAGTCACTTTGTATCTTTGCAGGTATATATTTGGTAAAGATTGATGGAAATGGGATTGCCGCTCAAAGGATAAAATGTATGTAATTTCGCTAGTCAATCAAATTACCAACTCTGACATGAATTTACATTGTTTCTCTCATCAGAAAGAAGCCAATAACACATATAACTGTGAAAATTTAGGTCTCACAGAAGTTCCCAACACGCTACCAAATACAACAGAATTTTTGGAATTTGGTTTTAATTTCTTGCCTACACTTGAAAATACAACTTTCAGCAGACTCATAGATCTTATCTTCTTGGACTTAACCAGGTATGTATCTGAGTTCCTTGTCTGTAGTTGATGTTTTACTTATGTAATAACACAGCTTGCATTCAAATTGTTTCCAGGACCTCCTTTTGGGATCACAGGGACACTCTGTCTATCCTGCATGTTTACTCTTTCCCATGAAATGTTTTTATGCAGGTGAAATGTAATATTTAAAAAACCCAGTCAGTGGAGAGAAAAGTGGATTATTTTCAAACTAGATTGCATCAGCAGTGTTAAGAAGTTCTAAGGAATACTGATTTAAAAAAAAAAAAAACTGAAAACAAATCTTGTATTAAATCAGATGCCATAGTTTATTCTTGGGTGATGACATTTTAAGAAAAATTTACAGGAGAAACACATAAGCTACTAACTTTTTCCTCCTCTAAATTGAGAAAAGAGTTCTGTTATTTAATTTTAGAAGCTGAATCAGGATTCCAGATGCTGAATCAGTGTTTATGAACCAATGGACAGAAGTATCACAAGAAAATAAGGGAAGAAAACAGAAGGGAAATACAGCCTCCGTGTGTGTGTGTGTGTGTGTGTGTGTGTGTGTGTGTGTAAGACGGGAAAGGGCTTTGCATGTGGATGGGGTCTGCTTCCCTTGCAGCAGCTCTATTTCTTTGGTGGTTCAACTTGAGCTTCTGCAGAGTGGCAGAGCATTCACATCCCTAAAACTATTTCAACTTTATAACCACCCCTGGGAGGTAGGCATGCTGAGTATCACCGTCCAACTCATGTTCAATGAGGAAATGGAGGCTCAAGGAGATTTTGTGAGTTTGCTTAGGGTCACAGAGTAAGGGAACTGGGACTCTGCTCTCCTGACTCCCAGTCCAGAGGCCCCCAGAGGACCCCAAGCCACCTCCACAGCCAATATTCCACGGGCTGTCTGCCCACACTTTACTAAGACAAAGCCTTGCCCTTTCAGACAGGGACAGAGATCAGTCTACTACCTACCCATTGTGCCCTCGAGACATTTACTTTCTCTCTACTTTATCATTTCTCATTTTTAGATGGAATGGGTTTGACCACATTTCTAAAGACTGCCTGGGGCCAGGAGAGCTTTTCCAGCTAGAGGACCCTAGGTTTCCTCTTCTGTTATTTTCAAACGGTGATACAAATATGATCTCGTACTTTCTAAACTCCCTCTCCTTAGCTCCCCCAGCCCCTGCCTCTTACCTGGCCACCAGTCAGACACTATTTTTATTACTTTATTTTTTTTTTTAAAGATTTTATTTATTTATTTGAGAGAGAGAGAATGAGAGAGAGTGAGTACATGAGAGGGGGGAGGGTCAGAGGGAGAAGCAGACTCCCCGCCGAGCAGGGAGCCCGATGCGGGACTCGATCCCGGGACTCGATCCCAGGACTCCAGGATCATGACCTGGGCCGAAGGCAGTCGCTTAACCAACTGAGCCACCCAGGCGCCCCTATTTTTATTACTTTAAACAGCCACTGTTTCTCTAGCTTTACCAACATGTTTTCTGTTTTCTTTGCTCATTCTTCGTCTTGCTTTTCAGACTTTCTCTTGGAACAATTTTCCTTTTTTCCTGAAGTATCGATATCTAACAATTTCTTTCGTGAAAGTCTGTTAGCAGTAAACTCCCTTGGTTTTTGTTTTGTTTTTCCAAAAATGTATTTCCTGCGTGATTCCGAGTTGGGAGTTGTTTTTCTCAGCCCATTGATGCTGCCGTTCCATTCTTCCCTTGTCACTGTTAGATGGTCACCTGTCTGTGTAATCACTGCGCACACACAGGTAATCTTTCCTCTCTGGGTGTTTCCAGTAGTTTCTCTTTGTCTTGGGCACTCTGTAATATCACAGTGCTGCACAGTGTACATCGTTGGGCTCCTCGAATCTGCAAACAGTGACTTTCATCAATTCTAAAATATTCTAGCCATTATTTGTTTGAAATTTGGTTTGCTCCCATTCACTCTTTCATCTCCTCTCGTTCTCTGATTCATATTGCAACTTCTCATCCATTCTCCATATATGTCAATATGCCCTTTTTGTTTTCTACCTCTTTGGTGGTTTGGACTACATTCTAAGTAATATTTTCACATCTACTTTTAGTCCATTAGTATCCTCTTCAGCTGTGTCTAATCTCTTGTATAAACTGTCCTTGGTTTTTCAATTTCATTAACTTCCTATTTCAGTACATTTCAGTGACTTCATTTTATAAATACATCACATCAGTTTTAATAAATTTTTCCTTCATCATATTATTGGTTCACACTGCTTCCTTTAAACATACCAAACACACGTTTGATAGAAATATATTTATTATATATTCTGATAATATGTATCAGGTATCTCACGTGTTCTTTATAAATCATATACATATTATCAGATATACCTCATAATTCTAGTATCTGTTTGTTTTAACCTGATTCTTTAGAACATTTTTTAAAGGGATTTATATATTTGCATAAGAGAGAAAGCATGAGCAGGAGGGGCAGAGGGAGAGGGAGAGAGAACCTCAAGCAGACTCACGCTGAGCACAGAGGCCAACACAGGACTCCAGGCCATGAACCTGAGATCACAACCTGGGCTGAAACCAAGAGTTTGACGCTTCAGTGCCTGCACCACGCAGACCCCCCTGTAGAACACTTTTTAAACTGACTTTGACTAATTAATTCCCTTATGTGTTCAGGGAAATGTTACTTTGAGCTCATTTATCATTTGAAACTTGATGTAGATCTTTGTTTAAAATACTTTCCTGGAATTAGACAATGGTATTATGGCTATAGAAAATAAGCCTATATTTTTTTGGAGATGCATAATGAAATATGTACAGGATATCTAGGATCCAATTTAAAATAATTCAGGAGGGAGAGGTAGGAACAGAAGAAGCAAAGAAGTATATATGACAAAATCTCGAGAACTATTGCAACTGTGTGATGGATAAATGAAAGTCTATTGTACTATGATCTTTACTTTTATGTAAATTTGAAGGTTTTCCATATTAAAAATTAATTAAGTAGGTACATTACTCCCGAAGAAATTTTTGTTTACTTCTGCCAATTACCTGAAGTCACTATCATTCCGGAGCCACTTGAAACTCAGTTTTCTCCAGAGGCTTCTTTTGGGTGGTCCACAGAGGGAACGTCAACTCAGGCCATGGTCCTTATGAATAGAAGCTTATGGATAGAGACTCTCAGAGGAGGCCTCTCTCATTATTGTTGTTGTTCCATCCAGAACAAGAAAAACTGGCCAAGAAAAACACATATCCTCAAGGTCATCATATATGACCTTTTTTTTAAAGGTCATCCACTGAAAGGTTCCCTTTTGAGGGTCTTGGCGGTTTGCAGGTTTTTGATAGGACCTCCCACCCTGCTTGGACCCCAACCTTTGTCTCCTGCCATGGTGCATGTCATGGCTTATTACAACTCGGGCTCTAGGCCACCAAGGACTGGCACATATTGGCAGATATGACAAAGCTAGCTCTAGGGCTCACTTGCTCCTAGGGATTCCAACTTCTTTTTCTTTTCTTTTCTTTTTTTTTAAAGATTTTATTTATTTATTTGAGACAGAGAGAATGAGAGAGACAGAGAGCACATGAGAGGGGGGAGGGTCAGAGGGAGAACCATCAGGGAGCCTGATGCGGGACTCGATCCAGGGACTCCAGGATCATGACCTGAGCCGAAGGCAGTTGCTTAACCAACTGAGCCACCCAGGCGCCCCCCAACTTCTTTTTCTAAGGGAATTAGAATTCTAAGGAATTCCCTTATTGATCTCCAGGGGAGTTGTGTGTGTGTGTGCGTGCATGTGTGTGTGTGTATGTGCACGTACATGCTCGCACCTATGTGTGATGCATAATCCAGTATTTTCAGATTCAATACCAGGATGAAAACTCTAGTGTTCCATATTTCTATGGAGCATTTTCACATGTATCATTTGACTAACAGCTGTTCTACAAAGTACTCATCATTTCTATACTTTATAGATACAACAAAAGAGGTTGAGATAAGTTGTGATTTGCCCAGAATGACAGAGATACATATATTATATATCATATGTTATATATTATACATTATATATAACATGCTGTAAATTACTTAAAATAGTAAATAGTTGGATTTTGCCTACAATCAAACCGCTAACTGTTCCCTAGATTCTAAACACAAACCTCAGAGAGTTCAATCCAAAGGGGCAAGATGTCTGGAAAAAATTCTAAATCAGAATTTTCAGAATTGAGGCTAGCCATTAATTCAACAGATCATCTGTTGGTACTGAAGAAAGTTTTTTATGTTTTATTTCAAGTAACAATGTATACTGTTTTTACTAAACACAAAAGATGGCTTTGTTAATATCAGGTCACTGATAGTTTTTCTTTTTTCCAATTAATTATTGTTAAATGTTATTACCTTTTCAAGGTGCCAGATCAACTGGGTACATGAAGACACTTTTCAAAACCATCATCAATTGAACACAATTGTGTTGACTGGAAATCCCCTGATATTCATGGCAGAAACATCTCTTAATGGGCCCAAGTCGCTGAAGCATCTTTTCTTAATCCAAACAGGAATATCCAATCTTGAGTTTATCCCAATGCACAACCTGGAAAACTTGGAAAGCTTGCATCTAGGAAGCAACCATATTTCCTCCATTAAGTTCCCAGAAAACTTCCCAACCCAGAATCTGAAAGTTCTGGATTTTCAGAATAATGCTATACACTACCTCTCTAGTGAAGACATGCATGTTCTGGAGCAGGCCACCAACCTAAGCCTTAATTTCAATGGCAATGACATTAAAGGCATCGAGCCTGGAGCTTTCCATTCAAACATCTTCCAAAGTTTGAAATTTGGAGGGACTCTTAACTTGTCTGTTGTATTAAAAGGTCTACAGAACTCTACTACTCAGTCTCTCTGGCTGGGGTCATATGAAGACACTGATGACCAAGACCTTACGTCAGCCATGTTTGATGGACTTTGTGAAATATCTGTTGAAAGCATCAATCTACAGAAGCACTATATCTCTGATATCTCATCTGCCACATTTCGGTGCTTCACTCAACTCCAGGAATTGGATCTGACGGCAAATCACTTAAATGAGTTACCCTCTGGGATTGAGGGGATGGAGGCTCTCAAGAAATTAGTTCTCAATGTAAATCATTTTGACCAATTGTGTCAAATCAATGCTGCCAGTTTTCCATCCCTTACAGACCTCTCCGTCAAAGGCAACATAAGGAAACTTGACCTCGGTGCTGGGTGTTTGGAAAAACTAGAAAATCTTCAGAAACTTGATTTAAGCCACAGTGATATAGAGGCTTCTGACTGCTGCAATCTTCAGCTCAAAAACCTGGCCCTCTTACAATACCTAAACCTGAGCTACAATGAGCCTCTTGGTCTCCAGAGTCAGGCGTTCAAAGAATGTCCTCGGCTAGAAGGTCTAGATTTGGCATTTACCCACTTGTACATTAAGGGTCCACAAAGTCCTTTCCAAAACCTCTATCACCTACAGGTTCTGAATCTTTCTCACTGTCTCCTGGATACTAGCAATCAGCACTTTCTAACAGGCCTGGTGGGTCTCCGCCATCTAAATTTACAGGGGAATCACTTTCAAGATAGGAGTATCTCAAAGACCAACCTACTTCAGACCTTGAGCAGCTTGGAGATTCTTATTTTATCCTCCTGTGACCTCCTCTCCATAGACAAGCAAGCATTCCAGAGCCTTAGCAAATTGAGTCTTGTTGACTTAAGCTACAACAGCCTGACGGGCAATAGCATTGATGCTCTGAGTCATCTTCAGGGAATCTACCTCAATATGGCCGCCAATGACATCCACATCGTCCCATCTCATCTCCTCCCCACCTTGTCCCAGCAGAGCACCATTAATTTAAGTCACAATCCCCTGGACTGCACTTGTTCGAATATTCATTTTATAACATGGTACAAAGAAAACCTGCAGAAATTTGAGGGCTCAGAGGACACCAAGTGTGCGACCCCCCCATCTTTAAGAGGAGCTAAGCTGTCTGATGTCAAACTGTCTTGTGGGATTACGGCCATGGGCATTTTCTTTCTTGTAGTATTTTTATTCTTGGTTGCCAGTCTGCTCATTTTTTTAGTTAAATTCCTTCTGAGGTGGAAATACCAACACATTTAATGCTGAAGGTTTCTAGAGATGGCCAGTCAACGTGTTCAGCGAAAATGTCCCAAGTAAAGGAACTGTTGTCTGTTCCTTTTTGGTCTGTCAGACTTTTCGGACTGGTTCCTGCAGCTGGGCAGGGATTCGCCGTGCTTCTCTGAGTCCGAGAGCTAATGAACCTTCCTGGAACTTAAACTGACTAGGGCTGGGGGGCCCAACCACAGCTGTGAGAGATCCAGAGCCATTCCTTCACATGGAAGGTGGTTGGAGGACCCGTGGCAGGGAAAGGCCAGGAGAAGAATGCACTAGGAGGCCATCTCCCTTCTACTTGTGGGCACCCCTCGAAGCAGCTCCTACCCTGACCCTAAAAGATAATCAACTCTTCCAACTAAGCAGCACTGACAGCCCCACCCCGAACTCTGTCTCCCACAGCTTGGACATCATGCTTGGCTCTGAGTCCTCAGTAAGGCAGTCATTTGAAAAACATGTTGAGGATAAAGTCTCAAAGCTTATTTTAAATGAAAAAGGGGATACACGGTGAATTTAAAAGAAGAGGCCGAGAAATGAATCTTGACATCAAATTGACTTCACTAATCTCCTTAATCCTTAGGTTTCTAAGGCCTCTACAAAGCTGCTAGGGTGCAAAGAGCTACAAAAAAAAAAAAAAAAAAAAAGCACCCCCACCAGCCCCCCATCCCCCAAGGTCTAGGAGTTTAGCTACATTGGCCACCCTCTCTTCAGAACCCTGGAAGCAGCTTCTACCTATCTGGGGTGTTTGCTCTTACATTACAAATCCTACCTTACGCATGGGCTGTGGTCCAAATGCTCTTCTCATTTGGATGTCTGGTCCTTAGAAGCTTCTCTCCCACAGAAACTATGAAATAAATGGTGGTTTGTTTCCCAGGCCAGCTCTCAAAAGTCTGTTCACCTGGGACAGCAATTGAGACAGCACATGTACGTTGAAAACCAGTGGAAGAAAACATTGCTGGACGCTGGCTGTCCAGAACACAATCAGCTGGCTTACTGAGTTTCCGGTGGGGCTGGGGGTGTCAGCAATGGTTATACCAGTGGAAAAGACAGGACAAGACCATTGAATGCAGAGAGACAGAAAGGCCAGGGAAGGGGGAAAGTGTTATGACTTAGGCCTTACAAGGCACAAAGTGTCATTCTCACGTAGGGCTTGATCTTCTGCAGTCTCAATGGCAGATAAGATTGGAACCTCTGGTCCTCAGGTGTTGCATATATTTGGCCTTAAGTTCTATAATGAATTTTAGGCTAGAGGTGGTAACTTAGAGTTATGAAAATCTGATAGGCTATCAAAATAAAATTAACTTTCATATCCAATCGGAATTTGTTAGCCCTTCAGATGAGGGCATAAGAATGGGACATATTAACAGAGTGGAAACGTGGGGAGCAAGCTCTCTTTACGTCTGTATCCCCAAGAACAGCAAGAAAGACAGGAAATAGTGAAGAAATGCCACAAACCTCTACTGCAAATGCTCTGCTAGCCTTAGGGGAATTTTTTTATGTAGTCCTGGGTGGGAAGCCAAGTTTTCTCAGAAGTTCTTGGTTAAGAACACAAGGTGGGGGCTAAGGGAAAGTGAGCGAGGCACTTGCCTTGGGTGCAAAATTTAAGGGGGAAACAAAAAACTCAGTTTTAATGCAGTATTGAATGCAAACTTTAATGAAAGAAATACATGGTAAATAAAATATCAACATTTTTAAAAACAGGATCCATAATAATAGTCCCATGCTGAACCATATTAGAGCTGAGGCAAAAGGAAAAATCAGTAATACTGATGCTGCCCCTATTTAGAATTTTGATATTTTGTTCATGGTTCAAATTTGATAATTTGCATCAGTTTTTTTTTTATTTAGTGTTGCATTAAATATTACCTTCATTACTGAGTTCTTTGGTGCCCCCTTAAATTTAGCACCCAGGGTGGGTGTCTCACTGGCCTCACCCTGTTCCCACCCTGAGGAATGCTAAGAAGTAGGGATTCTCAGCTAACTCCCAGGCCACAGTTCACCCAGGGCCTATTAGCAGGCATGTGATCTCAGTTTTACTCAGAAGCATCTATCCCTTTCCCCTCACTGTCTGGCAGCAGGTCAAAGTGTCCAAGAACTTACACCTTGTTGTCCAAGGTGTTGGTAACTTCCAGCTCCTGGGATCAAAGGCATCCTTCCTTCAAAGCCAAGAGAGGTGGCAGAGATGAATGAGTACCATATCCTCCTGAGCTCTAGGTGGCCTGGACCTGATGAGCGAGGGCAAGCTGAGCACCACTCTGCTAATGAAATGAAACATCACACAATTAGCTGCTTTAATTACCTTGGATATCAGTGCTTGGGAAAACAGGTGCCTGAAAAGGAAGTTTTCCTCAGCTTTCCTGAGGGAGCTGCAATCATTTAAACATGTGTATGGAAGGAGAAAGTAAGTGCTAGAAATATGAGGAGATTGGGCTTCACCCATCATCTACCTTCCTTCCTTCGCCGGGCCTACGATGGTGGGGCACCATTCTGAGAAGGCCAGTTCGAGGCACTGCTGGGTTGGTGTTGGCCTTGAGTCTGGCAGCGACCGAGGCCTTTTCTCACTGAGTCCTGGGCTCAGGAGGGACCTGGCATACAAGTGGGCATGGCTGCCTTGGCCAGGCTCTGTCGATGTGCAGAGTGTGTGTGTGTGTATGTGGGGGGGTCTTCCAGGCAGCTCCCTACACGCTGCTATGGGAAAGTCCCCTCCTTCTGGGGACCTGGAGGCAATGCTGGTTTAAAAGTTCAGGCAGTCAACCCTCCCAAGTCAAGAGAAAGCACCCCTGCCGACTACAGCACCCTATGCACCCCACTCTTTTGCCAGAGCTACTCACCTCTGAGGAGTCGGGGGGGGAAGGGAGCAGGACACACAGTTAATTTGTTTCATTGATTGTGTTCATTTGCTTGTAGCAAATTAGATGATCCTCTCTGGAAACTCTGGGAGATATTCCTGGTAGTGACCCCGAAGATGCAAAAACCATGCTGTTTCCCCCCCCCCTCCCTTCTTTCTCTTTCCTTTTTCTTTCTTTGTGGTGTCCTCCCTTCTTACCTTTTCTCCTTCCCTCTCTGTGCTTCCCTCCTTCTTTGCTGGTCTCATGCTTTCCTTCCTCCCTTCTTCTGTATCTCAGAGTATGGAAGTTCACACTCTATGAATCCCATCTAAGACAGAACCAAGCCACCGAGTTCCCTGTGCATTCCAGCAAATTCAGGCTCTTCCCTGACTTCAGGATTTAAGCTGTGGATAGGAAATGCTAACTGCTGACTTACCACTCCACAGCCACGCTGTCCCCCACAGTAGTTCACGTGTGAGAACAAAAACACAGGTATTCTGTTCAGGATATCCAGGATGCAGATTGCATCATATGAAAGTCGGTGGGGTCCTAAGGCCCAGCCAAATGTAATTGCCCGTCTTGCTTTCATTTATCAGGCGTGCGCCCCTTCCGTGTCATGAAACTTGCTATTCCATAACTGCACGCTGATCTAAGGCTTTGTAACAGCTCCTCTGTTTTAAGCAACAGTAAATTCACCCTGCAAAGTCAGAAAGGGAGCTTTTTTGATAGCTGCTGTCACTTTTATTGCTTTATCCTGGTTACTAGGATAGAATCTGGAGACACGGTGTGTTTATTGGTTTTATGTATCACATGTTGTTACTGCTCTGACAAGCTACTCCTATAAAAATGTGTTATTATTGCATGTTGTAGCTCAGTGAGCTGACCCTGCATTTCAAAGTGTACTGAAGCAAATAGCATTGAAGTCCATAAAAGCTGACTGGCCTCCATCACAGAGGACTCTCTGCGTGAGCTGCAACTCCCACAGTCTGGTGGCAAATTATCCCTTTCCCTGCAGCCAGCAGCCATCATTGCTAACCGAATGCAGCACAGACCCAAACACAGGCATTATCTGTAAAATTTCCGGATAGGAAACTGTCATCTTAGTCCTACTGGTCCAATTCCCCAATAAGTATCATTTGCAATTTTGAAGTTTACCAAAGTATGAGATGAATGGCTTTTAAATGTTTTTGTATAAGATGCAAGAGGGGCAGCGGACATGGTTTTCTCCCTTGACTGCTAAAGAAAAAGTTAACTTGGGTTACAGCAAGAAAGTGTGTGATTAGTTCTAAGCAAGTCACAACTAGGGATCCTGGGTGTTTAACTAGAATCAATCGCGTGGAATGTGAGGAGTTAGAACGTTTAATAGGGGAAGGTGGGGTTAGCTTGAAGGCTGCAGAAGAATGGGCCAGCCAGGTATGGCTCCCAGATACTGATTTATCACCAGAATCATCGGGGGGATTCATTACCAAACAGATTCCTCTGCCCTACCCCTAGATGTTGGAATTGTGTTAGACTGGGTTTGGCTCTAGACTCTAAACCAAATGATTTCATGCGAAATATCCTTCCCTAATCTTAATTTTATCAACCAATAGTGGAGTTGTATGTTAAGCTCCATGAGTCAAATGAGTTGAGGAACTGCTCCATATTCTCTAAAAGGAAATTTTGTAGCAAAATGGGAATAAGGGGCTAAGGAGCCTTCCAATCCAAGGGTGAGACATCCTGGGGCGTGAAGCCTATTAGTCTCTTGCTACAACTGCTGGGCTGCAAGACTCTGCTGCTAAGCTCCCTCGCTCCCCCACCTACCCTCCACCCGTACTCCCATTCCATCCCATCTACTTACAATATGAAATCAGTTGTTGAATAATGCTGGTCTTGAGGAAGGAAAGAACTAATCCACAGATTATTTTTAAAAAGTCATTATTGTTCTTGAAAAATTAAACAGTGAACTTCATTGAACTCTCATCCCCCCCAAATTGAGATATTCTCTAAGCATGTGACTGTTCAAGACAAGGTATTAGATCCCACAAAGATAAGCAGAGGACAGGTGGTCACCAGAGTATCCATCCATCTCCTCCTTCTCCCTGCATGTTCATTCATGGGTTTCCTCAACAGCTTGGGTCTCCCTTTTTTGCTTTCTCTTATCTTTGGAAACAACCTAAATATTCAATCGTAGACGAATGACTTAATAAATAAGGTGATGTGAACATCATCATGTTCTATATTCTTGGGTGGGAAAGGAACAATGGAAACCTGTTGGTATGACTAGGAATTAGAGAAATACAACTTAAAATGAGATAAAGGTTTATATCTATTAGTCTGGCAAAAAAGAACGAGCTGAATAATAGCATCGGTGGGATGTGGGGTTATAGGAACTGTGTGCATGGCTTATGGCTGTAGATGGGTGAAGCCATTCAAGAACCCTGTGACAACAATTAGTCAAGTTAAATATGTGACCCACAAATTCTGCGAGGGTATATTTCCCAAGAAAATCTCACATTTCCACAACAATATTTAGTGCGGCATTATTTATGGAGGGGGACGTTCAAAGCAGTTTGAGTGTTCATCACTGGGAAAATGGGGAGGTACATGTGGAAGACACCCACCATGGGTATTATACAGTCGTCAGAAGCAGTGGGTTAGAAATAGCTATAGCAATGTATTTGAATCTTAAACATACGGTGTTGGAGGAGGTCATCGATAGGACATGACTACTGGTTGACCCATGAGCTGGACCTGCGCCATCAGAGGCTCCTCACACCCTTCCCTGTTCCCGGAATGTACACTCTACCCACCATTCTCACAATGGGAGCTGGTTTGAAGGAGCAGTCTGGGGAGAGCCACGTTCTGTTGATCTGGATGGTACACGTAACTGAACCCTGTTAAGACCTCTATACAAACTTTTAAGATTCTGGCACATGGGTGCAGAGATCTACTTGTCTGTGGCCACCCAAGACAAGCCTCATATGCAAGTTTCCTTGCTTATTAAGTCTGCCACCTACCAATCTGGACTGGTCTGCCTCTTCCTTCCGTTTCTCCTCCCTCTTCAGGTACAGAGGCCAGTTTGTGAACCAACATAGAGAGCTTGATGGGAAACAAACAAACAAACCCCAAATGACATATTAACACAATTATTTTTATACATTAAAAATACACGCATACAAAACAATACCAGCGTTTTGTAAGAACACAAAAAGATAAACCATTTAATTAACATGGCTGCCTAGTGGGTGGAAGGGGGGATCAAAGGAAGTGTGGGGATAGATTCAATGAACTCTGGCATAAACTGGCTGAGAACTGGAGAGCAAGACGACCTCAATCGTCTACATCTGGGGCTCCCTGCCGTGAGTGAAAGCAATATGGCACGTCCATAAAACGAAATGCCATGCAGCCATTATGAATAACATTGCAGAAGCATATTTATAGATATTGAAATATATTTGTGATTTAATACTCAACCAAAGAGGTCAGCAAACATCATGTCCACTGTTATTTCAGTTTTTTGAAAAAATTAAAAACCTATATACATTGAAGAAGGACAGAGTGGCTGGTGGATTGCAGCAATTCATTTTTCTTCTCCTCTGTATTTTGAATTTGCCTCCTATGACCATGTTAGGCAACGAAAAGGAGTTTCATTGTTTAAGAAAGACTGCTTTTGTTTCTACAGAGGGACAAGAAGAATAAAGAGGTTACTGGTTGTGAGAATTTATAGGTACTGAAAAAGCAGGCAGGCCTTTGCCTAAGGTTCTGTGTTTTTAAATACTAATCGTCAAGCCCAAGGTTTACCAGTTGCTCTTTGAGGTCAGGGAGCAAAGAGTTGTTCTAAGGGTGCCCATGTGAACGAAGCAGGAGGCTGAGGAGCTGGGGCTCACACCACAGGCCGGCACCCCACTGATGGATGTGGGTGGGCATCTGCAGGAATCGCCCTACTCCCCCAAAGAGTCAATCTGTCTCCAGCCTGGGAACGTCACTTCACAGCACTGTGTAACACAATGAGTGTATTCCGGAGGGACAGAATCTTCAGGCAAAGGATTTTTATTTAGACAGCTTAGGGCTGGAGGTTATGGCGATGCCAGGCTGACATATGAAGCCCCGGTAAATGCAACATGCTTGCTTCAGGCCTCGCAAACAGCTTCATCCTTCACCTCCTGGCTACTGACAGCCGTCTCCAGGCCATACTTAATGACACAGGAGATGAGTATTTGTTAGAGGCTTTCTGCTGCATAGTATCAATAGACTTTCTGCAAAGCGGTGTGTGGCAAGACCTACTAACCATATACACCAGATCTTTCTTTTCTCGACATCCAAACAAGCTTGACTGGCACGTGACGGAGGACACAGGGAACTCAAGTTTGGGGAACAGATTCCCTTTTAGAAGCGCTTGCCTGCATCCATGTGTTGGGACTGACCGTCCCCATGTCAGCCTGCGACAAGAGAGGGCCACCTTGGCTTTTGGAACACACGGTCCCAGAAATCAGTGGGATGTTGTTGTGTGTTTTCTGTGAGGACTGGTGCTGAGATTCCAGTCCACGGTCCAAGAAGTCTGAACTGCCAGAATACTTGAATCTGGGCCAGACTGACTTTCAATATGCAAAATATAATGAAGCCAAGGTTCAACAAAGCTGTGGTCATGTCTAGCTTTTGTAGATACCTAAGACATGGAGAATATTCATGGGGGAAAAGCTAGAAAAAGAGAGGACTAACACAAATCATTGCTTTTAGAATGGGTTAAAACCATACTGGTAGGTGGGAAATTAAATTTAGAGAGCTGCCCTACCCTTGAGTTGCTTCATGCCTGGCCTGTATTGAAGGAAACAGATTTCTGTAGTTAATAAAGCTACACTTCCTCATGTTACATTTGTGTTGTGAACCAAAAATGCTAGATGGGAAATTGCCTACTGATTGATTAGAATTAATAAAGGAGCCCTAATACAGAGAATGATTAGCTGCCTTGGCTCGTGGTTTCCCACCAATCATCATTTAATTTTGCACCATATGATTTTTCTGCATGTAAAGAGACAACGAGATGGCTTTAAGCATTCACAGAGGGGCCCAGACCTGAATGCAATCACATGACATCTGAACATATTTAGAAAGGTCAAGAACTTTAGAGCCAGAAAAAAAAAAAAAAATCTGGATTCTAACACAAGCTCTCTTCACAGGGTGTATATTAAACAAACAACATAGTCTGTCTGGGCCTGTTTCCTCATCTGTAAAATAGGGATGCTGCTACCATCTGGGTTGGGGCTCAAATGACATGGGAGATGAAAAGCATCTTGCCCAGCGCCACGCATGCATATACTAGGTAATATATGTATATACGAGGTAGACAACAAATGTTAGGCTGCATCTTTCATTCCTGGTGGTTTCAGCGGCTTTGATTACGAGGAAAGAGAAAGGAAGGGAGGAAATGAACGAAGACAGGGCACAATGCTAATTGATGGAGGAAGGTTTTAGGAGAAGTGAAGTGAAGGAGATGGTGTCCCTGAGGAAGAGACTGCACAAAGACAGTGACCGTGGTGTGGAAGCTGGTAAGTTCTGCAGGCAAGGAATAAGGTTGGGAGAAAATGTAGGAAGGCATCATAGGAAGACTTAATCTTCAGGAAGAGAACAGTTGTGTAAGTTAAGAAAACCATCAGGGGCACCTGGGTGGCTCAGTCAGTTAAACGTCCACCTTCGGCTCAAGTCATGATTTCAGGGTCCTGGGATTGAGCCCCACGTAGGGCTCTCCACTCAGCGGGGAGTCTGCTTCTCCCTCTGCCTGCCGCTCCGCCTGCTTGTGCTCTCTCATTCTCTCTCTCCCTCAAATAAATAAAATCTTAAAAAAAAAAAAAATTAGCAAACCATTCCCCTCCATAAAAAGCAATCTGCAAAGCCCCATACTTCCAATAATATACAGTTATATTCAGTAACACTGTAGAGATGTGTATATTTAAGAAAAGAACATCTTAGTCATTATCTTTTCATGCTAAATTTTTATTTCAATGTTATGCAACTGCATAAGTATAAATATTTGTTCCATATACAACAGTTATGACATCCATAGGGAATTTCTTAGAGAAAATAAGACTGCAAACACTTTATTGCACAGATCCTAACAAACTTTGAAGCTGGTAAATCTACAGCTGGGAGTACTACCAAGGAGCACATCTTACAATCACAGGAGACTGACCAAATAGAACACAGGAGAATTTCTACCAGCTGACTGGAGAGGTTTACAACAACAAACAGGTATTACATGAATGCAACCTTAAGTACTCTTTACTCATCCAAAATGCAAAAACGTATTTGGCAAAAATGATAATACACTATACAAAATATACATAAAAATATCATTTGTAAACAAGCAGCTAGTTGTGCTTTAAAGGAAACTGGACAGTTAAAAAGCAAAGGCTATAAACCTTGAACTACATCCCCGATAGACCTGCCGTGGTGTCTGAGTACAGAGGACCGGGTTATGACAACCGCCAAATACAGATATGAATTATAAATGTTGAGACCACTTTGGAAACCCACGTGAGTTCTTTTAGAATATTTGTTTCTTCTACAATTTCACAATGTAGTGATGGGGAAGAGCTAAAACTACATGGGGAAAAAAAAATCAGGGGCAAGGAGGAGACTTTTTTTTTTTTTTTCCATTGCCAACTCATTGTACAATGAAGGACAACCAAGTAGTCAGTTAAGTTATGCCTTTGTTTTTTGGAGAAGGGTTTACAGCCTTGCTTAAATAATTTATAATCCACAGGCTGTGCTTAGAGGAACAATTTTATAGCTTGAAGATACTAAGACATCCGAGGGGGTTTGGGTGCTGACTTAGTATTTATTGGTAAATTTTTTTTCTCTTAAAAAACAAAATGAAATAGCCTGCTATGGATCCCAAACATCTTATAAAGACTTATCTGTGTGTATTTTCTCTTAGTGCCTTTAGAACTTATGTCAGCAAGTGTCGTCTTACAATACAAAACAAGCCACCAGGACAACTGCAACAAAAACAAACAAAAAAACCCCCTCAGCACTAAAATGATTTGACGAATTCTACATATCCCATGGTATACAAAATTTAAATAAGGCTTAGCAAAAGTAAAAAGGACACATTCAAGCACCAAATAGCTCCACCAAGTCTTTTTGTTAAAAAAATGCTGCTCTTTATTAATACAGTATTTTTTTTTTTTTTGCATACAAATAAAGAGATCGTGTTATGTAATGTATGGAGCTACTCGATGCGTCAGAAATGAATGTGAAACCCAGGAACTTGCTAAAAACAGCAAGCTTCGTCTACAACATAAGGCCCCAGCTATGTATTAAGATGTATCTGATGTCCTGATTATTCATTAATATATATGCTATGATGCCAAAATCTGCCCCCCTTTCCCCTCAAAAAAGCAATTTAAAACCTCTTCCAATGCCTGATCCTTCTTAATCGATTTAAGTACTCTCAGATTTGTGTGTGGCCAGGAATTTTCCTTTTTGTTCAAGAGCAGGGCTGGTGCAAAACTACTACAAGATGTGTGCTTCTTGGACTAGTGACTCATAGCATAAAGGCCTGAGTTTAAGAGCATGAAAAGAAGGGAAAGTAAGAGAAATAAAGTTGACGTGTGTTTACAGCCCCCGCTACAGCAAGGGTGAAGACCCCACATACGCGCCCGCAGACAAGGACAACTGGCCTTTCAGACAGTTGGACCCAGGATCAGAATGTCCACTGGGATGGCTGTGAAGTGAGAATGGTTCGCTCCCTTGGCTCCGGCCATTCCTAATGGAGGAAGATTCCAAATGCAGTGATTAGAGTAGTTCTTACTTTCAGATCTGGAAACACAGGTAGCCAGATACAGTACTACCAAAGTCTCTCTTGAAAAATACACACAAAAACTCACCATCTACTGTATCTAGGACTTTCTTTCACCTTTAACTCTACTTAGAATGTTTCAACTTAGAAAAATGTAGCTTCATTGAAACATTCTCTTAAAACCACAGACCAAAAAACAGGTGGGTGGATGCGTATAGACGAACAGGAGCGTAGCTATACTGTTCCATACACCCAATTTTAACCGTTTTGCTTCGTTACTACGTTATGGTAAGTGGTAAAGCAAAAATCTTAACTGGAAGAAAGAAAGAAAAAAAAAAGCGGTGGTAAACAATGCAATCAGCAGCAAGGTACCGGCTCTACATCCCAAACCAAACACATTGCTAGGTATTTACAGAGAAGATCTTTTTCCTCAACAGCCCTCAACTGTAAAGGTCTTTGTCGTTGCTGTTTGTACAAACACTATCTGGTACAGTTTCACCGGTAACAATCGGGAAGGCAATTGGAAGAAGGTCCCCTCTGTCTGTCCGACTTGCTGCCTTTCTCTCCCTCTCCCCGCCCGGCCGGCGGCGGCGAGGCTCCAGGCTCTGCCCGCGCGCGTCCCCGCACCGTGCTGGTTTCGGAAGGGAGTCGAGGCTCGGGTCCACATTCAGGTCGGGTCTCCCCAGTGCGGCCTGGGGCCGGGCCCATTACGGGGCCTTTTTGTGAGGGCTGCCACGCACACTCTCTTTCCCCCGCCTCTGCCGGACCACAAAGTCCTTCTCAGAAGAAAGGGCGATGGGCCGCTCCGGGTTTGGAGCTGGGGACGCCTCGGTGACTTCTCTGCCCGTGTTCTGCTTCCGAGTCTGAGGGGGCTGGGCCGGGGCGGGCTCTCTGCCTTTGCTTTCTCCCACGGGGGCAGTTCCCGCCAGGGCCCCGTCCCGGCGGCCGGCGCCCCCTGCCACACTGGGGCCCGGGGGGTGCAATTCCAGAGTGACGGCGGGGCTCCGAAAGGATGGCAGGGAGTCGCTCTTGGTCACGGCGGTTCGGCCAGCCCCACCAGGCAGGGCCCGAGCGGCAGCCCCGCCGGCCCGGGCGGAGGACGCGTCGCTGCCGCTCGCAGCGGCCTCTCGCGCGCCGGGCCTGGCTTCGGGAAAGCTGGAGGAGTGGCTCAGAGGCTTCTCCGGGAGGGCCGCGGGCCGCGGACAGCTCTGCCCGGGGGCCGAGGGTGACCGGCTCATGCCACCCCCGGGCTTGCCTGCCTCGGCCGGCGGCTTCTGGGCACTCAGCCCTCGCCCCCTGGCCTCCGGCAAGCCCTTCCCCCCGGCCGCGGCCGGCCTCTCCGCGCCCTGCGGCCGGGCCTCGCCGGGCGCCGGGGGAAGGCTGGCCTCGGGCTTCCCGCTGCCGGCCGCCACACAAGGCGCTTCGCTGCACTGCCTGCCCTCAGGCCTCCTGCCGGCGGCGCCGGCCGGCGAACCCGCACTCTTGTCTGCCGGTCTGCACAGAGGTGGGCAGTCTTTCACAGTGGACGGTCTGGGGTGCTTTGGGGACGGGTCTTGCCTCTCACCGGCAGCGGCGGGGGGCCGGTCTGCCGACGCCTCAGCTCCGGGGTGTCCTTGCCACGGCAGCCGCGCGGGCTTCTCCAGCACGTCGGGGGGACGCGCGCCGCTGGCGGGCCTCGGCCTGGTGTCGGCAAGACCCCCTTCGGTGCGCGGCGGGGCGGAGGGTCCACCCCCCCGCTGGCTCGTCGCATCAGCGGCCGTGTTCTGGGAGCCTGGGAGGGCGGGGAGCGCATCCAACACGCCCTGGCCGCCGCCCTTGCCCTCTCGGCCCGGGCCCCCCGGCGGCGGAGCCCCAGGCTCTCTGCCCGCTGCAGGCCCACCGCCCGGCTTCTGGGAGGAGGGGGCCCCGTCCGGGCGCTTAGACTGCGGAGGGCTCGGGTCAGGGCCAGGCCTGGGCTTGTGGCCGCCGCCCTCGCTGTGCGCTGCGGTCGGCTTGGGGGCGCCGTGGAGGCCCGGGCCGGGCTCGGCAGCACCAGGCCCGCCCCCCGGCTCCCTGCCCGAGGAGTGGCTCGGCCGAGCGGCCAGGCCCGGCAGGTCTCTGGTGACTGCGGCGGGCTGGGGGCTACCGCCCACGTGCTTCTGTAGAAGCTCTTCCTTCCTCTGGGGCTCCTGGGGACGGTCTTTCTGCCACGCTGCGCAACCAGAGAGCGGGTCTCCTTTCCCATTCTCAGTGCCGGGGGGCTGCAGGGACCGCCGGGCAGGAGGGGCTTCGGGCGGGGGTTCCGTACCAGCCCTTCCTCTGCCGGGCTCCCTCTCGGAAGGAGTCCCTGCGGACGGCGAAGAAGAGGAGTCCTCCCTCGCCAGCGGCCTCACCTCAACCCGGCCGTCTCTGTGGCCTGTTTTCCCACAGGGCCCCCATGCGTTCTCCGTGGGCGTGGGGTGGGGCTGAGTGTAGCCGTCGGGGCGGGGCCTTCCCCCAGAGGGGGCGTTTCTGGAGCCGTCGCTGGTCTTGGCAGCTGCTGGAGGACACACCTCCACGGAGGGCTCTCCGCGGGAGTCGGGCCCGGTAGCGGCCCGCTGGCCTCTGGCTGCGGAAGGGCCCCTTTCAGACGATTCCCTCCCGCTCAGCTTCTCCCTCGAGGGGGCGCCTTCAGGTGGCAGCAGGCTGCGTGACCTGGACGGGTCGGCACCGTGGGGGTTCGGCCCCAGGAGGGGGAGGAGTTTAGTGTCGGGGCTGTGGTCTTGGTGTCTGCTGGGGCCCCCCTCTCTGTGCTGGAGATCGCTTTCCGTGGCTGCCACGGGGCTCCTGGCAGCATGGGAAGCTTTCCTGTCCCGCTTTAGCTCAGGCTCAGGCAAGGGAGCTGCTGGTGAATTCTGGAGACCCCGGCTGGAGGGCGGGAACCGGGACTCCAGCAGGTAGGACTTGCTCATCCTGAAGCTGGCAGGGGAAGGCTCCCTCTGACCGGCCGTGTCACCCTTCATGCCCCCGCTGCTGGGGAGAGCCGGTGGCACAGAGGGCCCCACCTCACTGGCGGGGCTGGGGCTCTGTGCGGGCTCCGGGGACGGCAGCTCGGTCTTGGAGGCCTGAGGTCCAGACAGGAGAGCAATATCCAAAGTGCCCTCAATTGGCTTCAGGCAGGACACAGACCTACCTTCCAGCTTATACTCGGAGGGGCTTTTGCGGACAGGTGACTCGGGAGCAACCAAGCCCGGCTTCTCCACTCCACCATCCACCCGGCCGGCTAGGGCCTTGAGAGGGACAAAAGAAACAGCACTGATCTGCGTCGGGTGGGCACTGCTGATGAACGCTCGGCTCTCAGAGGCCGGCAGGGCCTCCTGCTGTGCACCCATGGCCCGGACTGGGTTCCCGGGCAGGCTTTCGTGGGCACTAGAGGTCATCTTGGGCTTGAGCACAGGGCACAGGCTGTCGTCTTTGTCTTCAAGTGACATTTTCTTTCGGAGGTAATCGATGTTGGCCAGTTTGCTGTCTAACTTCTCACATCGGAGACACTCCTTGGCCTGGGGGGCCTTCTCCAGGTTGTCCCCCTTCACGGAGCTGGACCTGTCCGTGGAGTGACAGAGAGTGTCCTGGAGGGTGCTGGGAGCAGAGGTGCGCTTGAAGTCACAGTTGCCCTGGCTGTGCTCCCCAGGTGCCAGGACTTGGCCCGTCGCTGCCCCTTCCGAGGTCACCCCCTCGCTGGCCCGAACGCTCGCCTGCTTGTGAAGAGCCCCTTTCAGTAGACTGCCCAGGGACTGGGTCTCCTGCAAGGCCACTTTGTTTTCAAAATGATTTGACCTTTCTAAAGCCTTTGGGTATATCTTTTTCTCTCTCTCTTCTAGCCGAAAAGTCGAGAGGTTCTCTAAATCACTACCAAGTCCATGGGATTTCTGGTGGGGTTCCTGTTTCTCTGGGAAGCCCTCTGGTTTCTTCACTACCACCTTGGCCTTCAGCTTCTCTCGGTCCAGCTCGTCCACAGACTCCTGTCTCCCCAGCTTCCGGGAGACGGGGCGCTTCAGGCAGCCTTGCTCCACAGGCCTGGCGCGGCTGAGCGAAGGCGCCTCACACACACTCTCCTCCAGGCTCTGCAAGGTCACTTCCCGCTGAGGCTGCTCCCGCTGCGCTTCCTCCTGGGTCACCTCCAGGCTGTGCTTGCGGGAACACAGGTGCTTTTTGTCACTGCCATAGGAGGGGGAGAGCTTCTCCTCTGACTGCACGCGCTTGAGCAGCGGGGACCTCGGGGGCTCTGCGCTCTTGGGCCTCACAATATGTCTGACGATGGTGGGAGGGGAGTGCATTTTGCTGGGAAAGGCCTGAGCGATCTTGGGATTGCCAAGGGAATGTCCCAACAGAGGGGATGGTGACCGCTGGGGGGAGGTGGGCTGTGGCGTTGGAGAGGGGGTCCGGGCCAGCGGGGAGAGGGGGATGCTGCCAGCCGACTTCCGCCTTCCGGACCGGTAGCGCTGTCCACTGAGTTTGGGGGCCAGACCATGGAGGGTGCTGGGCCGGATGTGTCCTGACCCCGCTGGGGAATTGGGGGCGCTAGAGCTTGGGGAGCTGCTCTGAGAGGAATTAGTACCTGTGGGTAGAAAACAGAAAGCCGTGAGCAGTGGACTCCTTCCCTTTTCTTTCCGTGCTTCCAACCCAAACTCTTTTAGATCAGGTCCGATAAAGGTCAGAAAATTGTCTTAGCATTTAACTCTAATGAATACACGCTTTTCAGATAAATCTTCCCCACATCAGGGTTCAACCCACTACTTCCTGCCTTAATTAGGTCTACATAGCCACATCTCATGACTGCCCTATAAATCCTGTTCGTTGCCATCTACATCCTCAACCATCTTTCATTAAGTGGAATAAGCCTCCTGTCCCTCAGGAGCTCAGATGGTGATTCTGACCTCCTCTCAACTCTCCCTTGCTGTGTGGGCCAGGAGACTCACTCACCGGATGGGAAGTCGGGGGTGGAGCGATAGCTGGGCGTGGGGGACCGGGGAGACAAGCTGTGAGTGGGGGAACCCGGGAGGCTCTCCCCTGATGATAGGGACCGGTTCAAGCAGGAGAAACTTCGGCTGGTGTGGAGCAAAGGAGAAGGTTGCTTGGCTAGTTTTTTGAAAAGGGATCTTCTCCTAGAGTGAAAACAAAAGAAAACTGATTAGATTCTACATCTGGGGCCACCCCTGTCTCCCCACAATACCCGTGTAGTCAGTTCACACCTCTGGGCGAGGGACAGCGGTCTGGTGGCAGATCCTACACTAAGGCGTAGGTACCCACTTTCAAATTAAAAACCTTCTTATGACTTAGAAAGGAAGAGTCTTTGATAGTATACAACGGAAGCTCTCTCAATTCCAAATACTTTAGGATGGGCTGAGAAAGTAGGAAAAATACAAAATACATGAAATAAGTATTCATTTATTTATTTGTCAGGTTTATGAGGAGGGCATTCTTTACCCGAAAGAGTCTAAGCATGCACTCTCAGACACAATGACACAATTTAATTAAGAAATAATACAAAGTAAATCTCTGGAAGAAAAACCATTATCTTGGATATAGAATTCTTTAATGGTGATACGCTGGGCAGAGGCTTTATCTAGGAGGGGCTGTTTGCTGTGCTTATTCCACCGTGGGCTCTTGAAAATTCCTAATGACAATGTAGGCTGTACATTAACATAGAAAAAGTGAGAAAGGTGAACTGAAGCTTATCGTATCAGCAGGGCACCAGACACTATGCTGCAGCAGAAGCAAATGTGTATTTAGTGCTCAACAAGCATATCTTAAAGCAAAAAAAAAAAAAAAAAAAAAGCTTCAGACGGCTTAGAAGTGCAAGTGGCTGTAGAGAGTTCTTTTACCTCTGCCATCATGCAAGCCTCACCCACCCCCAGTGAGCTTAAGCAAAAGTTTAAACACTGCTGCCCCTTGGAAACAGTGCTCTGTATGACTTAAAGCATAATCCAAATTAATCCAAATATAAAGCACACATTAAAAAATATATAAATCACTTATTTATCTAATAAAGCACATATCTCAGAACTCATGTGTTTAATTTTAATCAAAGCAATACATGTACTTGGGTTAAACAATTACATCATTTTATACAGTTCATAATGAAAAATAGCAACTCTGCTACTCTGCCCTTGGCCCAGTCGCCTGAGAAACCACTTTCTACTCCTTTAGCTGTTTCTTCTCCTATTTGTCTGCATATTGCTAAGTAATCTCTTTATGCTATGTTTTCATTTTTCAGTTTTAGAAACTATCTATTGATTTCCTAGCAGAGAAGATGAGGATGAAGCTCTTACACAAGCCCCCTTCCACCTTCTGACCAAATACACTTCCCTTTTTCTATTCCTCCCTCTAGAGCTAAACCAAAACTTTCGGTTAGAGAAAAGGGTGGCCTTTTTTCCCCTCTATTTTATATTATAAATATTGTTCACAGCTGGGCTATGCAAAGCATGATTCCATTTCCTTTCTTGTATGCTTCTGTCTTTCCTGGACTTAATAAGCATTCTTTTTTCATTTACTTATTTTTCCACATTTCTATCACTAAAAATCCTCTTAATACAATCAGACACATTAGATCCAAGTGGGCAAAGGAGGGATGCTTCTGTGGCGTCACGTGGGGAGCCCATCCAGACAGTTGTCTGGCGAGAAATGTCCCCACCTCAAACACATACACACATTTTGCCAGTGTGTGCAGAGAGCACAAAAAGACTCACAGTGCCTCCCCGATTGCAAATGTGTAACCCAGTTAGATCTTCAGTCAGTAAAACAAAACTCCTTTATTTTTAGGCTTATTTGGATGCTTTAAAGATATAGTTATTTTCTAGTATCTGCCACTTAAAAATAGCAATTGTATGTTTTTAGATAATGTAAAGGGCATTATTAAATGTAGATTTAATGCTAAAAACTGCCTGAAGATCCAGTGCCTTAAATCCAACTCACTTGAAATGAAGTCTAGAGGCTTAAGAAACAGCAAAGGGCTTTTCATGGTACTCACACAGGGGAAAAAAAGCAATCTGAATTTTTCTATGATGTAACTATGTAAATCTTTTCATTGTGAAAAATAATGCTATTATGAATGTGAACTTTAATGTATAAATATTTGAACCACAGCATGAAATGTCTCACAGAGCAATGGATCTTTCTCACATATAAGTGTTTAAATTAAGTAAGGGTAAGCTTCCTCCGACATGGGTATATACCAAACTCACAAAAATACTGCTGTAACTAACCTTTCTAGACTTTCTTTCTTCTTAGATTTCTTGCTCCGCCTCACCATCCGGCTCTTATAGCTGTTTCTCCTCGCTGGTCCCGTTTTGATTGATGTGTTTTCAAATGGGGTAGTAGTGATTGACACCTTATTTCCACTCTATAAAAAAAGTGGGTGGTATTAAAGGGAAACTCTGGGAGGAAATAAGATCAGAACTGGGCTAGGAGATTCAAAGACAAAGATACCTAAAGACATATGTATAAAAGCCTTCCATTTCTAAGTAACCTTTTAAGCAGTGACATCCTGACAGAACACAAAGGGTGGAGGGCAAAATGACAGGTTGCTTTAAGAGGGCAGGCTCTGGACTCCACAGATGTGAGTTCAAATCCAAGTCCGGTGACCGCAGGAGGTTGCTCTTCTCTCTGCCTCAAACACCTGCACTATCTAACAGCGGAATCATACCTATCTCACAGGGGCTCATGTGAGGATTCCATGGGATGGAGTTAGTAAAGCCTTCAGCACCGAGTGTGACAGGTGGAAAGCACTCTATAAATAAGAGTTATCTTCATCCATATGTATTAAGTATAAATGTGCCCAGGGGCTGTCTGTTCTTGGTTGATTTATTTTTCTTTTTTCTTTTTGTGTTTTTCCTTTGACCTAGAAATCACAGACTAGCAAAACTGAATGAGACTTTTATTTTTAATTATTTTAAAAGATTCCTTTTCTGTCACCATAAAACTTGTCAGCTTGCCGAACTGGAAAGTCGATGCCAGTGAGTATAAAACAGCCTCTCTTTAACCAGGTCACGCATCGTAAGGTAACTCCTGGTGGATTTCTGGGCCTTTCACTCAGTGCTGGGACAGGGCTTGCTGGGCAGGCCCTGAGGGTAGAGAGGAGAGTGGAGTCAGAAGCCGAGCCGAGGGGTGCCCAGGGCAAATGGTAGGACTGATCCCCTTCACTCCTGCATCAATGACCTCTTCTTGAATTTCTTAATAACCAGGGGAGAAACATGTCCTTTCAAAATCACAGATGGCCCTGATTACCTTGAAAAGACAAGAAGTATAAGGAGAAGGGTCTTTCAAAAGGCCTAAGCCTGGAAAACACCTAGCAAGTCAGCTCTAAGCGGTACTAAGTGATGGGGGAGTTAAGTATGGTGGGGGCAGGGGACCAAACCAATGAGGACTGACTGCTTTCATGTTAACATCTATGCCCCCATTCCAGTTTGGGAAATAATACATGACATCATAAGAAGTAATTGTAAAGTATAAGTAAAAATAAAAATCATTGAGAAACCTATCACTCAGCTAACACTGATAATATTTCAGTATATTTCTTGATCTTTTTTCAGGCATGTATAAATTATGCACATATATGGACATACTTCATAAATAATTTTAATCTTAGTTAATCTAATATTTAGCTTTATGTTGTTTTTCCATTTCACATTATATAACTTGAAAAACCTTCCCTGCATCATTGAATGTTCATTAAGAACATAATTTTTATTGGCTGTATAAATAATATTCCAGGAGATGGGTGAATCAAACCTTAAGTATTTCCATACTGCTATTGTTTTCTACTTTTCAGTTCTTTTATGAGTCATAAGTACCCTTATCTATAAATCACTGTCCTAATCTCTGTCATTTTCCTTAGATTACATAATTAGAGTCAATGCAGCAAATCAAAGGCTCTTTCCAAATTTTTTATAGACTCTTGGTCCATACTAATACACTATTTTCCAGAAAGTTTATGTCAATATGTATTTTTGTGGGCAGCACATAAATATTTTTTTAAGATTTATTTGAGAGATAGAGAGATTGAGAGAGAGAGAGCGAGCAAGGGGAGGGGCAGAGGGAGAGGGAGAGAGAATCTTAAGCAGACTCCATGCTGAGCTTGGAAGTCTACACAAGGGTTGATCTCAGGACTCCATGACCTGAGCCAAAAGCAGGAGTCAGACGCTTAACTGACTGAGCCACCCAGGTGCCCCCATAAATACCTTTCTTACCACAGGTTTGTCAGAACTGAATATTAACATTAAACAAATGACCAATTTTATACAAATAAGCTCTATCAAGTTTTAATCTCCGTTCTTTGACAGTGTCTCATTTATTTTGGTCATTTCTATCTCTTCAGGAGATGGTCTGTCCATGTCTTATATCCACTTTAGAATCAGCAAGTCTTAGTATTTTATGACTGATTTTTAGAGTTTTTTGTATATTTAAGACATGAATTCCCACACCTAATGTCCTAATTGTAAAAAAATATTTTAGGGAAATAGGATTCGAACTGAAACAAAAGGAAAAAAAATCATTCTGAAAGAATAAACTGTATGTTCTACATGCAAATGCCAAAACTTTAAAGAATAAACCTTCATCTGATGGTAAAGACTGACACTCTATTTCTTGTTTGAACAGAACATTCAGCTTCTAAGTATGAAAGGCCTGCCATTGGAGGTTGTTTGGAATGGGATCTTCTCTTCAAAAATTGAGGGAGGTCATGCTAAAATGTAAGTTTGTCCTGCATGCCTTAGGTGAATGAAAAGAGCAACCAAGATGGATGGAATTCATCTTTCATTGTGGTTCTTTCAACCCTTTTCCATATTCCTACATAGACGGGACACAGAGAGCCTTCATGACCATGTGGTTCTTTCAACCTTTTTCCATATTCATATACAGATGGGACACAGAGAGCCTTCATGACCACTGAGGCTGTCCTAGTATGTGAGTCACTGAACCTGAGTCCAATTCTACCCTTTCTAGCATAATTCACCACCGGCCTTCCTATCTTTATCTATAAGTGGTTAACAATGTCACGCAGGCTTTTTAAAAGCGTATTTTGAGCATTAAAGTGTTTTTCACATATATTCTCTTATTTTATTTTCACCACCATGTCAGGAGGGCTGTTTTATTTTTTTACAACCTGGTGAAGTGGGAAAGAATTGTTATCCTTGCATGAAAGATGAGGAAAACAGATTCAGGGACACTGGGTTTTCTTCTTCCCAAGGTCCCAGAGCCCAGTTTGGAAGAGCCCACCCCTGGCCCTCTGCCTCTCATCTCCTGTGCCCACTCATCATGGGCATGGCGTGCCCTGGTCCTCCACCTGTCTTGCTCCCAGCAGAGTACATGGCTTGTACTTAACGAGTGGTGGTGAGGGAACCAGGCATTGGGTTAATATAGTTCGGAATGATCAACGTATCAGACTATCAAGAAGAAAACAAAGAAATATAAAAATAGCATAAACATTTTAAGAAATAAACATAAATGATGAACATATCTCATCAGAAAATAGTTATGACCAGGGTTTTTAAATCAGAGCACACCACTGAGCTCTGTACAAATATTCCCTTCCCCTATAAAAACCAAACCCGGTTTTGTCTTTCTTGTTTCTATATATGGCTATTCCAAAGGACAGTTTGCTTGACTTATGTAAATACACCGAGATAACTTCCCTAAGCAGGAACTACAGACACAGAAGATACAGAGTGCAAATATTTCACTGGGAGCATTAATGACAACGAAAGTGGTAAATGAATGGAAAAATAACTTTTTCGACAATAGGGTAGGAATCATAAAGCCTGCCACCTGGTGGATTCATTGGCTACATGGAGGGCTGTCTGAGCTCAGTGCAATTTATCTTACTGGGTCAGTTCATCCTCACTACATTCTTCTGAAGAACGAGTGAACTCTTCTTCTAAGAGAAATTCTGTGGTACTTGTTTAAAAAACAACAAAAAATGGGGCCAGCAGATTGTTAAATGTTCAGTTTGTTCATTTTTACTATAAACCATTTGTATAATTGTGCATGGTGGGAGGGGAATTACTTTAAGCTGCCTGAACTCAATACAATGGGAGGCTAACCAATCTCTTCCTCTCAGTCTGGCTCCATGTTAGCTTATCGGTTGGCCTTGGATAGCTTATTGAGGTAAGACTATTTTTACATTCCTTTCTCTGCATCATGCACATGGGGAATGTTGCACGTTCTGTAGGCCTATGTCTTTGCTCTCGTTCACATCCTCCACAATCCAGCCTCAACCATCTTGCACACCCCATCCCATATACAAATCCAGGCTCCTGCCACACTAGTTTACTCATGTACCTCTAGCACTTTGAGCTTTTTTGCCCTTCTGTGTGCACACACCCTCTATGTTCTGCTGAGACCATCCCACACTCCCTTCACATACGCTAACTCTCTACCCATAACCCCCAACTCTTCCTGTCTACCCTAGTTTCAGTGCCCTCTCGTTTGGGCTTTGGGCCATATTTACCGTCTGCTCCTTTGACTACAGACTGGTATTGCAACCGTTTCTCCATGTGGCCATCAGAGAACTGCAGGTATGGAGCACTATGGTTGGATTAATGCGATGCACAGGCCCGATACTACACAGCAGGGTGCAAATCCTTTTCTGCTCCTTCCTAGCAGATAACCTCGGGGTGCTCTGCTAACTTTCTCCTGCCTTAATTTCTTCATCTGTAAGGTGGGAACACACTGTTATTTACAGCACCTACCTCCTAGGGTGTAAGGATTATAGGAGCTCGTCTACATAAAGCACTCCCTGTTACCTATTATTCTTGTGTGACCTCTGTTATATGATCTTTCAGGACCTAACACAACGCTCTGCACATTTTCAGGGTTCAAAGAATATGTAAGGATGGTAATAATGATGCTATTTGATGGCCTTCATTCTAGCATCTAAAAGTTCCCCAGAGTTCATAGAAAGGAAATTTTTGAAGCACTGGCTGATGAAGAACATACCTCTCTTATGTACGGGGCATTTAAACTAATGCTATCCTGAGAAAGCAACCTGACTGAATTGAGTTTCCCAGATTAGAGAGGTAAAGCCGGGCACGTTATTACGTGCATCAATATGGACTTCACCCACCACGGCAGTGGGTGGAGAAAGATTTTATTGCTTTTGTGAAGTTCTCTGAGAAAGCTACCTGAAAGCCAAATGGAGGTGATTAACTCCTTGTGGCAGGAGAGGGGGAGGCGAAGGCGAAGGAGCACACTTTAAGGGAGTCCCAGAGCCAATGGGGAACTGAACTGGAGAAGCAAAGATCCTATAATTCCATGGATCTATGATGTGAAGTGACTGTGGACGTAAGTTAGTGCCTCCCCAGCAGGTTTGCTTGCAAGTCGCAAGAGTAAATGAGACCAAAGGTTGAAGGTATTAAACGTGGAAAATGCTTCCTACGTTCACATTCCAAAAGATAAGTGAATACTGTACAAGCATTTCTAAACAGACACCTAGCAGCCTCCACCTTCTCCTAAGGGTGCCACGACATTTCATGAAGTAGTTTGCAAGTCTAAAACATCAAGGAAACAGCAGCCAAGAACACCAAAATAGAGCTACCGCCCTGGTGTTCCAGGAGCGATGGCATGAGGCAGCCCAGTGTGGATGCTCCTCCCTTTACACTTTGTCCCAGAATCGCTGTTTAAATTTGGAAGAAAGCTACATGATTACACAGTTCACTGGGAAGATAATTAAATCCCTTGTATCCTTTTTGTTTCATTACATTGGTTGCTCCTCTCCAGTGCTCCCTTTACGAACCAGAGGCAGGATCCTCTGTTGGCTCTGTGACAGAGATGTCACGGCTCTCCAATACCCTATGTGTGCGTTTACACAATTTCAGAGACACGCTGACTAGATCCAGGAACGAAGGTGCTCCGTAACCGGAGGAGGACAAAATGCTATAAATGGGATTGGATTCTGCCAAGGGGCCTTGCCAGAGACCTTCAGGAGAAATCTATCTTCAAATTTCACAGAAGCAGGTTTTAAAATCTTGAATCATATCAAATGTAAAACAAATTATGAAAATCATCAAATGTCTCAGCCAAGGAAACAAATGCGTATTTTTTAAAGATACATAAATATATATATATATTTCAGTTTATTATTTCTTGTGATTTTATGAGCAGACACACGAAATGACACGAAGATGTGCTGTGGCAGGAGCTATGCCACACTGTTATAAAGAAGGCAGAAAGCCGAACTGAGTTACCATTCAAAATCCCTTTGACCCTCTTTTAAATGCTAATGCCAAGATTTGCAAAAGCTCTAGCAGGATGAATAACAACTAAGAGAACCTCACCTGTAAAACACAGACTTATTATCTAAAACAAAAGGTGAGCTCCTAGAAAAGAGCAAGGAGTATTTTAGAGATAAGTAACACCTCTGTCTGCCTAGCTCTGCGGTGAAAAGGTTTAGATATTGGATATGTAGACAGGGGGTGGGAGGGAGGGAAACCCACAACAACTTGCCCGGGCTCTTCTTTCACAGAGGGTCGATCTGTGAGTTAGCCATGGGGCAGGCCTGGACCACAGGAGCAGGTACCGTGAGAGAAGGTGCTTGTCAGACTCAGGAGTCTTTACATCCCTTCTAGAATTTTGCCCTGGAGAGCCCGAAGTCATTTCAGGTGACTTTCACAGAGCCAAAGGATCTCCGAGTCAGCAACCCTGTTGTGCCTCCTCCCATTTCTTGGACACTTACTGGGAGTGAGTTGTTGCATACCAGATGGGCAAAGAATATTATCAGGGATAGATGGGGAATGAAACTAAAAAACTCAGGTCTTATCCACCATGTCCTCTGTTTCTGTTCAGTAGCCACACTGCAAAGCGTAGCCTAATGGCAGCCATTTAATGTTGAACGGCGAACTGAATGGCATATATATATCAAGACGTGAGTCAAAACATAACAAAAGTAGTGGTGTGGTATTTGGCTCCTCCCACGGTAACTCTTGGAGAGCAGGCAAAGGAGAACCCCACTGTTCACCTCAATACCACAAACAGTTATTGGGTACCCATCTATATCCCAGGCATTGGGTAAATGCTGGGATTATGCGGAAAGCTTTAATAGTTAGTATCTGCCCTGCAGGGCTCTGTCCGATTTGCATTGTGTTCAGCACGACCTTCGGCTGATTTCCAACGCTGCCTATGGCACTGCGGTGTTCTCTCAATATTGAGTCCTATCCCTCCAGTGATCGATACATGCATTTGTGAGAAAGGTGGCTAGTGTCCGGGGAGCGACCTGGTGGGTATGAATGACAGCAACGTCAGGCCCCAACCCCTCAGACTTCAGTTTTGAGCCCAAGACCAAAATTTGATTAATAATGTGAATTAATCGATGGCAGTAACTTTCCTACAGTCTGCTACTTCACAATGGACCTTTGAATATGCATGCTATTAACTACTCTCAAAACCTAGGCCAGACCCTTAATTTTTTGAAGAATATACTCCTGTTAGCTGCGGGAATGAAAGAAAATGAGAAAAGTCATTAAACTGCACTTATTTTTGGAAGGCTTAGCACACCCACGTCTTTGTAGTGCCTTCCAGATTTCTAATTTTCTTTCATGTTTCAATTCAATGAAATTTCTCTATGATGTCTCTCCCCACTCATAGAATATTCTCTCCGAAAGTATGACATTCCTCCCCCTGCTACAGCCCTGACTAATTAAGTTGAACTTTATCTGCTTCCATACATCTCCCATACTTCTCAAGGGCAAGGACTATACCTTAATTCCTGTGTTATCGACATCCACTACGGCACCGGACTCAGAGCAAGTGTTCTGAAAACAGTCTAAATGCACATTATTTAAATGGCATATATGTATTTATGCTCTGTCTCTCAATAGGCTGTAGGTTATTTGAAGCGATGGCTCACACCTCTCGTAGAGAAGTCCCTTACAGCCCCTCTGGTGCTCAAAAAGCAAGAGGTCATCCATCCATAAATCCGTTGCTTTGTAAAATAATCCTCCAATTAGAAACTGTATTTCTGATTACAGACTTCTTTTTCTGAACAGATTTAAAATCAAACACAACTTCATCTGTGTTTTTACAAGATCCATATTTGGAGCTCTATCTTTATATTCTACAGTCAGCAGGTGACACAGCAAGTAACTCAACAGAAACGAGAGGATCAGTGTAGATTTTCTCTCTCCACTCACATTCATGCTTCTTGTGGTCTTAACTCTATAGGTTTTATTCAGCTTACATTCGAAATAGAAAATGATTTACGTTCAAATTCATTTGTGTGAGAGGGGAAAGGCCTAATGATTGCTAGCACCCCTTCCCCCATTACTACCTATTTCTTTCATTTACGGTATATGTGTATATTTTCACAATTCTTTTTGTAAAAGATTTGCGAGAGAGTAAGCGAGCGTTAGGGGGGCGGGGGGAGATGGAGAGGGAGAGAGAGAATCTCAAGCAGGCTCACTGCTGAGAGCCAAGCCAGACGTGGGGCTTGAGCTCATGACCCTGAGATCACGACCTGAGCTGAAACCAAGTGTGGGAAGCTTAACCGACTGAGCCACCCAGGCACCCCTGTATTCACAATTCCATCTTTCAAAGGAAATCCAACTGTCAGACTGAACCTTCATATCTGACCTCACAGTGTAATACCACTTCATCTTCCATTGCACTAGAATAAAATTTACTTAATGTTCCTGAAGAAAATCACCCTTAGGATTGGTGATTTCCAAACAGATTTTGCTATGTGAGGTTCACAAAATGAGAAACTCTTGTTACCTATGATTTAGAATAAAAAGTTAAATTAGGAAGTGATTGGGGAGACATAAGAACATGGTTTTCACAATATAAATAACCGGAGAATTCATATTCTCTTCTCCTTTATATTAAACCTTAGACTACTGAATACCTTTCTCAGTTATAAGACTGAGTGTGTATGGGTGTACCATAGAGAAGAACTGTAGAACTTAAGGAGAGAATTCTTGGTAGCAGTTGTTTCTGATGACCTGCTTTATCTGTACGGCATGGACATAAAAAGATAATACCTTCAACAAGAGCTCTATAACTTCCGTGTGGACAAGTCCATGCACCGGTTCTCCATTGATGTGTGTGATCAGATCCCCAGCCTTCAGTCCTGCCTGGCATGCTGGACTTCCTTCTTCTACATTCTAAAGTCCAAGAAGAGAGTATATATTCGTAAGCCAACAAATGGCAACCCTAACATCTGCTGTTTCTTCTGGGAGACTATTCTGAGTTAATCAGCAAATGATCGTAAGCTCCTAAGAGGAAATCAGGAAGGCATGGTTATTATTCCTTTTCTGTCATCATCCTAAAATAGGACCATTCCTTACAAAATTTTGGGTGGGTGAAGAAGGTAGTTTTGTTTTTAAAAGAAGACCAGGAAAAAAAATTACATAAAAAGAAAAAGAAAACAAACGAAAAAGAAGGGTGGCAAGAGGACTTTCTTTGATCATTTCCACCAGTTTGCTATGCAGACTGGACAATCAAACACGAAAACTGGACAGAATTATGAGAAATTACCAGTTTTCGCTAAATTCAATGCCACCTCCTAAAGGGAAAGGGCATGAAACAGGTCCCAAATACCAGCTTAACAGAAAAACTGCTTGTAAATAGGCCTCAGCCAACTTATTCATTCTCCAGGATGTGTGGGAGTGAAAACTAACAAGGATGAGAAGCTGCTGCCCTTACCCAAACAATATGGTGCACCGTATAGATGTCACTGTCTCCCACATACACCCGGATGGCTCGGATGGTAAAACCATAGTTCTTCCCGGAACTGTGGATCACGATGGGCTGATGTGGACTGGCGGAAGCTGCTGAAGAATCTCGGCTGGGAGAGGAATCTCGTGAAGAAGAAGGGTCCGAGGACAGGGAATGGGGGGACATTGGACTTCCCAGGGGAGAAACAGCAAACATATCTGCAACACAGAAGCCAGTCATCAAAGCTGATCCTGATCACACAAACATCCATGCAGCCAGCCCACACTGCATTAGCCCTGCCATGAGTGGGAGCTTGGCTACCAAACGAATCCATTCATGTCTAATAAAGAAATAATATAAAAATATTTATATTGCTAATCAGCATGGCTTTCCAAATAGAGGCTATTAAGAAAACTTCAAAAGAGTCTTTATTTTAACTCGTTTTTCAATTAATTCTCTGAAGTTATAATTTCTTAATTCCCTACACTAATTAAAATACACACAAAACCTAGCTCCTACCTGGCTGTGATAGTTCTAGTTAGTACATTTTGTTTTAATTAGAGAAACAAATCAAAGACGCACAAATTTCAAGTAGGCCTTTACACAGAGAAGACTGTGTGGCCTATAGTAAGAGATCCTCAGGCTCCAAATCTTGCCCTCAACAACTTGAACATGGTCATTCTCAAACATCCATGGTCAGGAAAGGAATTTATCAATGCCCCAGTTGCTTTTTGCAGCATTACTGAACTAGTACTCAGTAAGTGATTTTGATCAAGCATCAGTGAAATGTCAGTTTCTCTATGAATCACTCCTCATTTCTCTGATTATAACTGATTGTCTTCATATGTTACCTATAATTCTAACAATTCTGAGAGGATAATACAGGTGCAATAGAGAAATTTTAAGAAAAACTTAGTTCACCTTCCACAACACCAATTCTACTCTGTTTTTCTTGTTTTATAAGCAGACACACTTCTAATTTACTGTTGCTGTCACTGTTCCATCTGTGTGAATCTAAACAGAGCTTAACGGGTCACGTGAAACTGTGTGTGTGTTTGACAAGAAGAACAATCTACAGAGGAGGCTGAGGTTGAAGGGTGAGCCTGGTCGGAGCCACGCCACTAAGCCCCGGGGCCACTGAAGACTCACCAGGTGCATAGAGTACACTGTGGCCACAGCGAGCTGAAAGTATCCACACTATCACTTCTCCCCATTCTTAGGTCTGGCCAAAGTAGAACAAAGCTAAGTGTCTCACTAGCCATGCTCCGTCACTTTGTGACTACCCGTAGCATCTTGGTACTCTTTTGCTGGCTCTTATCTAAAGGTCAAAAGACCAAGTGAGGAGACACACACCGGTGGTCAGTGAACTTCTAACCATGCAAGCAGGAACGGCACAGAGTGGACACACACACACACACACATTGAAACTGCTGGAAAGCCAAGTCCCCGATCCTTTCCCTCATGACGGTTTCCCTTATTGCCCCAAATTGAACAATTGCTCTACTTGACCAAGAGGTGGGCTTTCTTCCCAGCTTTCAAAAGCGGACTTACCTTCCCAACTGCAGCTGCCCTGGGGCCACTGCCTTTGGGTCATGAACCATCATTCAAACTAGGGAGATAGGTGTTTGTTTTATGGTACTAAAGAGGACGTCTCCCAGCAAAGAGTATGCTAGAGTGAGCAGTAACCCCCACATGAGCATTTGTTTCTGTCAAATTTCTTTCTGCACAAACAGGAAATTTTGAAAATAGTAACACTTCCTTTTAGACATGGTCTGTATTCTTCCAAATGCAAGCCATGTGCAACAGAATTTGGTTGCCACTTGCGGTCCCTGGCCGCCATTTGAGTGTTCAGTCACCAACACTAGGGTGCGTATTTCATCTTTGCCAGTGGAATTGCTGTGCACGTAGTGATTTGTGGAGGCAAAACCCAGTTGTGGAAAAATACTGCCAATTCCACAAAACCGTAATTAAGCTCCGTCTTCCAATACAGGGAAGAAAATGGTTTGACTACCAGTAGGAGGAAGCATAGCTCAACAGACAGGGTTGGGAAAAAGTATAATTTCAGTGCTGTCTGTGACTCTCTGCATCCCCAGAAATGAAAAACTTACGTCCTCCATGTCTATTTCCTCATTAATTAGATGAGGAAAAACTATACTTAGCTTTCCTACACAGATGCTACAAACAGCTCGGTAAAGGATATAAATGATGCCCAATCTAGGGAAGAAAAATTATTCAGAGGAGGTAAATTTACCACTTCACTTGGGGAGGGGGGAGCAGAAAAGGAAAGAAAACAAATACAAGAAGGCTTTGTGGGAAGGAAGCCTGCCTCATCTCCTGATGCAGAAAGAAGCCAGAAGACATCAGCGACACATGCTGTCTGGGAGCTCCCGGGCTCCTGCAGGGAGAGGCCCCAGGGGGGAGCTGTGCTGGGCGGTACCACCCGTTACTGCTCCTAGCCATCCTGCATCCCCATCAGCATTCCAAACTGGGGAAGAGGGGGACACATGCACAAATCACACAATTTCATGCGAGTAGATGTCTCTCTACCTCCTGGGATCATGAGGGACAGAGCACTGGCAGAAAGGGACTTTGTGACCTTCCCCGAGATTTTCTTTTTTTCTGTGCTTTCTAATCGCTGCCGGGCCATGTGAGAAGCGGGTTCACTGGAGGGCTTTGAGGAATTATCTGTACTGTCCACACACTCGCTTCGTCCATTTATCTGATCCAAGTGCTCTGAAAAACTGCCAACTGCACAAAGAAGAAGGGATAAACACATTCAGGGAAATCTGGGACAGGAGAGGCGGGGAGAGGGGAAGAGAGAGGGAAGGAAGAACACACTGGGAAACGTCCTCCCCTGTGGCTCGCCAGCCCTTATGGTGTCAGGCAAACGTTACAAACACATGACTTGTCGCAGAAAGGTGCCGTGGAGAAGGAGAGGGAAGAGGCGTCCATTCAAGTGTCACTCTACCTGTCCACGAGTCTGCTCATTCTCAGCCCATGACTCCCCTTACCTAGAGACTCATTCTTTTTAGAATCTCTATCTCACAACCCTGGTAGTGACAACTCCTCCCCCTCGCTTCCAACCCATGGAAGGCCATGCTATGAACCAGCACCACCTTATCAATGCCATGGCCGCCCACTGTATACTATGACCATCCTGGGATATCAATGATCATCCGTAGCGATGCTGTTAATGATGTGGACAAGGCTGTTTGTGGTAAGTGGACATCACTTCATTTCTTCATGTAGCCTTATGCCTGTGTCACCTCCTACCATCCTCCTAGGACACACCTACACTAAGCTCACGCATTAATTGACAGAGGCGTGCCTGAGGTGTCACCTTTGACTTCTCATGCCATCTGCCCCCTTAAACTCTCCGCTCCTTGCAAACTCACAGGATGACAAAGCCTATTACCCATTGTGTTACTCAGTGGCTCACTACATCTTCCTGGCTTTTCCTCTAGGCAGTGTGTCATTCGCTCTGTCCTGAAGTTACCGGGCCAGTGCTAAGATCCTTTCCCCTCTAAGCCAGCCGTGCCTTCTTTATTTTTAACCTTAGTAACCCTTAAGAGATACTGGAGGTGTTTTTTTTTGTTTCCTTGTTTTTGGTTAGAAAATTAGGACTCCCCTCAGGAGAGGATCCTAGGAGAATGTAACCATGAAGGAAGTGACAAAAAATGGAAAATCACTGATGTCTGTCTGGGCAATGGCACAGACAAAGAGTAAAAGTTTCTGAGCAGAAGTAACAGGCGGAGTCCCCCCAGAGAAAAGGTGAGCAGCCTCCCCTTTTGGTTCTTCCGACTCTTGCTTTCGCAGACTTTCAGTTTTCTTTCTTTTTTTTTTTTTTAAATCACTGATAGTTTATCTTTGTCCCTCCAGAAAAAGCAATGCTTATCTCATTTTGACTTCTAAATGCTGTGTTACAAGCCCCCCGTGCTTTAAAAACCATCAACACGATCATTACCTTAAGCTTTGCAAACCATGCAGAGAATCTGATACCATTACAAATGATCCTTTGAAAGACCAGCAGGCACATTTTAAAGCACATGACACTCTTGGCCTAGGGAAGAGTTAGGCTGGATAAGACTTAACTCACATTTCTGTTCTGCTGCTGAATGTACCACTCAACTGAATGTACCACTCAAGTTTGGCCTTTGTGCACAGAGTGGGCACCTGCCCTAGAGATGGGGTCCTCACTAAGGGCAGCTGGGACTTGGGAGAGTGCTGTGGGTGCGGGAAAAGATTCAGACTTCCGTGTGACACCCATGTGACCTACAGAGGAAGACAATCCTAAGGGAAGTATCAGCAGCCTTCCTGCTCCCATCTGCCCAACTCAACCTCACTCAAGTCCATCTACTCTGTGCTCTCTAAATAAAGAAATCAACAGCTCAAGGACTTGATAAAAACTGCATCACAAATCAAACACCTCATCTCGAAAACCTTAAGCTTCCTTTTGGGTAAGTTACATGCTCTTCTCCTTGCTAATCCAGGTGGGTGGGACCCTTGACAAGTGCAAAATGAAAGGCTGATTCTCTTCACAACGAATAATGGGTTTATTCGAGCACTACACCTAAGACTTCAGGACTTTTACTTTTCACTGATTCAAAAGCAATGTAGTCATGAAGAAAGAGAAAGAGGTATAAAGCTGTACTTCCCTAAATACCCAAATGTGAATATATGGTATTCTTTTCTATCATCCCTCCCTCTTGCCTCCACCACCTCATTTCATAGCCCTGGATATAAGCTGCATTTCTGTTCTGCCAATGGTGGATAATGTCACCTTAATGTTCTGTAAATGTCAAGGGTTCTTTCTTTTTGACGGGGAAGCAATATAAAAATCAACAAATTTAATTTTACTACAGTCACGGTTTTCAGATTTCCTAATTACCCTTGGCCATGAGCAGATCAGCTCATCTCTCTATTCTGTACAGCCCCCAAGGTCTTTGATTATTTTTAGTGTGTGTATGGGGGAGACACGAGGTGGTTTGAATCAATTAACCAAAATGCATGGCAGGACCTAAGCAGTTTTTTTTTTTTTTTTTTTTTTAATTATGAAAGTAATCAATCAACTGCTTAGATACCATTTCCCTCCCTTTCCCTTCAACACTGCTGATGGGGACCAGGGCATGGAGACTAAGTGATCCATCGTATTAAGAAAAAATTTTAAATGGAGCTAAGTATACTGTGTTCAGAGCATGATCATAAACTAGGAAACAGAGACCTTAGTAACCAGAAATATAAAATACTGAGATAATTCCATTTGACTTGACTACCCAGACGAACTAAAAATAATTAAGAATCTTGGGCCACTAGGTTGTGTCTACCCTACTTCTACGTTGCTATTCTCTTGGCTTTATAAAAAAGTAAGGATAAGGGGAATTATCCTACATGGCAACAGAACTGAGGGGAAGAGGGAGAAAGAAAGAAAAAAACCCGTATTATTTTTCCCCATGATAAACTAGAAGCACATGTGAAGCTCGACAGAAGCAAACTTTTCAGCAAGGCTGAAATAAACCTAGCCTGTAAAATGTGTTTTCTTGAAGTGATCTTAAAAAGAGTTATGCTGTGAATATTCAGTTAAAAAAAAGTTCATAAAAATTCTTGGAATTATCCATGGTTATCAATATAGCATATTGAATATAGCTTAATGAAAACATTTATCATAGCAACCCTAACCCATATCCACGTTTCATTTTTTTTTTTTAAAGCATAAATGCACACTTCTCTGTAGAAGGATATGCTGTGCAAAAAAAAAAAAAATGTTGCAAACCAAGTAATACTGTAAGTGCACTTGGCTTGGTCTGAGAGAAATGCAAGTTGGATCATCTAATGACATATTAAACCTTTTAAAATCCTTTGAAGATACTGTCTCTGCTGTCAAGAAGGTTATGTCACAGAAAAGTGACACTATAAAGTGCTCTCCAAGAAAAGCCCAATCCCCTTGACTGCCTCACCACCACTGAGGGACGTCTGGGGGGTTTCTGTGTCCAGTTACCCAGAGACTGGGACGGCAACATGGGTCTGCAGTGGGGTCTTCATATGCATGTGAAATACCAATTTGAATTGTGCTGGTATTTCTCACTCTCTCCTCCCCTCTTAGTCCTAGATGCATGGAGATCATCTGGGAATCCCACAGAATAAGCATCTTGTGGCACTAAGAGGCTGGTGTGCATATCTATAGAAGTTATCTGGCACAACACGGCCCCGTAACAGAAACCAGCTCCTTCAAAGAAACCAGCACCCATTTCAACACCAGGAGGAAAGCTGGCTTTCTGTCGTACCTTATGGGGGACGTGAGCCATTTTTTGAGGGTAATTTTGAGCACATCGTGGTCTGATACAGTTCCTTACTCCTAACTTTGACTTAGACACAACTGTGCGAGACCTGCTTTTGCATCAACAACAGAGAACACCACACGGTCCTCAGTGAGTTCTGCCCGCCATCCGAGAATCCCACCGAGGCCCAGCGGTAGCAAGGGAACTGGCTCTCAGGTCAAACTGAAGCAAGGAGGGTCTGCTCTGCGGCCGCGTGGCCAGGAGGCATGGGCTCAGTCCGTAAGAGCTGACCCCCCAAGTCCTAGACGTGGGGCCGTGGAGGGAGCGGAGCCGCACCAAACAGCCGCTGTCACTGCCTAGTGAGGTCAGCCTGGGGTTCCCGACACGGGCCATCACTTGTCAAGGTGGCGGACGGAGAATGGGGGGACAGCAGGCGGCACGCCAGGCGCTTACCCGACAGCGTGGAGCTGCTGATGGTGCTGGCCGGCGTGGTGACCTCGGGCTCCTCCTGAGCACTCTCTGCAGGAGGAAGGGCTGGCTTTTCTGGCTCCTCCGGCAGGTCTCTGGGGCAGGGGGCAGCCTCGTCTTTCTCTGCCTCTGTTGAAACAGCCAGTTTGGGAAGTGGGCCAGAACTGAGTTTATGTCTGTTGCTTTCAGTATCTGAAGAGTTGGATGTGGATAACTGTTGCCTTAATTAAAAACAAAACAAAGTCATGTATGCATACACACTAGGAAACTGCATTCAAGGAGACTCTGGGAAGCAATGAAGTCAAAATGGAACTAAGGTAAGCCCAACCAAAGCACGTCTAGTGCAGTGGTTCTTACAGCATGCCCTGGAACTTAGGACAAAGGCACATTCTCGGCCTCCATCCCCGATCGAGCGGAGCAGACAGGCTGGGACGGGCCCCAGCCCTCTGTGTTCTCACAGGGTTTCCGGGAGATTCCGATGCTCCCTCAGGCTGAAGAACCACTGCGCTAGCAGGGACCGCTTACGACCTCTCTTAACAGGCGTTTCACATACATTTCGGAATATTCCGAACTCCAGCTGAGTGTTTCTGTGGATGGCAATGCTGTGCTTTTCGTTTTGCCTCCGGGGTCTTCCTTCTCTTCTCCGGAATTCTGAGTTATTCGGTCTACACTGCTGAAAACCTGCGAGGCGAAGCGTTGGCGTTTATTATTATATTCTCGAAAGAATTTGGCAGAAAAGCCCCAAACCTTGGGAGAAGAGTCTGAGAGTAGGACAAAAGTTTCAACTGGGACTGTGTATTCAGAAGGCACTTTCTGACGCTGTTTACTTGAGTTCTGAGATGAATGATCCGTGTATCTATTTTTTTCCTCCCTGGAGCAGGGAAGCTACGAATTCATCACCCATTCGCCCTAGCTCATTATGGACTTTGCATCTGCAAACACAGTCCACAGATGCTTTGGGGTTTCTAAGCCCCGGGATCAATGCACAGCGTAGATGACTTTTTAACCATGAAGTCTATCAGAAAAAAGAAAGTCACAGAGAAAAAGATTTAATGGCCACCAGTCAGGAGTGGGAAGGAGAGAAATGAATTGGAATTGGGTGCAAAGAGAAGAATAAATTACCTCTTTCAAGACGTGTGTGTGTGGGGAGGCAGTGCATATTTGGTTCTGAGTCAGAGGTGTTTGTTTGGCTTATAAATCACATACATAGATGGGCAGCTTCCTATGATGGGACTGGCGTTTCTGAAGGGGATCAGAGCTTGGGCAGACCTGAGATCTCTGCTGTCCCACAGGAAAGATGGAAAGAAAAATTGGGAGCGGAGAGCCCGGGGCAGGAAGCACTCCCCACCGTCCAACACAGCCCCTTGCTGCTCTCGTGGGAGTGGCCCTTAAATGGCTTATCATCTACTGTGGTGAGGCCCAGGGTAGCTAACGAACAGGAGACAGCGGGAAGGAAACAGAGTTCCGGGCCCCGCTTGGATGGGCCAGAGCACAGGCACGGGGGAAAGCCTGTCCTCAGCTCAGTCCTGGCTCTGGGCGGGCTGGCCAGCAGCCCCTCCAGGCAGACCCCACCTCTCCATGGCCTTCCTTTAAACAGTGAGGGCAGTGCCAGCCCATTTGCAGATGCGCTCTTATCTAGTGGTCACGTACAAAAAGGTATGGAACACTTTATAAACCCTACACGTTACAGAAGAGCTGAACAATCACGACGCAAAATGCCATGGCAACAGGCAATGCATAGCTACTGAAAATAGCAAAACGGAGGTAGGGGCCCTCCATGTTCCTTTCCATTTTCCTAGGGCCCTGCCCAGTTTCAGAACTGTCTGGTTTCTTTGTGAATTTTTTCATCTTACCACTATCACTAAAAAGCATCATTCTCAGACATTGATTTTATTATCTTCTCCCATTTCCAAATTTCTAGCTTGGCTTCCTCCGGCCTCTGTCATGTAACTTACATTTTCTATTACTGGCTACAAGACTTTCTCATTCCACAGCAACTATCCCCAAGGGTCCTAGCTGATGTCAAGGACTCCGACTGCTCCCCTGTATTGTATTCTGTGTGATACTAGGAGGAAGCTGTGCACACAGGGACTCAAGCTCAATGTTCTTTATTAGAGGATCAGAGAAATGGGGGACTCCTCCACAGCCTGGCACTGAACTAGACTCCGTCCCACAGGGCGAGGTCAGCATATATATGGCTACTGTGTTCTCCGAAGACAGCACTACGAGTCCAAGTCTGGGCCACTCACTGGTGGAGAGTGAAACAAGCAGGTAGGGACTCTGGATTATCAAGATGGTGGGGTCACTTTTCTGAAACTCAAAGGAATTTTAAGTACAGGAGACCCCAAGCACCAAAACACTGTGGGTGGTTTTTAGGATCTTGTCCAGCTGCTTAGGGATGCCCACTATCTGGCCGGAGGGAGATTCTCTGGAGAGACCCTGCATGTTTATGCCCCATTTCACTTACTTTGGAAAACCTGTGTGAACAAGAGGAAAACTGCCTTATTTCCACATTAAAGTCTTCATCGTTTGTGTCATCTTCTTCCTCTGTCTCCATGTGATGATACTTCTCTGATCGAGCTGCAGAGAAATGTTTGGGAACAGTTCCAATTACTCCGAATTTCAGCTTGTAATTTAGATATATTAATTAGGAGCTTCTATATCAAAGCAGCCTTATGTGTGAGAACTCACAGGTTCAAGACTGGAGGTTCTATCCTAAGTGGAGATAATTTTCTACAAAGTAAAGGTCAAATAATGTTTTATGTCAGATAATTCACGTACTATCAAAATAACTTGTGTCATCCTCGGATTCCAGTTGGGGAATAAATTCTGCCTTCTGTCTCAGCAAACTGTTCCAGTCTAAAGAACGGAAGAATCGATGCTGTTTGACTTCGTAGGCACCACCTTGGGGTGGGGAGGGAGGGAAAGGACAGAGGGGAAGATGTTAAACTACCCTCCAAGCAAAGCTTTCAAGAACCCTCACGCCCCCAATCTATCAATAGAGAAATAAAGAAATCATGGAAATCTTACTTTTTCATTCAACAACCAACGCCCCCCCCAACAAAAAAATTTCTTCCCCATAATTTATCAGCAGAGGATTTGATTTCGCTAACAGCAGTTGCTACAGCACACTTTTTCTTTGTTAATTTTTCCATGACTTCCTCCATTTTTCAAAGGTTAATGATGCGGCCACTTAAAATCACATTATGCTGAACCTGGGGACGTGGACGCACATTGGCCCAAAGCAGACTCGCTCATTACAAAACCAAAGAAATTCTAACAAGGCGCAAAATGTGTTCACAGCAATATTTCCTCTGGAGGCAAGGTTAATAAAGATGAATTTTTCCCGAATAGTATATAATGGTTTCCATTCAATTTTACTGGATTGCTCGTTAACATAGGTAGGACTTTGATTCTGTGGATTACAGATTCTTAAGTAAGAAACTGGCAAACCTGTTTGATAAATTTATAAAGCATGGGATGAAAATCAGTCACAGTTCTTAAGTTTTAGGCCTTTTTTTTTTTTTTTTTTTGCCAAGTCAGCATGACTACGCAATTTGGTAAAATTTTTTTAATTCAGTTCATAGTTTTATTTTATTATTTTTAAAAAGTATTTCTTTTTAAAAAAAAATTTTTTTATTTATTTATTTGAGAGAGAGAGAGAGAGAGACCATAAGCCAGGGAGAGAGGGAGGGGGAGAAGCAGACTCCCCACTGAGCAGGGAGCCTGATGTGGGACTTGATCCCGGGACTCTAGGATCATGACCTGAGCTGAAAGCAGACACTTAATTGAATGAGCCACCCAGGCGCCCCTCACTTCATAATTTTAAAGAAGGATTTGGAAGGGCAAGTCCCATCCCCCAGAAAAGAGAAGAAGGCCCATATGTTATACAGTTGTAGCGTGAGCATCAGGCCCCTGCCCTGCCCGCTCCCCCTCCAAAAAAATACTGTTAAGGAGGGAGAGAAGGAAGAATCTCTCCTGAAAAAACACCAGGAAGAGAGATTTCACACAAGACTAATAGAGGCTCTAATCGCCTCCCTGCCAGGAGAGGCCCTGTAGGGGTGACGTAAATGCCTTTCAGGTACTTGTCATCATGCTTCCCACCCTGTCCTCAGTGCAGTATGAAAAAAGAGGATGAGAAATGCAAAATGAAGGAGAAATGGGTCTGGGTGTTGGGGCGGGGGAGCTGTCTGCATGGTTCAGAGATGTGGCTGTGTCCCCATCAGACTGCTCTAGCGCAGGGGGCAGACTGTAGCCCCAAACCCAGCCAGGACAAATGAGTGTATGGAGAACAATGGACAGAAAAGAGCAAAGTGGGAAAATCACCCCAAGAAAGGGAGAAGAGATTCTTCGTTACTAAGCATTTGATAAGAATCTTTGTCCAGGATCGTGCACGGGCATTCTCTGTGTTTCCAGCACAACAGCGAAGTCTGAGAGTGACCACGGCGGTGGCAGCGCTAGCCAGCTCCGACAGGAGGGCTGACTTGGACAAAGATTGCACTACATGCTAGAGGCATCTCGTTTCCTTTCATTAAATCACTGAGAGCAACCCTACAAAGTAGGCATTCTGTCAACTCCATGTGTGGATGGGGAAACAAAGCTTAAGCAATAAAGCATACTGAACCATGAGCACCTGTTAAGTAAAATTTGGAGAGGCTGAGCTGAAGTCTGTTTAAAAAGGGCCAGGCCCATCCTCGGTGTCACAAGGCCAACACGCCCACACAAAGCTGCCAGATACACTCTCTTCCAGCATTCTTAGCTCAGAGAAGCTGAAAGATCTTAAGCATCTATCCAGCTCCCTCGCTGTGCCAACGACACTGAGGTCCACAGGGTCAAGCCCTACCGAGTGGTGCACCACACACCACGCTGCAGGACTCTCACTTCCGCTGCTGTTCATGGGGACACACCAATGACAGCTGATACTCCGAGGTCACTCAGCCTTACTCAGAGAAGAGCGGTTCTCTAGATCCAAGGGCTCAAAGGGCACTTCCAGACCGTAGCAGCGGGAGGGTTTGGGTTTTCATTCCCCCACCCGCCACTCTCGGGGAGAGTCGGGGGAGAACATTCACTTCATCTCTGTGGATGACAAGTGGGTCCTCCCCACAGAGTCACAGCCCATGGGTGACCCAGCTCACATTTCTCACCCTTTGGCCTTTGTGCTTCCCCCCCACCCCCCACCGAGAAGAGGCTCCCTGACCACGGAGTCCTGTTTCTCATGCACTTTCGCCGAGATGGGGAACAAAAGAATTAAAAGGACACACTGGGGAGAAATGACCTCTGGGCTAAACTGCTGGGGCAACACGGATGATGGCATTATGAGCCCTATACAAATGATCAGGCACAGGAACTCAGGCAGGTGACAGTGCTCAGTGCAAGAATTCACCATGCAGGGAAGGAGAGGGAACGGATTATGTTCCCTCTGGTGATGCACTACGTTAACATACTTGGTAGCTTCATGACCATGTTTGCATTCAGTCCTTGCAATCATCCTGAGAGGGGTACAATAACATGCCCATTTTTCTAGATTAGGAAACTGCAACCCAGATCACAAAGAAACTACTCTGTATCTCCCAGCTGATACCCAGGTGGGAGTCAGTCACCTCTGAGCAGCTATAAAGTCCAATACACCAGACTGCCACTCAATACTTCCCAAGTTCAAAAGTCTAGTTCAAGTAGGACAAGTTTCCAAATTTTAAGTTATGCTTCGCACTAATGTTCTCCCCCTTGAGTTTTTCTCTCCTTTCATGGAAGTTTCTTAAACATCCATTATGTTCTTCACACCCCTCTTCTCAGCCTCTCTAGTCTCTCAGGCAAATGTGAATTCACACATTTTCACGGTGCATTATTCTGCCCGCTAAATATGCATTAAATCCAAAATGCTGTCATTGGAAGCAGCATGGCAGGCCTGCGGGATTCTCAGTCTCATTCTCTGGGCCCTACTGGGATCTGTCACGTTGGACCTGCCTGTTTGGCAAGTACTTTCTGAAAATGCTAAGAGCTTGGGCAGGGCCTTTTAAATGTCTCTTTTGAGCTTCTGCTAGGAGATTCGCGTCTCTAATTGTCAAGCCCTGAAAAGAACACAAGTAGCAGTCAGGGAGAAAATGCGCAGACAGATAACTCACAGCATATAATATAGAAACATGGGCGTGCTGACCAGCATCATAGCCCTGTTTTGCTGAAGTCAAGCCCAGTCAAGATTCCAAGCATTCTCAGAGGAGGGAAACAGGCAGAAGACTCAGTGGGAAAACTATCCAAACTGACCCAAGAACACTGAAGAACACTGAAGAGAAGCAGGCTCTTGGGAAGGCACGTGCCAATTCTACTTTTATCTTCGGTCACACCTCAGGACAACGCTTCCCTGGGGCAGCTGAGTAGGACATATACATTGATATTTGTGTTGTTGCAGGACAAGCTGAAAATCACTCCTCAAAACTCTACCCCATTCAGAGTGTGACACGGATTCTTTGACCACTACTCCTATCTCGGGGGCCAGAAAGCAAATGTGACCGCAGGTCACAACGGGTAGGGAGTAACAACTTTACTAGTCGCTTCAGACGAAAGGAACACCAAATAGGATGGGAAGAAATACAGTCAGCTCAAAGGCAGGGGCACCACCACCATTTCTGGAACTCGGACGTCTATAGGGGAAAGCACAAGATTATGCAGGCAGGAAATAAAAATAGTACCAGTGGAACCAGTGTCCCACCTGGTTCTAAGAGCTAGACTGGGTGATCTTTTATCCTCATGAAAACCCCGTGAGGCGGTACTTCTCTAAGCTCCATTTTACAGATGAGGAAATGAGGCACGGAAAGGGAAGCATCCTGCCCACCGTCACACAGCAGAGATTTTAAACTCAGGCAATCTGACTGTGGAGTTTGTGCCCTTAATTTCCACTTATATTGCCTCTCCTAGCCGAAGGCCCACTCATCCACTGCAAAAGGCATACAGGCACGTGGTACTCCAGGAAGAGGCTCAACTCAAAAAAATTTTCCCGAGCGAGCCCGGAGTTTCAATCTTCTTTGATATGCTAATGCAGCCAATGAGATTTTTCTGTACAAAGCCAAAGAGTAAATACTTTAGGCTTTGTGGGCCATACAATTTGAGGACTCAACTCTGCCACCGAACCATGAAGGCAGCTACAGACAATGTCTATGAATGGCACTGCTGTATTTCAATAAAAGTTTATTTACAAGATAAGAATATGGCCTATGGGCTTCAATGCATCATCATCAACTCTAGGAGCACAGCATACTTAAGCAAGAATGGAGCCCTCCAGCTGGGGGAAGCTGTGGGCAAACATGGAGAGTAACGTGTGTATCTGGAGCTGTTGCAAATTATCTTTGTCTAGGAAAAACTGAGGGAGAGAATGATTTGTTCAGTATTTTCAGATATTTCTATTACAATGAAGTAGAATGAAACAGCTCAGATTAAATACTCCATCAAGTCAACAATTTTCACTGCTGAAAATTATGGATACTATCTAGTGTGTATGTGTTGTGCTTATATTTAATATTTAGTCCCATCTAGATAAATTCATATACTCAGGTAGACTGGGACTCGATATTGGGATCTCTGTCTATTCAGAATACAAGAGAAGGAAGAGGAGGAGCAGAAAAAAAAGAAACTGTAAGTAGAACAGTTGAGGGGGAAAATAATCATCAAGAAACAAATCTATTATCTCCTTAATCTTGAAAGCCAATGGTTTTAATCCTCTTTCTTGGGCTATGGTGCTGATCACCATGATGAGACAGCATAGTTCAACCCCAGACACTCATTTCTAGTAATTAATTAGTTCAAGTACCGATAACCCATTTCAAAGCCTCTAGATAGTAATGGGCTGGGTCAAATCTTGCTGGGAATATATATATATATCCAAACAAAAAAGCTTCACATCTTAAATCCTCTGTTTTAATTTATTTAAGATGCATGTTTTTCAGGATAGAAGAGTTATATTGTGCCCTTGGAGGTTTTCTTCCAGACCAATTTTATTTATTTAAACAAACTGAGAATGACTTTTGCTTTGCAAAAAAACCAAGAAAAACAAAAATCAAAGACAACCACCAACCCTCCTAGTGTACATACTGCTCTGAATCAGAAAAAAAATCCGAAATATTATTGTTATGATGTGTTGTAGTCATGTCCTACATCAACCAACAGATGTTTCTTATGCCAAAAAAACAAAGCACAAACAAAAACCTCTGAGTGCTCCACAAAGACATTATTTTTTGCATATTAGCAAAATTAAAACATATGTGCTCTAACCTGTTCCCAGTCTCTCCAGGGGATTCTGCCTAAGAAGCAAGGTAATCAGATCCTGGGCATCGGGGGGTGGCGCCTCGTCCTTTTCTGGCCAGTTGATCTCATCTAGAAGGGAGATATATCATTTACAACTTTATTGCTCAAATGGCAGTCCAGGTCCCAACAGCCTGGAGGTTGCCTGGGAGTTTGTCACAGAAACAGAACTTCAGGCTCCATCCCAGACTGAATGATAATCTGCATTTTAGTAGGATTGTCAGTTGATTCCTGGGCACAGTCACGTTTGAGAAGCATTGTTTCACCAGACATGAACCAGCACAGCTTACAACAAGGCAGGGAGAAAATATTTCAATAAGCGGTACCTTCCATTTGCTTTTTTCATTCTTCGTTTTTTGTTTTTCTTTTTGGCAGACTTGGCTCAAAACAGATTATTCCTTCTAGTTATTAAGAGGACTTAATATGGTGAAAACTCTTAACACCTGTGTTTTAGATGTCCCCCTCCCAGGGAATCAAGAGAGTAAGATTTTTCTTTCCTACTATCCTCAAATGTGAATTTGGCCCCAGCCCTAGAGTTCTTCAGCTTCCAGAAACACAAATTAATTTTGCAAAAATAACTATTTCTAGAGACAAACAAAAGGCCAAAGTATTAAGTTTGAAGACAAAAAATCCAAAGTAATCATAGTAATAATGGAAGTATTTAAAGTCTGTCATAAATATTAGAATATGTTCTACATTCCACAGGAGTTTGCCCAAAGATAAGGTGTGTGTGCTTGTGTGTATGGAAATGCAATAAAAACACGAGCTATTTCTGTGTGTGCCTGCCTCCAGCTTCCTCTGCTGCAGTTTAAATCTGATTTGGAAAATAAAACATGAATATGCATCTGAGCCGTAAGGCATGGAGAACAAAGCCAGCAATTTCTGCTTGTGTTAATTAAACAGTTGATTCCTCTTGCCATTCAGGCCTTAGTATATCAGAAAACAGCCTAGTTATAAATCCATAAACAGCTCAGATACTGTAGAAAAGGGTTATACACTGCAGGCAACTCACAAATCTACTTTGTTAAAGTTTACAGATATGCCTGGCTTGCAAAGTCAATGATAGAGAATAATGCCATGATTAAGGGACTCCTCATCCCAACATTAATTTTCCCTCCCTTTCCACTGATAGACCCTGTAAGCACAGTCCAGAAGGTGGCGGAGTGGGTGATGGGGGCGGTCAGCGATGACTGATAAACTTTCAGGGGGAGAAGCCTTTTTGATCTAGGCTTTGGGGAAATTTATAAAAACAGCAGGTAGGGTAGTAATAGAGCCTATTTAATTATCATTTAGTTTTGCCACAAGCCGCATAACAATAGTGAGGGTCAGCGTGCAGGTTAAGATCTAGAGGTTATTGAATTTTAAATGAAAGATGAACAGCTGTTACAGAAATAACATTACACCATTACAACCACCAATGAAATCATTAACAATCTGTGAATTAAATTTGCTTCCTTCCCATTCTCATTATTTATTATTTGGTAGACATTTGTTTTAGGGTTTATTACATTTTTGTTAATTTCTTCATTGTGCCATTAGCCATTTTCCCCCATTTATGTAAATGTTACCCACATTAACCTTTTCTTCCCTGGTGCAGCTTTCCTATTATGGAAAGGAAGACTGGACGGCAGTGAAATAATTTGCAAATCCCATATGAATTTCTTTTGCAGAAGAACACACCATAAAAATTGGTTACACTGCTAGTACATTTCCAAATTCCATGTTAACGAAACTTCCTCAGATCAATTTTCAACACAAACTGATCTCCTGAGATTTCTGAAAGTCAGTTATGTGCTATGATGAGTGAGTTCTTTTAATTTGCTGGCTAAACTGTTTGATAAAGGTTAACATTTTAGTAGTTAAAACGGCAATACTCCACAGAATTGCATGAAATAGCTGTTTCCCAGCAGCCGCTTGAAGATAACTCCTGATGATATTTACCACTGATGACTTGTCCAAATAGCTCTTCTGGAGTATCCCCAAAGAATGGCACACATCCAACAAGAAATTCATAGAGGATAATCCCCATGGCCCACCAGTCCACCGGCTTCCCATAGCCCTGCCTCAGAATCACTTCTGGTGCAATGTATTCAGGTGTGCCACAGACCTAAAAGATGATTGCAATATTAGAATAATTGGAATATTAGACATGAATTAAAATGAGCAAGATGGCTATACACCATTTATTTTGCCCAGAGTGCACCTGCTCAACCACATGGAACCACACGGACAAAGAACTTAGGAACAGCAATTATAAGTCAGTATCCATAACACCAAAGGCAACGAAATATTTAAATAGCAAAAAAGGGAAATTTAAAATGCTGCTGTAATGTTAAACTATGTGTAGTGAGTAATTTCGAATTGAGGGTTTGACCCTATTTGGTGGTTTTACTTATTTCATAGGATTAAAAACATTTTTAATCCTCAAAGTTAATATAATGATGCATTTTTAATCTGTCACTACCACAGATAGTTTTAGTATGTATATGACCAAAATATATTCACATCCTGGCTACTTCATAAAAGCATGACAGTTGAGATGTGTTTACCTTAAGTAACTTACAATGAACAGATTGTGGGCACATGGTAATGAGGCATGCTTAAAGGGAAATGGGCCATGGCTCGGATTTTAGCACCCGTGATTGTACAATGCATCATGAGTTTCATGAGTGCTCTGCTGAGACTCCTGAATTCCTTACAAAAACCGTTTTCCATTTGTCTTTCTCACATTCTCACTTGTGTGCAATTACATCGTTCGTCTTGCTAATAGACCATAATGTTGGGGGAGGAATGTGGAGGAATGGACAGTTCAAAGAGGCCTAGGGAGAAAAACGGAAGCAATCTGCACTTTATCAAATGTAAGCCTCATACAGACATCTAAGCACCCAGTCCTAACGTGGACCTGGCTTACACAAGTTGATTCTGAATGTCACTGGCAATATCGTACTTTGCATCCTTCTCTCCAACAGAGCAGGAGCCAAGCTTACCTGTTTGTCCAGGAACTCTCGAGCATCCTTCTCGATATGACCCTCATAGAGATTGGTAGTCATGCTCATTAGTCCCACCTTGGATAATCCAAAATCTGTCAGCTTTATGTGCCCCATGGAGGTGACCAACAAACTATGAAGCAGAAGGACACATATTATAACACTTGTTTGAAGTTCTTTCTTTCTTTTTTTAGGCTTTCTCCTTCTCCTGTCAATTTGTAAGACTATTCACTATGGTGGTATCAATCTTTTTCATTTATTTATTTATTTATTTTAGAGAGAAGGGAGGGGCAGGAGGACAGGGAGAGAGGATCTTAAGCGTGGAGCCCAACATGGGGCTTGACCTCACGACCCTGAGATCATGACCTGAGCAGAAATCAAGAGTTGGATACTTAACCTACTGAGCCACCCAGGCGCCCCAAGGTATCAATTTTAATATAAAACCCAGCCTGGGAAGAGGTAAGGTCATGTGAACATATTACATATGTGTATCGGGCTCATGAGTGTAATTTACAAGGGAGGGCCAGACACCCAGCCCAGCTAATCTTTGTTGGGGCAGCCACATACAGTATCATTTACAGGTTTAAACTTAGAAAAATCCAAGCATGGGACTCTGACATCTTTCTATTTTCAGAACAATAAAACAGAAAAGTGTTACCAATAATCCCACATCATACATAAGAACTAAGATAAGCAACCTGTCTGTGATTTAAGTGACACATAAGCTAAAGAACTTGGACAGAAAAATGAACTACTGTTTAAGATTTTAACTTATGGCTCAAATTTAAATTTCTGTTCATTAAGCACAAAATGTAGATTTCTTATACAATGCAAAGAAATCACATGTGACAGTTTTATGAATTTAATTTTTAAACATTTTCATTTTCAGAGGAAAAATAAAATTTTTAATTAATTAAAACATTAAAGGAATAGAGGATGTGAAAAGAGGAAAAAATAGCTACTGGAAGGAAATATTCCATATTCTAACAGCTGTCTTTGTTGGGTAATGTTGTGAATGAATTTTTTTCATGTTTTTCTGTACTTCAAAATTTTCTGGAATGAGCATGAGTTAATTTTATCATAAAATTTTCAGCACGCTTAGAATCTTTACATATTAACATGTAATGCTTTTAGAGGTGTCTGAAATTAGTGGAGAAAGCATAAAACATTTAATAAATGGTGTCAAGATGAATAACTTAGTCATTTGAGAGGAAAAAAAGTATATCTGTATCTCAAATCAGACACTAAAATGAGCTTCATGAAGATTAAAAATTAAATTCAGTATTAAATGGTGAGAGAGAACATAATATCAAGTATATCATCTTGGTGTAGGACAGGGTTATCTATGTATAATACCAAATGCGGAAACTATCCAGAAAACAACTAGAAGCTTTCCATGAAGCTATTCAAAAATGAACATAATAAAAACAACTTAAAAAAATTTAACTAACCCTGGCTTTATAATCATTTTTCTTTTGTTCTTTATAAGCTATTATTATAAGCAGCAGAGCCTTTAAAGTATTACATAAATATTATCATATATACTGCCAAAATAACTCATTTGGGAACGTTTTGGGAGAATTGCAAAACATGCAAAGCAGCATTAAAAGAAAACATTTTTAGAGACATAAGACAACTTTTTGTATTGTGTGTAAAAAAAGATGTTTCCTCGGTGTACATACTTGTCTGGTTTCAAATCCCTGTGTACAATTCCATAATTATGTAGATATTCCAAGGCCAGCACCGTCTCGGCAAAGTACATCCTGGCCATATCAACAGGGAGAGGCCCCATGTTCTTCATTAATGTAGCACAGTCACCCCCTGTAAAACCCAAGCACAGGATTTAGCAGGTGGAGTATCAAGAAGACCATCAATTCAGATTACAGACCTTCAAAGCAGAATGGCCTCTACCCACAGACACAGCATCTCAAATTCCGAAGTGGAGGCCATGCACTGAGTAATCATGTTTCTAATTAAGATGTGGTATGGGGGAAAAAAAAATATATTTTTTTCAAGCAGGAGTCCTCCTAAGGGAGGAGATTTGCTCCAAAGTGGAACTGAAATTGGAAGAACAAAATACACCAGCATAAAGCATGGGTTCTGGAATCAGGCTACCTGAGTTCAAATACTACCTCTGACTCTAACAGGCAGGGAGATCTTAGACAAACTAGTCCCGGCTCTTTCCTCTAATATCAGGATGGTAAGACTATCATCCCTTTTCAGATTATTGTGAGGATTAAATGAGGTAATCTATGTAAAGAATTTAGGATACTGCCAATATTTATTAAATGTGATAAATGTTATTACTGTAAACACAACCAAGGTTGATAAAGCCAAGTGCTGTTGTGGGGAAAAAAAATGGGTGGAAATCAGGCAAGATATGCTTTTGTCTTGTATCCACGAGGAAAGTATCTAGTAAGTCTCTCCCTTCCAAGGATTTCAGTTCACTCATCTGCAAAATGAAAAGGTTGAACTAAATGATATTTAACGTTTCTTTGAGGTTTATAGTTTTGGAATTCTGCTCCTACGATTTTAAGAGCTTAAATTAGATGCTTTGAAGATTGTTTTGGCCCTTCCTAATATATTCCTTTTATTAACTTCGTTTATATCAATAAGTCACGGCCAAAAACACAGAAATTGAATGTGAAACTGAAGGAAATAAGAATGTTTAAAACGTAAGCCGTGAATGTCAAAAAAAAAAAAAAGCTACATTTTCTTGACTTGTATCTCCTCCTTTTCTCCTAACTCATTTTTAAATTCATACCATAGACCAAAAAAGGATATATTTTTAATTCATTCTTTAAGAAGATCAATTGTAATGAACGATTTTATGCTATGTGATAAAAGTGAGTAGGAAAAAATCCCATCACCTATATTCTAACTTTAATGACCAATAGGATTAAAAGCTATTAAAAAAGAAAAACAACCTTCTTCCAAATAGCACTAATTTTCCCTTTGTTATAGTAGAGCAGGCACTTTACAAGCAATTATCAGAAGATAATGACTGGGAATACAGCCATCTCATTGCCGGGCTTCGCTTCCTAGGCGGATACAACCATTATGTAGCCCAACAGGGAAAGCCTCCACTGCACAAAGGAGGAGGCAGTTTCGGGGTACTGGCGTCATGTTCTCTGAGTTACCTTCCACGTATTCCATGACCATGCATAAGTGGCGCCTTGTTTCAAAGGAGCAATACATGCTGACGACAAAGGGGTTCTCTGCAAAAGTCAGGATATCCCGTTCCACGAAGGCCTGCTGGATCTGATTGCGGAGGATGAGGTTTTGTTTATTAATCTTTTTCATAGCAAACCTCTGCCGGGATTCCTTATGCCGAACAAAGTAGACTGCCCTGAAAAGGAGCACAAGAGGTGGGGTTCACGGGAAGTGAGGATGCTTCTGGATACGGTAAACAATGGGTGACTGTCAACTTTTTTTTTTTTTTTTACATTCACATGGCGCCTGGAATTCAGCTCACACATGCTATCCTAGCAGCTACAAACATCCCATTTCAGGCCAAAATCTTATGGCTACATTTATTTCTAAATCTTTCAATAAAGGTCACTGATCGTACATAAGGCATCAAATTCATCTTCACCACAAGGACAGAAATGGACAGTCTCCAGAGTGAGCTATTTTCCAATAGCTAGCTGATGTTTTCAGTTTTTCCACAAACAAAACAAAATTCAATATGTAAGTCAGAGCAGGAAAAGAACTAACAAAAGTACATACATACCATGAGCTATATCCTTTCAAGCATTAGATATACGTTAGGCATTTTTTCTAGACTGACTAAAGTGATAATTTTCTATATGATACCCTTGGGATCTGCAAAAAGGACCAAAGCTTCTTAGGGTATGTGGCTTCCAACCTGAGGGTAATTTACTCCCCATGAAATTCCAGATAAATGAGAAGTATGTAATAGGTCATAGGAGGCTGTCCTGCAATGAAGAGTAGCGTATTTCCTCACTACACACCTCAGCATGATTTACACCTGTGGCTGTTTCAATAGAAAATGCATTTCCCAACATAAAAGGGCACCAATAATACACTGTTCCATCCAACCCATGGCCAAGGTGACAGCCAACTTTACTGTAAAATGAGGAGGTTGCACTGAATTTCTGCTGCAAGACTCACTCACATACTCTAGAGAAGCAATTCTGGCTGGGTAAAGACAATGGACTCCATGAAGCTTGATGTGGAAGAAACAAGTCAAGAGAAGGAGGAGGCTTAAAACCTCACCTGGAAATTATGAGTAACAAGGAAAATGTCTTCAATTGGCTCATTTTCTCTTAAGTTACTCCTCACTTGTCATTATTGTAGAAGAACAGATTTGAGGTCTCAGGTCAGCAAATGCTCAAATAAATAATAATTTACATAAACAGCAATCATTCACAGTAAAGTATATCCAATGTCTGTCTCCTAAGACAAGGGGTTATCTGATCTGAGATGCATATTTCACTGCTCATGAAAAATGAATGCAAGGCGGACTAGGACACCCTAAATCCCTGCTGAACCAATATACCAGAGTAATCCACTTACATAAATCTTAAGTATATTCAATCTCAGTTTAATTGGTATTCACATGTTCCGCCCAAGTGTTCAACTAGGAATTCATTTTTCTTTCAAGTCTGTGTAGGTTTGCCTTTTCATTGTATCCATCTTTTTCCTTTACTTGCAAAATTACATTTTTTTGGTCTCTGTTTAAACCTTATTTATTTATTTATTTATTTTACTTTACTTCTTTTTTCCTCTCTCAATATTTCTTTGGTCTTCTCTTTTTTCCTTCACTGTATAGAACAAATCTCTTTTATCCACACTTTATATAACCAACTCAAGGAAGAATCTAGCACTGTTATTCCCACTGTACCACAAACTGACAAGGGAGCTGGCCGGCTGGGCGGCCAACACTTTCCACACAGGCTAGCGGTCTTCTTTAGGATGCCAAACGCTGGGGCTCTCACCAGCTGGGTTTATCTCTACACCTGTTTTCTTGGCAAGGCTTGATATCAGGATTAACTAATTTAAACAAATATTTAAACTGATGAAACAGGAGTGTGAAAAGGAAAAACTTTGTTGTCTATAAAAAAAACAAATGGGATGCTTTGGAAAGTACGGATAGATATGTTAAATGTGAGTTACTAAATAAAATTCCGATTGATTTAGTATGGGTGAGAAGGTTTTCAAAAGTGGAAAAAATAATACAGATCTAGAGTCCTATGTGCGGATTGCTTCAAGTTCCTGCTTCGCCTTTAAAGCAGTGAAAAATGAAAATAAAAACAATGTATTAGAAGGATGGTTTATATAGGCTGTCTTAAAAAGACCTTATAGCAGAGGACCAGTAAATTTATATGTATCTGTGTGTGTGTGTATACACACACACACATTTATTTATTTATCATTTCTTTTTTTAAGAGAGAGAGCGTGCGAGTGGTGGAGTGGGAGGGGTGGAGGGGGAGAGAGGGAGAGAGAATCCCAAGCAGGCCCCACGCCCAGCACAGAGCCCGACATGGGGCTCGATCTCACAACCTAGGAGACTGTGACCTGAGCTGAAATCAAGAGTCAGACGCTTAACTGACTGAGCCACCCAGGTGCCCCTGAATTTACATATATTTAGATTAAACTGACATGTTTAATTTCAATATGCATCTGAAATTAAAAGTATGTTTAAAGTATACAACTTTTTTTTTAATGATTTCTGACTTTGACCTCTTAATTAACCAACCAACTCCTCCTTTTTTCTGGATCAGATTAAAGGCTTTTACAGTATTTTTCTTTTTCCAAATACTGATTGGGTAAAATCAAGATCCCCCCGAAAACTTTGTGCTTCTCCTAAGCAGATGGTGGAAGGCAGACAGACAGATACAAAGGGAGGGCAGAAAATAACCTGGCTTCCTCAGAAACAGAAGACAAACACTGGTGAACAAATACTGTTACGAAGAACTTTTGAAACAGGGAATTTACCTTTTAAAATAAAATTTAGAATTTGAAATGTTGAAAAAAAGAGTATCTTTATATAAGTGCCCGCCTATTACTGAGAGTCAACTGGAGTACAGCTTAGGTTCTATCTCTTCTTTGAATATGTCACACTGAGTAGATGTAGCGCTGAGGACCCTCAGACATGATCCTAGGAACTTCACTGTCAGGTGGCTGCCATTGGATTTTCATCAACTATCAGCGTTTCTTACATAAACAACTGCTCAGCAATATGTCTGAGAACAACAGGAAGTGGGGAAGGAAGAACAGGGCCATCACCATTTAATGAAATAACAGGAGAAAGAGGCCTCAGGCCCAATTTGACCAGCATCCAGACCAGGTTTCCCACGGGCACTCTGTGAATGAAGAAGGATTCATATCTTTACTTTCAGATTTGCAATTCGTAAAACCTCATCTGACTTTTTGCGCTGCTTTGCTGGGATGTGCTTAAAAATCATCAGTTAATCCCTAGGGAAATTTACCTACACCAATGGAAATTAATCCTATAGGTAGCTTGAGACATCACTGCCGCAGGACGTGCATATCTTGATCAAGCTGCAAAAGTCAACTAGACTTCTTAATTAGAATCTGCTGTAGCTAGTTATCTGCTTGTTTCATGTTCTTGTTTTTACAGTTCTTTACTGCTTTAGGAATATCCTTCTTAACGCTGAAATCTGCTTGTTGAGCAGTAACTGTCCTCTCTCATGTACACCTTTCTTCCTCTCCTGTAAAGTGATGTTCCAAATCTACTTAAGTCAGCAGAGAGAGGGGGAGATTGAAACAGACAGACAGACAGCAACCAGCTGACAGACAGGACATCTATCACTGCTAAGCACAGCTATACGTCATCCAAGGTTACAAAACTGGACCGAACGGATTCAGCCCCTCATTTGTCTGCAGTTTGGCCTCAATGGCTGCTTTCTTTGAAAACGCTGCTTCTGTCTCTCTCTTCCTACACTGACCTGCCTGGTAAATAGTAGAACTTAAGGGTGGGGGGTGATGCACAGAGTGGGGCAACTGTCCTCTCTCAGTCAAGGTTTTTTTCATCCCAGACAGAAGTGAGGGGTGGGAGGGTGGGGAGAAATGGAATCAAAAGCTGATGGGATCTAGAACAGAATGAATCAGTCCTATCAGGAGTGTGAATGTCTAATGCGTATAAAATTACGCATAAATCTGAGAGCCCAGGACATGAATCCGTGCGAGCAAATCTGCACATGGGAACAAGAGCGCATGTGTTAGAGGAAAGGCTGTAGGGGGAGAGGCGTTAAGCCACCAACCTGCACACATGGGCCCGTCATGTAAATGACCCCATCTTTTGAGGCATAAAAGAGAACGATGTGCAGCAAAGCTAGAAACTAAAGCAAAGTGGGACAGAAATGCTGCGCCTTTAAAATTTAGTTTAAAAAATTTTTTAAGTCAATTTTATTCTTTCAGTCTGAAAATATCTGAAGCTGTCATTTGAAAGTCCAGATGAGGGCGCCTGGGTGGCTCAGTTGGTTAGGTGACTGCCTTCGGCTCAGGTCATGATCCTGGAGTCCCGGGATCGAGTCCCGCATCGGGCTTCCTGCTCGGCGGGGAGTCTGCTTCTCCCTCTGACCCTCCCCCCTCTCATGCTCTCTCTATCTCATTCTCTCTCTCAAATAAATAAATAAAATCTTTAAAAAAAAAAAAGAAAGTCCAGATGGAATCAAGAGAAGATGGCTCCAGGTTGTAACAGGAATACTTTGAGAACGAAGGAGCGCTGCTTGGAATCAGCACACCTGTGACCAGCCATGCCTCTGAGCCTCTTTCCCCCCACCTGGGTGGAAATAATGTCAACAACACACGGGGCTCTTGCGAGAAGACAGCATACATAAACGAGCACCCCCACCCTTAATACTGGGGGGTCAGATGGGAATTACATGGCAAGGGTGAGCTTTCTCCAAAGTGCTAAGCTGGCATGAAAGGACGTCTGACCTTCAGCCAGGGATCCGAAACGCGTTCAACGTAGAAGGAAATGGGATGATACCAAATTAGCAGACTGGCTTTATAACATGAACTGTCACTAAGTACGATGTTGAGAAAACCCCGACGTGTTATAGCGCCTTCTAATGAGAGGGTCAGTTTCCAGCACAGGCGATTTTCACCAAGTCACAGAATCAGGATCACTGTAAGCCACTGATGTGAGTGATGGACTGTAACACAAGTGCTGAGGAAACCCCCAACAGCCTCAGTTCATCTCCAGAGAGGCATCCATGTGTTCAGCCAGTTCGCATAAGCCTGCAATCAGCATCTTGACTGGGTGGACCAATAGGTATAGCTCCATTCAAATTTTAAATTAAAAATAATTAAAATGAAGAGGAAGTCTGTCAGAAATGTAATGAGAGATTAAATCTGAGAAGAGCAAAAGGGAAAAAAGTTTTGGCTGACGGGCAGAAGCTGCGGCAGGCAGCCTGTCAGCCCATTAAGGACTTGGCCTGCATCCTGGCTGTTTACTGATTCACAGCTTGTTTAACTTCTTGTATATTCCCAACCATTCCCCGAAGTGTGATATATACCTCATCTACTAGACAGTGGTTTAATTGCACTACAAATGAGTTTACTCAACCAATTAGAACTCCAAATACTGCTAAGATATATGCCCAGATTTTATAAAAGCGGTGTTTCACAGATAATCTTATTCTAGAATTCCACTGCCAATAAAATCTATCTGTGCTCAAGCCCAGAGACCCATTAAATCAAAGTTCAGTTTTTTCCCTAATGAAGGAAGAAATCCTCAGAGGATCTCGAAAACTAAAACTAACTAAAACCAAATAAGAAACAAATAAAACTCGCAAACAATCGTATGCTAAAACAATTTTCTTAGGGGGAAAATTTTCAATGAGGTCCTTGAACTAAATGAAATATTATGAAAATAGAACATCAGAAAACATTTATAAGCCACATCAAGAAATATACCATTTGACATAATCCTGAAAATCAATCAGTGAAGCACAGAAAGGACTCACAAATATTTAAGTTCTTCACTAAGTTAATGGTGTGGAAAATATTAGAGACAAAAAAAAAAATCGTAAGGAGAAATATCCCTCGTGGCATAACAAAAATCTCTTTGATAATCTGCTCATATGTGTGATAAATGGCAATAAATGTCTATGGGATTCTTTATTGCTCTCCATATACAGATGGAATTGAGATTAATACTTAATTAAACTAGAGCTCTTGGGCTGTCTAAAATGGATCCGGACACAGTATGTGTATTAATTACCCTGTTTCTTAGTAACTCAGCAGGATTTCGTCACCACTGACCCTACCATAAGAAGAAAACCTTGTGTCTCTAAAAATGAAGCAAGAAAGGGGCACCACTAATGTGACCAGATCAGAATACAGACTTAACTGAAAAGAAAACAAACAAAAAACCCTGGTATAATATAAAGACTGAAAGATATGCATTGCTTTCAGTTTTCAAACAGTCTTCTTATTCAAGTGCTTCTCTCACCAGATGGACTGGGGGTCAGATGGGAAGTACCGGCTAATTCTTAAGTAGTGATGCTATGTATGAGTTTACATGTTTTCAGAGATATAGATTTTATAAATCCAGATATGGCTGTGTGTATGCATAGATAGGACCCAAAGTCAGGCGTTTCTGCACCCAGAAGGGAGGCAGAAGGTCTATATAAACATTTTCCTTTACTTTATAAAGTCTCCTTCTCTATACCTCTAAAATAACTCCAGGTCACTTGATAGGTTTTCTTGATGGAGTATCTAAATGAAAAACAATTTTGGCTGCACATTATACCCACCAGTGAAGGAGCAGTGAACTGAAAACTCAAGTCCCTAATGATACCTATTTGGCCTAAGATAAATGCGAAGAATATATTACTCAGGTGTGTAAAAATACAACAAGAGAGTTTTCTTCAATTACTCACCCATAGGCTCCATTGCTAATCAATTTAATCGTTTCAAAATCACTTTCCCGAGGTTTCCTTTGAAGTTTCAGGGAAGCATTAGAGCTCTTGGAAACAAAATATGGAAGTTAGAAAATAGTTGGGAATTCAAGAAAATGATTTTAATAGCAACACAAATGACATTTGCATTCTATGCTCTGGCGTTGGATCTGCTGAAGGGCAGTATTCAAGCCAAAGGAAGTCGGCACCCAGCTTTAAAGATCAATTCTGCAGAGCAGTGCTGGTAGACTGCCTCTCAGGACGGCGCCTCAGTCTCATTTAAGTGAACCCCCATTTCTGGGAGATGAAGGTACCAAGCTTTTGAAAATATCCAATTTGGGGGCACCTGGGTGGCTCAGTAGGTTGGGCATCTGCCTTCGGCTCCGGTCATGATCTCAGGGTCCTGGTATCAAGCCCCACGTCGGGCTCCCTGCTCCACGGGGAGTCTGTTTCTCCCTTTCCCTCTGCCCCTCCCCTTGCTCATGCTTTCTCTCTCTCTCTCTCTCACTCAAATAAATAAATAAAATCTTAAAAAAAATTTCCAATATTAATTTACCTCTGTAAACTATTCAGGTTAGCCTCATCCTAGTCTTTTCAAGTTTTAAGTCCAAAATGTCAAACCTTAACTTTAGTTTCAGTCCGTCGGAACAGAAAGGACGGGCCATTGTGCCTCTACATGGACTGATGGACAGTGCAGCTTCTCTGTCCCTGACCAGAGGATGTCTGTCCTTCCTATGACAACCCTTTTTGTTCAGAAAAGGTAGTCGGCAACGACGAGACAATGTGTGCCTCTCTTTGACTTCCATACCATTAGTCTTACCATGGTTTAGATATCTATTTTCAAAAAGATAGCTCTTTAAAAAGTTGAGCTCAGGGGCGTTTGGGTGGCTCAGTCGGTTAAGTGTCTGCCTTCGGCTCAGGTCATAATCCCAGAGTCCAGGTGGAGCCCCGCATTGGGCTCCCTGCTCAGTGGGGAGTCTGCTTCTCCCACTCCCCCTGCTCATGCTCTCTCTCTCAAATAAATAAAATCTTTAAAAAAAAAAAAGTTGAGCTCAAAGTATAATAGTAAGTAAAATGCTTTTGGTTTTTTTTTAAATATTCTCTCACAGTCCACATATCTTAGCACCGAGAGGGTGAGCACTGACCGCGTCTTTGTTCCCGCTGTAGAGCCTTCCCATGATTGTGGAAGCAACCCCACGAGCCTGAGGTATGTGCCACCCTCCTCCACTTGATGCTGTCATCTACTGATGTGCTGTCCCATTTACCTTAGGAAGACCTGGGTGCCCAGCTTTCCCACCCACCTCTCTGCTCGTGTTCTCTCACCACCCTGGGTGACTTCAGTGTCCGTGCAGGTAACTCACCCAACAATCTGGCCTCTGGGCCACTTGAGTTGCTCAACCAAACAACTCTTCCTCTCGTCTGTTTCCTCCTGCCCTCTGGCCACAGGCCCTGGGTCTAGTCATCACTGCTGATGCCCCATCTCAGAAGACATAACTGAAGACTGGGACCACTCACCTGTTCCACCATTCCACTCTGATGGGTCCCCACAGCTTTGGGCTCAAAGATCCCGTTCAAGGCCCACCTGTCTCAATGCTTCCCCACCCAGGTGACCTCATTCATGCCCATGGATGACTGCTACATCATTCAGAACTCCACCGAAAACCCTCCGAGTGCCAAGAGATCCCACGCCATGTATACGGATGCTAGTGTGATGGCTTTTCTTGAATGTCCCCCAAAAACTTAAGTCTACACTTATTCAGAATTATAATAATTATGATAAAATTAACAAAACAGCTATCATTTATTTAGCATGTAGTAGTGCTGCTGATCTAACCACTTCTCATAAAGTATCTCATTCAATATTTTGTCATCTTTTATATTTACTTTACAGAAGAGGAAAGTGAGGCACAGAGAAGATTCCCACAGCTACCAAGAGGTGCAGCCAGCTTTTAAATCCAGGCCATCTCACTCCAGGGCCTGGGTTCTTAGCCCCCAGGCTACACAGCTGCCTCTCTTCCTGACCACTCACAACTCGCGCCAGCCTCGTTCCCCTCTTGGCGCTCACGATTAGGGACAATGGCACTAGCATCCCAGAACTCTTGCTTGTGCCACTGCAGAGCCTCTGAGAGGCTTCCCCATGGTCACTCCTGCCTGCCCCCCTCACCCCATCTGTGTTCTATACCGCCATCGTAAGATTGTTTTTAAGCCGTAACTCTGACTGGGTCATCTTCCTGTCCACCTGTATCCACCCCACAAACACATACATTTCTTCCCAAGTTTAACAGCCTCCCACCATTCTTTGAAAGAAAAGATTTGACAGAGAAGAACAATGAGGACCTCTATATCTGGTTTTTGCCCCAGCTCTCCAGTCTCTATGGTCTCCTTGCCCTTACCCTCAGATGCACTCTGCCCCCTTGTGGCACAATCTTTGTCCAGGACGTTCCCTGGGCCTGGAATGTTCCCTCTGCCCCTTTCTCATCCTAGTAACTTCTCATACCACAGCTCCTGGGCCATTACTTCAGGAGATCTTTTTGGACTGGCAAGACTAAGGTCACTCTCGGGGCGCCTGGGTGGCTCAGTCATTAGGCGTCTGCCTTCGGCTCAGGTCGTGATCCCAGGGTCCTGGGATCGAGCCCCGCATCGGGCTCCCTGCTCGGCGGGAAGCCTGCTTCTCCCTCTCCCACTCCCCCTGCTTGTGTTCCTGCTATCTCTCTCTCTGTCAAATAAATAAATAAAATCTTAAAAAAAAAAAAAAAAAGACCAAGGTCACTCTCTATTAATGTTATGTTTTAGTAGCACATGGCCCTTTTTCTTCGTACATCTTATTCAAGTTTATCATTTTTATTTCTTGTGCATGGTTTCTTTTTATTAATTCCTTTCTCTTTGAAAAGAGGGGCTAAAATGGTATGCTGCCTTGCAAATAGAAGCACAATACATGTTTATGGAAGAAATAAAATAATTGACACACTCCAAATCTCCAGATGCTGATAAATGGAAAAACCAACACCATATTTCATCAAGATGGATACTTACACTCACTGATTCATCTGTTTCTGGTGTTTCTGCTGTCCCACTATCATAGTTTCCCAACTGAGCCATTTCTAAATTAAAAAAAAAAGAAAGAAAAATTGAACAATTTCAACTAGACAAGAAGTAACTTCTTCAATATTTAAAAAAAAAGGTTTACACTTCAACGTACCCATGGGAAAATTTTAAATAAAAAATGGCAAGACCCAATAATAGACTTTCTTGAAATTGTTCAGGACATGCCCTTCCCTGGAACCCCATTTCTCATGAACACCCAGACACAGGTACTTCAGGGCTGGGCCTCTGCTTCAGCTAGCAGGACTGACTGGCCAACACAATCTTAGGGTTGGGGGGCGGGGGGGGTGTGTATCAATGGCTGTGCTTATAATAGAGTTGTCCAGAGAGGCAAGTCTTCCCAGGCTCTGACAGGCATCGAAAATGCACTGACTTCAGCTCAGAGATGGTTCTCAACTTGAGGCTGAGTATTCCTCATTCCATTCCTTCACAGCCACTGAGTGATATCCCCTGCCTAGTACACAAAGAATTCGCAATTTGTCACAAAGGAAGTAGTAGTTGTTAAGAGGGGCTGGACAATGAAAAGACTTGGCACACCACCATGATCAGCACTTACTAGGGACCTTTCACCCTCAGGCTCTCCCTCCTAAGGTGGGAACAATGTATTCATCTCTGAGAGTTTCTTGTAAGTATGACATAGGATATTCATGTAAGGCGCTTAGCGTGTTGACTAACAAAAATGAAGTTTTCCCTGAATACTGATGGTTATTTATGATTCTTAGTTACATCCTGTAAAGAAGTCAATCCTGGGCTGGATGCCACATGCCTGACACCAGCTTAAGTACTAACTTGGTGGTCTAGTTAAAAGAGACAAAAGCAAAATAAAATTAAAAAAAGAAAAAAAAAGAAAAAGCCATTTAATTGCTCAGTCTACAATGGAATGCCTCTCTGAGTCTATATAAGTAAATGAAGAAACCGGATTCATTTTATTGTTCATTTTAATTTTTATATTTAAAGAAAAAAAGATGTTTAATTAAAAAAAAGAACATGAAGGAATTCTCTCCAAAACTCTGATAGGTAGCTACCTCTGAGTGGTAAGGTCATAGGTACTTTACATTTCTAATTTTTCAAAATTGAACATGTATACTCAGTTATATATATAATAACTTATGCATAAGTTATAGTTTTTAGTTACCTATTTTTGTATGCATCTAAAAGTAGTCCTTAGACTCTCATTTCACGTATTCATATTCTTATAAATATCATCATCCTTTTCGGGAGAGATTACACATAAAAGCTATGAAGCAAAACAACCCTGGAGTGTTGTCTTTAGATAAAAACTAACAAACTCCAGAATCTAAAATAACTGATGATACTAACTTTCCTAGTTTACCAGTAGGGGAAATTCAAGAATAAAAATGAGCTCAGTACAAAGCAGGTGCTTTCTTAGTGTCGTTCAAGTGATGTCAACATCCTATATGACGAGCACGTCAGATTGGAGGACTGGGAGGTGAGCGAAAATGTATTCAGTCTCAGGGACTCCCAAGGATAGGACTGATTTTAATATTGTTTAAATAAAACAGCAACAGTACCTAACATTTATTATGCATTACTGCATCTTGGGGGGAGAGATGAACTCATATAATCCTAAAGACAACTCTACGAATAGGTACCATTTCCCTGATTTTATGGAAAGAACACTGAGGCACAAAGCAGCTCATCAAAATAGCACAGGGCTGGTGCCAGGGTGCAGACCTGAGCTTTTCCACTCTACACCCTCACCCCCAACCATCAAAGGTCAGGCCGTAGGTCTGTTATAGTGTAGATGTTGACAAGAAGGGGTAACAAATGTAGATCAGAGTCCTTAATAATGGCATGTTAAGTGGTAACAAATAGATTAAAAATCATCCTCAGATCTGAATCAAGAAAATGAAGTGTCAAGAGTTAAAAAACACAACTCCCAGGGATGAATTTGTATTACTAAACTCAACACTTGTCCAAGGTCACTATTAAGATTTTTTTAGAGTCTCTATAAAGGTACATAGATGGGTCGCAGATGATTCACCTACCAACGTTCAGCCCACAGTGATCTTTACTGCCAGGTTAAGAAAACTGTGAAGAACTCACTCGCTCTACAGTTCAAGGTCTGAAACAACCTCAACTCCACCAGCGTGAACAGTCACTCTAATATACTTTGACAGCCTCCCCACTCCAATTATTTTCATAAAAAAAACAAAAGATCGTTCTGTTTTAGATAGGATTTCTGCTAAATAACTATTATCTGGGAAATACATATTATTTGCAAGCAGTGAGTAGTAATGGAATGGAACCAGGAGTCAGCTTTTGAAGCAGAGAGCTAAGGCATCGTTTTGCAATGCCTGAAGAGATTTTTAAAACTCATCTAAATACCATTAAACATCTGCCCTTTTTATTTCATTGATTTAAACCATTTCTGAAGACTCATGATTCAAAAAGGTAAAGATGGTAATTTAAAAGCCATGGGGAAAAATCTCTCCCCAGGGAACTTTTCAGAAAAGCAGCCACCAGTCTCTGATAAGTGATGAATCTGATGTGGTATTGCTTTCAGGACAGTATAAATTTATCTGGCATTATCTCCCCGGAATGCATGCATCATTTCACTGGAAGCAAAGATCCAATGGCCGTAAGAGCAAACAAAGCGGGGGAAATAGGAGAGCAGCGCAGAGAGCAGCAGGTTCCCTGGCTTTAGATGGGAAAATATCTGTGCCAACAGTTACCATCACTACAAACAATTTAGCAAGATAAACGCTGTTTGCAAATTCAATTTAATGAACCACAAAGAGGATTTTGAATGAAGGAGTCTCTGATTGTTTTTGACTCTTTTTAGGCAGTATGTACACCTTCAGTGTTTTAAAGGACAATCCAAACAATAATGAGCAGGAAAAGGTTGGGGACAGGGGAGTAGTTTACCGATACTAGATTAAAAAAAAACACTAACAACGTGCTTAGTCTTCAGTGTATTTAATAACATTAGACCTATAAGCTTTCAAAAACATTTTCCCCCCACTGGACTTTCTGTATATTATCATTTTTCATAATTTTTTGGTTACATGCAAAAAATATGCCTACCAACACTGTGCCTGATCTAAATCTATCCTCAGTTGTATTACTCCCCAATTACTTTAAATGTCACTTTTAAATTAATTATAATTAATTTCTTTGGCAACATGTTCAAAATTAAAAGGACACTTGAGAAGAACCCCACTGAGCTTCGCAAGAGAAAAAGTACTCAGAGAAGGCAGAAATCTAAACCCTTTCAGGATACTGTGGCATTGTCAGGCGGACAGGCCTCTGGGATTTCAAGGCCTATCCCCACTCTAGGTACAACACAAAATGGGTCAGGTTCACCTGCTCTTTGGGACTCAACTTAGTGAGTTGTGAACCTCATAGTTAAGGGTTGCTTTTTTCTTCAAAGCACAATGGGCCCCCAAATTCGTACTTTTCAACAGATAGAGCCAAATCATGTGGAAAAAGTAAAGACTTGCTAAGTTCTTGTCTGAAGTCACAGTGCAGAATCAAATGAAAGGTCAGCCCAACTAAAGTACGTACCTTCCAAAGGATCCTTATTGAGCCCCAGTTGGCTAATGATGTACCTGGGGATGTCAGTTTTAATACCCTGTCCTTCTTTTGCATGGCCTTCTGCTGCTTCCAGGAGGTAGTAAAATTCTTCAGGATCAAATTCCTAGCAGAAGACAAACACAGATGTATACTTATTTGAGCCAAAATTCTCTGAGGTTTTAATACATAAATTCCTCTCACCATAAAATTTGCTGGATATACACGGTTGTGGGTTATTTATGCAGAAAGGAAGCAAACGACTTTTAAAAAGTATGTAATTCTTAGTTCATATTTGAGCCGTTCATATTCTAAGACAATACATGTATGTCCTTGGTAACTCATATAGTGACCATTTCTAATTTCCTTGTAATGCAACTTTGAAGATATCCTATTGCTATCTTATCGAAAATGAGTATGTCTAAAATTCAATTATGCCTTTTTAGGGATGTAATATTTTTAAAAATGAAATCTCATCCAGAAGATTCAGTTTCTCTCTTCGCATAAACAGCCACAAAAGGAGTAATGCTAGAATACGTAGAATATTCTCAACGGTTTTGCAGGAAACTCCATTAGTAGAAAGGGGTGCAAAAATATTTTTAAAAAATATCAAAATTACCACTTTTTATCAGTACATTCTAAAATTAAGATTCATGTATGTGAAGATGAAGAAAGAAAGACAAAATTACAAAATTAATTCTATTACCTGTGTCTATTTTTTTTCTTAATTTTTTTTTTTTAATTTTTATTTATTTGCAAGAGAGAGAATGAGAGACAGAGAGCATGAGAGGGAGGAGGGTCAGAGGGAGAAGCAGACTCCCTGCCGAGCAGGGAGCCCGATGCGGGACTCGATCCCGGGACTCCAGGATCATGACCTGAGCCGAAGGCAGTCGCCCAACCGACTGAGCCACCCAGGCGCCCCACCTGTGTCTATTTTTAAAATTTGGTAGCACATTTTGCCTATGCATTTTACTCTCTTCGGTTGCTACTTCTAGGATGTAATAAAAATCTTTAGGAGTCCATCACTCTAAATGGATGCCATGGGTTTATTTGTTGTATACAATTATGTTTGCAGATTTAAACCACAGAGGCTATTTTCAGTTATATTTCCTAGATTTTATCCCCTCAGGATGTTTCCCATTTTGATTAATACCCCTAACAGCATTTCACCTGAGAATTACTCAAGGGTTTTTTTTTTTTTCTTTTTTTCTTTTCTTTTTTTTTAATTTTATTATGTTCTGTTAATCACCATACATTACATCATTAGTTTTTGACGTAGTGTTCCATGATTCATTGTTTGCGTATAACACCCAGCGCTCCATTCAGTACGTACCCTCTTTAATACCCATCACAAGGCTAACCCATCCCCCTACCCCCCTCCCCTCTAGAACCCTCAGTTTGTTTCTCAGAGTCCGTAGTCTCTCATGGCTCGTCTCCCCCTTCGATTTCCCCCTCTTCATTTTTCCCTTCCTAAAGGTTTCTAAAGGCCATGTAAAAAAAGCTCACTTCAAATGGAGGAAAGTCAAAACCAACGTATACACTGAGTGCCCTTTCTAGAAACCTACAATGACACAGAGCACAGGCCTGAAACAGCAGACCTAACACCACTAGTTGGAAAACAACCCCTAAAACCCTGAAGCTCCAGTTTCATCTGAGCTTTAAATAGTGCTGAAAACAGCAACACTTTCAATTCTGCTCTTAAGTTCACCTGTTTCTATCCTTGAGAGGCTATACTTTTACTTTTTCTCTTCTGGTGAGGAGGGATTACTGAAAAAATTAATTTCCTCTTTTAAGGCAAGATCTTCTATGAGCATATCTGCTGCTGTCCAGAGAAACAAGTTTTAATGCTAAATGCTATTTTTTCCCCCAAATTAAACAAATGCAGGAAGTACAAGCATGTGATGCATAATTCAAAAAGTACAATGGGAGACGCAGTACAAAATCAGACTTCCTTCTGCCTGCATTTGCCAGGTTCTCCCAGAGGCATCCAGAGTATTTTCCCCCCTTATCCTTCCAGAGACAATGCCAAATGGTGCTTTGATTCTGTGGTTCTAAGGGTCCTGGCCACTGATGGAAACACCTACTCCACCATGCCCCTCCTTGTCTCCTTAAGATTTCCCCTCTCCTGTGACTCACTATGCACTGGTATATATTTATGGGGCTGTGAACATTTCACTATTATAAAAAGCTATGAATGTTAATTGAAATAAGGGCAAAACCCTAGCAATACCACCCTAGATGTGTACATGTGAATGTATAATTCTGACAAGCTGAACTGCATGTAGCGTTACCAATACCTTAATGGCTAGCAGAACTTAAAAGTGAGTGCTGATACTATGTTAAGCCCCTTAAAACTATTCTTACATTCAAAGCTTCGTATTTGTTCACAGTATGGACTGAAATGTCAACAAAAATTACATGAAACAAAAATTTTAAAATAGGAAAATGACCAAGGACAATATAATTGACAAGATGAACTCATCTTTGGAAGTCTCACTTCTTCCAGTGTATATGGGACCCTCCTATACTCTCCCAAGTGGGTTGCCACTGAGCATCTATTTCTTTCTTTTTTTTTTTTAAGATTTTATTTATTTATTTGAGAGAGAGAATGAGAGACAGAGAGCCCGAGAGGGAAGAGAGTCAGAGGGAGAAGCAGACCCCCTGCTGAGCAGGGAGCCCGATGTGGAACTCGATCCCGGGACTCCAGGATCATAACCTGAGCTGAAGGCAGTCACTTAAGCAACTGAGCCACCCAGGCGCCCTGAGCATCTATTTCTAACATGCTGTATTTTAAGAACAAATACTAGTACCTGCAGGTTATGAGAAAGCCTATCTCTGATTTCCCTCTCTCTGCATCTTGCCAACTCCAAAAAAGTGAGGCCCAGCAAGTGTTTTAAATTAGCTGTCACACAGTAATGGTGTTGAGATAAGGTTAAGCCCATTAGTTCATGATGATCTTTCCAGTTTGACCAGAATGTGATATGATTATCACTCAATACAGCACAAGTCCTAGAATTTTTACTTAAACCAGACAACAAAATCACATGGGGATGTGCCATAAACATTCATAAGCTGTAGTTCCTGTTGACTCTTTCCATTTAACTCTGGTCTTTGAAGCCAAATGAAACTGGAGGTTTCTGATGGTCACTGCTTTCCCACAGTTAAATAATGGAGTCCCCTCTAGGGGCAACTTACCAAGCACTCCAATAACCGAGCTGGGCGGGCAATAACAATTAGGATCTTTCGAACTAGTTGTTTAATAAATGCCAATTCTCCACTTTCTGAACGATCATGAGCCTATGAGAAAGCAATGAAGAGAAAGGTGAGATAGGATTGATCTATTAAATGGAAGAGAAAATCAGCAAAGTACGCTAACTAGATAATTGCAAGTATTTGAAAATTAAGTGATTTAGAAAATACTTTTCAAAGATTGATAAGCAAACATTATTGCTTCACATATGGACATCATTAAACTTCTTTATCTACAAAATGGCTCTATTAGCTAAATTTCAATTGTAAAACTTTGATTTATTCTGTATTAAAAATCAAACATTAAAACTCTCAATGTGAACCATGATGACGGAGAGATTAACAGATTATGACACATTAAGCACATGGTACAAGTGGAGTGGGTGGCTGATAAGGAATCCTCATTTGCCAGATTTCGCAGAATGAAGTACGAAACGGCTAACATAGTGAAGGGCTGCTTTTGTTAACCTGGGCATTTAACACATCTATGAAATAGATTTTACATGTGCACCACAATTAGCCTATCAATTCACTATTTTATAACATGTAAGAAGTGTGCATTGCTTATTTCAAATGTTAGGGGATAAGGTTTATACTCGGACATATACATACAAATTTGGTTTCATATATTAAATAAATAATACCTACGCACTCAGCTCAGTAAAATTTAACTGACTTCCCTCTTTTTAAATTTTGTTATATGTTGCCTAATCAAGCACAAAAAGTATCCTGAGAATAAAACTCAGTTTGAGTCATTTTAATTTTCAATGATATTTTCTTGAAGAAATGAGGTAAATCTGTATCAAGGCAGACATAAAACCAAAGTTGTAAAAGTTTAAACATGTAAACTTCTACGCATGCTCACTTTAAGGCTGTCATAATTTTTAAATTGTTATGATTTACTTTCCTCCAAGGATTAAAAAACATATCAAGAAGATGCTGGTACAAAAGAATATAATTTCACAGACATACTAATAAACATTTAAAATCATTCTTGAAGGTGCTTTGTTCTAAGAACCAGCCCTCTCATGAAAAAGTGGCAGACCAAATCTATGAAAAATGATTAAACTTAGTTAGTAGTAACAGGTCTACTGATTTTAAGCCATCAAATCAAAGGCAACTTTCCAAAACGTAGGTACAGGAACATATACAGGCAAAAGCAAAATACCTAACATTTCAAAGAAAGAAACACAGGGGACAAGTCCACTGGTGAGTAATTGTGGAACAGCATGTGTTCAAAGAAAACCACCTTGTAACAACAACTATAGGTCCTAGCAACCAGTTGGGATGCTAGAACATGAATAAGGAGATACACTTAATATTCTTTAAGTTTTCTTTCCAATTTTTGTTTTACACCAAGGAGAGACTTTGGAAGATATAATGAATGCCAAGAACTATGGTTATATATCTTCTTTGTAGCTTATTCTTAATCAAAACTAAACAGGAAATCTTAAAGATAAAGCAAAAAAAGCCACCTAACTTCTTGATTGATAATTTGGGTTACATACAGAATGTCCTCTTACTGTAATAATTACTACTTTATAAATTCAAGAATATAAAGAAAATCTAAAAAGCCTGAATGTGTTTTACTGAACTCTTCAAAGAGAAACAAGAGCTCTGTATCTTAAAAAATCTTTAGTCAGTTTAGATTATACAAATTCCATTTGGAAAATTGTAAAAATAATCAGTTCATTCCTACTTCTTACTTCTAAGAATTATCAGCTGTAACTAAGGCCAAAACATACAATGGGTAATGTTAACTCAAATAATATTTTATCTACTAACACTATTGGGGAGGGAGTTTTGTTAAGACAACACCAAACAAAATCACACAGTTAGCATGAGAAGAGATTGTTTCCAGGCTGCCAACAGCAAGCGCCAACACTAATGGATACCCTGTGTTTGTATTTTAAGTGTTGACTGCTATAAAAAATGCTGAGACCCATATCTGAGTAGGTTATAGCTTCCTATGTATAGTATTTTCTTTGGCAAATACACCTAAGTGAGAAAACAAATGGAGACAGAAACGCATTCATCTGGAATTGACCTAGACCTCAGGACTTTAAAAAGGCATCAGTTAAATCAAGCCTATCAAAGCCACAGGGGGACCCTGCCTGGGTCTGCAAAAAATTGACAACAGGGGACATGGCCAGGAGATACCCGGCAGGCACACAATGTCACAGCTGGGAAGTGATAACAATTGCGCCCTGGGGAAGGCAAAGGCAATTCCCACAATAAGGGCTCCATCTAAAAGGCACAAGTCCCCCTGTGACCGTTCAGCTCCAAACTCTGGAAGGACGCTGTTAATGTGATTCTGAAGACTGTTTTAATTTTCCCACAAGGACTGACTGAAGGGAATGTTCATCTGTGAAGATAAATAAGAAAACATTCCTATCCATACCCCAAAATGCTCTTCATACCACAAGTATACATGCTTCTCTGCCGAAAAGATAAATTTTCCTTTAATAAACTTTATTTATTTATTATTTAATTTTTTTGAGAAAGAGAGAGAGAGAGCACGCAAGGGGTAGGGAGAGGGAGAAAGAATCTTAAGCAGGCTCCCTGCCTGCTTGGAGCCCGGAATGGAGCCCAACACGGGGCTCCATCTCACGACCCTGAGATCATGACCTGAGCTGAAATCAAGAGTTGGACACTTAACCAACTGAGCCACCCAGGCAACCTCAAAATCAACAATTTTTATCTATTATGTGGTGCATTCACATGATTTTTGAAACCTAAGTTGTTGGTTTTTTTTAATAATTGCCATGAAACAATCTGCCAGGTCTATTAGAAATAAAATTCAGCGTGTGTGTGGGGAGGGGGGGGATTTTTTAAAAAATTTTATTTATTTATTTTAGAGATACAGAAAGAGAGAGAGAATGAGCAGGAGGGAGGAGCAGAGGGAGATGGACAAGCAGACTCCATGCTGAGTGCAGAGCCCAATGCGGGGCTGATCCCACAATCCCAAGATCATGACGTGAGCCAAAATCAATAGTAGGATGCCCAACTGACTGAGCCATCCAGACGTCCCTTTGGGGGTGGATTTCAAAGTAAATAGCTTTGGATATTGATTCTATCCTTTTCAGAGAAAGCCTCTGAAGGAATGAAAAACACAGGACTAAACTAGTAATTATGGTAATACCCTGGGACAGAACTATGGAATTATAGGAGTATCTCACAGAGGCTGACCACAGAGTTACTCTCTTATCTGCTTCTTCTGTTTAAAAATGCATCATTTGAGGTGCCTGAGTAGTTCAATTGGTTAAGCCTCTGCCTTCGGCTCAGGTCATGATCTGAGGGTCCTGGGATCGAGCCCCACGTCGGGCTCCCTGCTCAGCGGGGAGTCTGCTTCTCCCTCTGTGCCCCCCCCCCACCTCATGCTCTCTTTCTCTCTCTCAAATGAATAAATAAAATCTTTAAATAATGCACCATTTAACAAATATCATTTTCAAGATATTCTCATAGCAAGTAATATGCATAGTGTTCTAGCATTTTTCGGGAGCTGATTTGATTAAAACGAACAGCAGAAGTGAATTATTTGATGATAAATAAAATATTCTGTCATGCATACATACATACATACTTTCTTTCTCCCTCCCTCCTTCCCTTCCTTCCGTAGTTACTGAGAAAGCAAGTACCAGCCACAGTGCTAGGCACCGCAGAGTTCAAGGTGATTTGGATGTGATTCCTGTCTTTTCAAAGAGCCCTCCCATGCTATTGAAGTGAAACCCCAAAACAGATCCTTACAAGGCACTGTGCTCAACGAGCCATGTTAGGGTTTTTGTAGACAGAATGTAGGCAGAATGGAGCCACTGAAGACTGTTAGACAGATGTTCTTACAGCCTCACAGAAGCAAGAATCTGCCTTGGTGGAAAGATACTCGGTAGCCAGGCAGACACATGAATTTGAAATCTAGGAGACGGCTGCTGGTCTGAGATACAGAAGGGAAGCCGTTCGAGTTCATGGGTCTTTAAGATAGCCAACAAGATCCCGAGAGGGTAGGAGCAGTGGACCGCCAATCAGATCATGGGAAAGCTAACTTTTAGAAAACACTAGTTAGAAGAAGAGCCCTTGGAAGAAGCAGAGAAGAAACAGAGGTACTAAGAATATCTTGAAAGGAGGGGGGTTAGCAAGAGAGAAAAGGAAAATTTTAGTATTGCTCAATATAACAATATTCCAATCAAATAGGCTGCTCTGGGAAAATGTCCAGTGGATATGACAGTAAGGAGGACAGTGGACTTCAGTGAGTTCAGTGAGAGGATGTCAGAAGCTATTCGACAAGAGTTCTTCTATGTATTCTAGATGAACAAAACAGACGAAGTCTCTGCACACACAGCCACTGTATCCCATGCTGCAGCCAGTCCCTGAGCTCTCAGCAGTCTGTGATGACCTGAGTAAAACTGACAGTAAGCACTCAGCAGCTCTTATAGTTTTTACATTTCTTATACACCCAAATGCATGATCATTTTCCTATACATTTATTTTCATTTTAATTTACAGGAGAATTGGTGCAAGACAAATTGGAAATGAACAACAAAAACCAAAAACAATGTATTCATCACCCCTAAAATAAGGTGAGAAACACTGCCTTAATGGACTACGATAGGTGGAAACATGAGTAGTGGGAACAGAGTACAGAAAACTCTGTTGGGGTGTTTGGATGGGAAAGAAAAGAACAATAGTGGCTGCTGGTCAGAGAGAGATCGTCTCATCTTGCCAGAACTAAGTTCAGTAGGGGCAGAGACATATGAATTTTCAGAAAACTAGGATGCTAGTATTTTCTTTCAGGTCCACACAATTATTTACATATTCATGCTGAGAGAAAACCATGTACAGTCATGCTGACACAGACATAACTTCTGCCCTATGAGGTAGAGAAATACAATATACCCAAATATATAGGCTAAACAGGTTTTACTTATAGGCTGTGGCTGATCAATTTCAGTCACAAGAGCAGTATATGCACTAATTGCATTCTACCATACACATTCCTTCAGGTCGTGGGTGTTAGTGTTATCAAGGGCTAAGCATTCAAGTGTTAGGCTCAGGCAGGTCATGTGTTTATCTGTCTCTTGGAAATTGGGTATTTTGTTAGAAGAGGAACTGACACTAATGAAAATATAAGTTACCATTTACTACCCACTGCCACGTACAGGTCAATTAATAGGACACAGGCCTGGAAGAAGCCAGCCATTTTCCATTTAGCTTTGCCAGATATTAGGACTAGACAGCGTCATCAAATAACACACATGCACTCAGGCAATTTATAACTTTATCGTTGGGGGTAGGGGGATAATCACTGCCTCAAAATCCTTCACAATCCACTTATCCCAGAGCCATAGACTGTTGGGTCCCGAGGTTCCTGTAAAGGTTATTACATTAACTTTCTATTACTATAAATGACGACAACAATCAATTTATAGCAAGTAGCAATCAGTTTTTTCTTCTTTGCTTCCCTGGAACATGAACTCTATCTCATGGTTAAAAACGTGTAAGCAAACGCACTCGTGAAGTTTTTCTTTTTTCAGGGGAAAAGCAAAACAAATCAGAAAACTTTATATAGTATGTGGTTCATACCTCTTGTAGCAATTTATCTAATTTGTGCTGTAATTCAAGGAAGTATCGTGAGGTGATAAGACCCTGGTGGGATTTATCCAAGCAATCTCGAGCCAGTTCAATAATCTGATGGTGAGTGAAACTAAGCACTCCGTCTGCTAGAGGAAGAACATGGTCAGGGGAGTAGCTGGTGATAATTTCCTTCAGACGTTCTTCCATCTGAGCCGTAGCCTGTTTAGAGAAGACATGCACACACAGATGAAATACGACAAAACACACATGTGGACAATTATCACATTTATCTGGCATTTTCAGAGACCTCCACAAATTATGAAATAGAATTCTCAAAACTAATGTATACATAATGTCACTACATAGTTGTCAAAACCCACAGAATGTACACCACCAGGAGTGAACCTTAAATGTTAACTATGGACTTTGGGTGATTATGATGTGTCAAGGCAGGCTCATCGATCATTAACAAATGGACCACTCTGGTGGGGGATGTTCACGGGGGGAGGGTGTGTGGGTGGGTGTGCTGGTATGTGGGGGGGGTAAGCTGGGAGGAGGCATGGTCAGGGGGTATATGGGAATTCTCGGTACTTTCAGTTCAATTTTGTTGAACCTAAAATTGCTCTAAAAAATAAAGTCTGCTTTTTAAAAAAATGTTTTATTTAAATTCAATTTAATTAACATATACTGTATTGTTAGTTTCTGAGGTAGAATTCAGTGATTCATCAGTTGCATACAACACCCAGGGCTCATTTAAAGTCTATTTTTTTTTTTTAAAGCACCAACAGCAGTCTTATTATCGCATGAAAGAAAGATTTGATGTATATAAGGAAAACTGACTATCTGAGGGTGATATTTATTTTTTTCTATCCTCTCAAATAATAAAATGGTCTATGGAAGCTTCTTCAAATAAGCCGAACGATACTGTGCATTGTTACGCTTTCGTTTTAGATCTTGGGCTCTTTCTTTCAGATGGATGCTCAAAAATATCAAGTTACGTTTTTACCTACTCAAAACTCAGGACTGTTGCTAGAATTCCACAGGGTGGGCCAAGAGTTGTTTTGTTCAGGAGGTTTTAATGTACCAGGAACATCCTTATCCTTCTCTCACAAAGCTACATCTTGAGCAAAAGGCCAAGGAGAGACTTTGTGTACATATATCAAAAATTCCCTTCCCAACTTTGATTTCATTCTCTGTGATGCCCGAGTGCCTACTCAGTACCCCCTGCGGATATTAACTGTCTTTGCAGGGGGGTGCCCTCTGCCCCTGCTTCTAAAATCCTAACCAGCACTGACTATGTAGACTCAGGACCTATTTCCCCGGTGAACAAGGGACGTGTAATTAATAGCTAAGATGGCTTTAATCAATGACATCAATGTTGGGTTCATTACAAATAATAAGTACTCTGCTCGTGATTTATGAAACCAGAGAGATTTCCTTTCGTTTTCTTGCCTAGGGCTACACAAGTAGCTGGGGAGGAACAGGAACACAATGGAAAGGTTGTCTTCTCCTGACCGTGTAGGAACACTAGGGGAAAGGCCTCGGAAACCAGGGGACGGGAAGCGTCAAAGAGCAGGTTCTTGCAGCCGGGGTGTCTGTCCACAACTCTTCAGCAAGTCCTCTCGGGCTCAGTGTGAGCTCCCTTTGCCAGTCTATTGGGGAACACTGCAACTCTACCTTCGCTTCTAAATTAATAGGGATAGACATATAATTGCTGAAGACAAAGGAAGTCACAGAAAAGAAAAAATGAGGTTTTTTGTTTTTTTTTTTTAAGAAAAAAAGACGTTCATCACATCCCACGCTACAGGCTTCTAAGGAAGAAGCAGCGCTGCTGCCTGACCATACAGCGCAGGCCCAGACCACAGGCAGAGCAGCGTGGAGGTGTAGAGGCCCCCTCGCCCTGCGGCACCTCATCACCCCCACCCTGTGGGCCGGGCCAGCAGGACTCGCTTTGGAGGCACTTGTAGCCCACAGACAGTGTGGCTAGTCCTCAGCTGTTTTAAAAAAATGCTTCGTGATTTCACCTTTCTTAGAAGCTGCGGTGCTGTTTTACACAAGTCTAACTCATTACTACTGGATTGGCCCATTCCTTCCCCTAACAAACCACCTTACAGACGCTACACCCACGTTACCTGTTCGTTTAGATGCTAGGCATCTTCAATTCAATTCATTACCTTTGGGAACCTTTCTTTGTAGACATGGTTCATCATAATTATTTCATGGTCACAGCAGGCGGGAGAACGTCCAGGACTGCAAGCAAAGCAAATTACCCTTTTAAACTTGCCTCAGTATGAAATGAAAATAAGCTTTTTATTTATAAACAATTGGTTGGATCAAAAGTACTATACAACCTTTGCAAGAAAAGTATATTAAGTAAAAACTACAAAATCAGTCATTAGTACATACATAAATACCCACAAACAGTGACACCCTGAATAGGATTCAAAAAGGAAGCTCTAGAAATGGAACGCCATGAAATAATTAGAACTACAATATAAAACGAATTCGGAAACGTTCTTAAATTGAGATTATATTCTGTAGGTAGAATGCATTTCTGTAGTTCTGGAAACCAGTTAACGAATTGCAATATAAAACAAAATAGGATCGTTACAAACAGCAACATCTAGGACACACTGAACAGTATAATTTCACACTTTTATCCTACACCTGCGCTCTGCCACGTACCGCTGAAGGGGGCTGAGAGTCTTCCAGGGCACAGGTGTCACCACTGAAATCCATTTTCTAGCCTCACAGAGACCTATTTGGGGTGCTGAGGTAAGCATTACGTACAATATGAAACAGAGGCAGGTAAGTGTTGTGTGCTTTTCTTTCTTTCAATAGTAGGTTCATATTTCTTCTTAGTGTTACCGAGTTGTGCAACTTCAGTGTGTGTTTACATTTCTGGGAGAATACAGCCTGTACTAGATATCCAAGGAACTCCTTTCATAAAACCGTAAAATGGGCGCCCATGTGGTGAAATACAATGCCCCTAAATGAATTCATAAAATTGACCTTTTATTCCCTAACTCAAAATAATGACACATCCCCGAATTACTCAATGTGGCTACATTTACTATCAGTTTATTGTACTAAATAAAAAAGGTACAAAGAGGGGGGCACCTGGCTGGCTCAGTCAGTAGAGTATGACACTCTTGGTCTTGGGGTCATGAGTTTGAGCCCCACACTGGGCGTAGAGTTTACTTTAAAAAAAAAAAAAAAAGATACAAAGGGGAAAACCCTCCTCAGTAAACTTTGATATTCAACTGAACACCTGACAAACTATTTTTACAGTAAAATCTTAAACAGGAAAGTGCACCAATTCTACAGCATCAAGATTTCATACTGCGGACTGAGGGACTGCCTTGATCATCCTGCAGAGAAGGACCTGCTACCCCCAGGGGATGGGACTGCAGAAGCCGCCAGCCATCAGTTCCTTCAAAGATGACCTCAGCTGCAGTCACCTCACCCAGGCCACGTCCTTCCTTGGGCACCGTACTCAGTGACTGAGGTAGGGATAAAAAGTAAGGGCCATTTGGCACAGAGGGATAACTCTGATGGGTCATGCCATCCTCAGAGCTTCCTGTGGAGGCGGCTGTGTGGCAGCTAGATTTCTTTCTGCCCAAGTCAGCTTGCTTGCCTTCCTTAAATGGGTATAAATCCTGAGCACTCCCTAATAAACATCCTGAACACAAATCTCTGTTTTAGAGTCTATATCCTAAAAACAAAACAAAAAAAATGAAAACAAACAAAAAACCTATAAGACAAATCTATCTCTATATATATATCTGGCCCTATTCAATGTCAAAATTTAAGGGACACAAACTCCTAACAATTTATTCATAAGCTTGGAAAAAGTAAAACTCATGAAGGGAAGAAAGAATGAAAAATATGGGCTAACTTTTATAATGTGGAATCTGAATGAAAATCTTTTTATTTTTGCTGTCCCTCCTTTTTAGGCAAGCTTACCCCTCTTCAAATAAGAACACTAAGTGTTCCCGCACCACAACTGGACTGTCTTGAAATTTCCAATGGCAAGAAGGTTTTACAGGAGGTCCCATTAGTCCATCGTGATTACTGCTACTACCCCAATTAACAAATTGAGAGAAATTAAAAGAAAAACAGTAAGATGCCTTTCAGTGGTAATTAACAATATCATGTAGAGATGGGAAAAATCACACTATATTTGGGGTAGTTCACAAATCAATTAACACAGAGATGGATTAGAGGACCAAAAGGCTTCCCTTGAAATGGTTAAAAACAGATGATCCAATTAAGTAACATTTTTCAATCAGGTCCACCTACCTCAGACTTCGGGAGCGGGGGCGCATGGGTGTGTTCCTGCATCTGTTTTCCGTGGCGATGCTTTCGGTAGTACAAAAATGTTTCGACAGGAAGTGCAATTCATCTGGTGTTGGTTGGTACGGTAACTGATGCAGCTTCTCCTGGGAGGAAGAGGAGGACTACAACAAACCACAGTGAGGTTAGGGGACCATCTGAGCAAGAAAGACTTCAAGTGAATTCGCAGTCAAAGCAGTGAACCTGGAAGACATCACCATTTTATATTGTTTCCCTTTCATGTTTTAATTACAATCATTAGTGTCTAAATGTATACCCTTGCTGTTTTCTCTGTGAGGTCAAAATGCCTTCCATATTGCATCTCATTTGTCTATAAGACCATTTCCCAAAAGATGTTTCCCCTCTTGTAGAAAACCCAGGCTCTGAAAATTGGGAGGACTCGCTCAAAGCCAAGGCAAAAAAGTGACACCTGGACAATCTGGGTTAATGAAATGACAGATTAGTTCTCAACTGAGTATGGTACCCTCGCTTGGACCACTGCTCACAATCAAACACTGTGACCTTCAGGTGAGTAACATAAAATGAATTTTATGATATGTGATCATAAATAAGGTAATGAGATCTTCCTTTACAAAGCATATTGTCCTTTGATACTTCGATATGTGCCTTAGGTAAAAAGGGGAAGAGATGAAGATACTTTTCTCACTAATGTCATTGTTTTAAAAATTGGATTTTTTTTTTCCCTTTTTTCCTTTGGCTAAGACTCTCTCTCTTTTTTTAAAGCAGCTTCAGTGGTGGTGAGTTTTTTAATTCCTTGCATATAGATTTGCTTTTTGAAAACTGTCATTTAATACTTAGAGCAAGGTAATGTGGAAAAAGTGAACAACGAAATAACACTGTTTCTAATCAATCTGAGAAATAGAACTATAAAGCAAACAGACTTTTCTTTTAGTTTTTACTGGGAGGTAAACTCTATAAGCAATTCTAACAAAAGAGATTGAGAAATTTTTGAGCAAGAGAATCATGATTAGACTAAGCATATTTGTAAAGGTAACACTCATCTGAAAATCTCAGTTTTAACAGGTTTTTTTTTTAAGCTGTCATTAGTTTAACAATAAATGCACTTCATAAACATTGAAGCATCACAATGTAGTAACACTAGAAATTAATGACTATAGCTTAAAAATACTTTCATACTTTGAAATTATAAAACACCTTATAAGTCCATACTGAGACAGAGGAATTTTTATAACATAATGAGATTGTTTTATAAGCCATAAAAATGAGAACGCTACTAGAAAGACTTATGAGATAAACCAAATCTCTATTCAGAAAGTACAAGCACAGTCTTAAACACTTTTCACTGTGAAAAAAAAACAAATAAAAGACAAACTAAGTCAACTCAAGCACTCAGGAAAAGAACAATAAAATCACTGTAAGCAGGAGAGAAGCAGTGATGATAAAAGTGAAGATAAGGAAATCAGCTAATAAAAAAACAGAATTAAGAATCTGTATATAGGTCTCCGAGGAAAATCAATGTCTACGGTTCCGTATCCAAGACTTCAAAACCCTAAAACCCCGAAGTTTATTTGTAAGTTTAGAGTAATCCCTTTTGATGGCACAACATCAGCTGAACTGATGGATAGCTATTTAAAATATGTATTCAGTCCACTTAGTGTGAATGTTGATTCAGTCTGTGGTGGAAATATTAATATATTTGATTTTGAGCTACTGTCCAGGTGCCGCCGGGCTGTTGTATATAGCACAGGGATCCTGTTACCTTTCTAAAATATGAAAATTAATTCCAAAACACACCGGGCTCTAGAGTTTCAAGTAAAGTATCATGGGCCTGTGCTGGCATGGAAATGACACAATGACACCGAGCGACTTCAGGAGGGTGAGTTCCCTCTGTGGAGGGAAGGAGCAGAAAGGGACTGGGTGGGCAGGGCTTTACTTGCATCTTTAACATTTATCAAACAAAATAACAATTTATTTTGAAAACAGTTGTAGCAAATGTAACAAAATTTTGTGGTTTTACCATATATGCAGCCACAGAAGGAAACTGCAAAAGGAATGTGCCCCAGGGTTACTGATGGGGAATACGGCAAAAGGAACGATGCAGTGGTGGTAAGAATTCTAACCTTAACACCACTCAAGAAGCGAGGAGGCAAGGAGCTCCCCTGGGAAGAGAGCCTCTTTCGTCTCAGTTGGAACAAGCAAGGTACAAATGGGAGGAGGGTTATACCCTGTCCAAGTGACAAAGAATGGGTTTCTGGCACTGGGGACAACTGTAGGCCAGCAAAATGGCCCCAGGGTCTCAAAAGATACCAAACAGGGCCCCCAGAAGGAGATGATACTGGACAATTGAGAAATCCAAGGTCAGGTTTTAGTAGAGATCAGGAACTCACTCAGTGGAGAACTTCTGAAGCCAGTGAGAGTTGCAAGACAGCAGAGGTGCAGGCCCGCCCCAAGACCGCACACCATACTGGAAAGACACCTCCACTGGCCAAAGCGTCCAGGGAGTACCACTTCGAGGAGAGCTTCAGGAATTTGTTTGGGAGTTTCCCAATAAACGGTGTCTGATTACTTTATATTTCTAGCACATTCTCTAAGTGTGGTGTCAGGTCTCATCACCCAACTGGTCTGCACATGGCTTTTGATAGTGCCATAAATCAAAGAGTAGAGTTACATGAAAAAGCTCTATAAGACTTCCCCAACACTGTTCTGAATAATGATATCATTTAGTCTCTCCAGATAACCATTTTGCAACAGACAATACTCACATGAATGCATAATTTTCTACTTGTTATTAAAGGTAGTATCATTTTATAGTCATACCTCACATATTTATCGGTATTTATATTCTTATTTCCATTCCCTCAGCAGAAAATAATCTGTTAAGAAATATGGGAGAATGTCCTCCTACTGCTGCAGTTCCTATTACTTATTTTAAAATGAAAAATTATGACCCCAATATATGGGGGAAAAGTTCCCCATAGATTAATTTTAATGGCAAAATTTGGAGTTGGAAGAAGTTGCAGAACTAAATATTTTCTGGAAGGACTGATTAACTTCCTATGACCAAATCTTCTCAATTTCGGAATATAGCATTTTTAACACTTGCCAATTTTACAGGTGCCATCTACCCAAAGGATAAAGACATGATGTTTACATTTCAGCAGAAGTAGTTCTGCAATTCAGCTAACGACACAATTACCTGTCAAACCTAAGCTGTATTTTCAAAGTGTCTGTAATTTTATGTTCTGTATGTTTACTTTTAAAAAATAACTAAAATGCATTTCTGATTGGCTAAATGACTAACAGTTAACCCACAAAATGAAAATCTGAGAGTGCCTCAGATTTAGAAAAGAAGAAAATGAGGGGCGCCTGGCTGGCTTAATCAGTGGGACATGGTGACTCTCGATTTCAGGGTCATGAGTTCGAGCTCTACATTGGGTGTAGTGATTATTTAAAAATAAAATAAAAGATAATACATATTTTAAAAAAAGAATGAAGAAAATGTAACTACTAAGCAGTTTTATGCAAATTTTGCCCCACTATGTAAAGGACGAGAACCTCAAAACACTGAGGGAAGTGAAAAGTAGCTTTTCAAATTTTCACTCATTATTTTTATCAACAACCAATAGGGAGAATAGATAACTGAACTTTTTATGTGTGGAGGACCTACACTTCACACCCTTAACAGTTCCTTGTGTCTTTTGGCACAAAGTAATTTTGAAAGTGAAAATTTTAGGGGCGTCTGGGTGGCTCAGGCATTAAGCGTCTGCCTTCGGCTCAGGTCATGATCTCAGGGTCCTGGGATCGAGCCCCGCATCGGGCTCCCTGCTCAGCGGGGAGTCTGCTTCTCCCTCTCTCACTCCCCCTGCTTGTGTTCCCTCTCTCGCTGTGTCTCTCTCTCCCTCCCTCTCTCCCCCTATCAAATAAATAAATAAAATCTTTAAAGAAGATTTTATTTTGAAGGAAAAAGTAGGAACATGAGGTCAACAATTATATGTACCACCTTCTTTAAAAAACACTTAAGAGAAAAGCTAAAAGCGATCTTACCTCCAGTCAGCAGCTGTTGGTTAGAAACACAGCAAATATGTGTGTGTGTGTGACTAAAAATGGTCTCAGGTGGCTTCTTCCTTAGACACATATGGAAGTCAAGGATGGTGATAATTCCATTGTGACAGATGGCCAGGTCATGTTTATTAATGAAAATATTTATTTTTAGAAATACCATGTAAATTCCTTAAAAAGAGCCAAGAGGCTGGAGTCTAGACCTTACTGTATTCTTAGAGAAAGGAGGGTGTTGGTCACAGCCCCTCAGTGCATTCTCTGTGTCTTACATTTCTGATAAATAAAAATGGAGAGAACAGTAGCAATTGCACGACATGGTGTGTTGCTGGGATTAAACAAAGACAGTAGTCAGGCTAATGTCTAGCACATAATAAATATTTCTACAACAACTGGTTTTTAATATTATTTGTACCAAATGAGGTCTGATTCTAGGTAACTCACTCTTTTTGAAGAGATTGGCTTTTTAAAATGGTGTATAATTTACTAGTTAGAGATGGAAGGATCTTGTACTCTCCCCCTATTTTTCTTGCAAGAGTCAAATTACTGTAATAAAACTTGATTGAAGGGCAAAGCAAGATCACAGAGCTGAAATGAACAAGAATCTGGAGACAAGAGACTTCCCCTAAAGTCTGCAGAAGAATAATGCTTAAATTTCAGAAAGTTACCCTTGTTTTTCTTTTTGGTCAATCAGTTTTAGCATTCATTTTCACACTGGAGTTACCCACGTTTTCAGCATCTAAAATCAATCAATGACCAGTGATGGTTCCGGACACAGCAGCCCAGGGTGGCTTCACTGTTTTTTAGTGACAGTTTTATCCACTGAAGCCATTCATGAGTTTGAAGGATCCTCTCCAGTGTGAGGCTTCTACGTCACTGAAATGACTCAAGACTGTCAGGACGTCTCACCAAAATTATCAAAATAAACTCACATACCACAACCAAAATGGAAGAGAGGATAGGAAAATAAATTACCTCTCCTCAATAAAATACCAGGGAGATGGTAAAAATAACCCAACAAATTTTTACAAGGCAGTATTAGAGGTGCTCCAGAAAACTCACATTATATTGCATCTGAAATTTTGGAAACACATAATATAAGGCAGTGGTAATACCAGTTAGTTTATAAACTTAATTGTAGTGTCCTTTCTTTTTTAAAAAAATTATTTATTTGAGAGAGAGAGAGAAAGTAGGGAGAGAGGTGGCAGGGGAAGGAGAGAGAAAATCTCCAGCAGACTCCCTGCTGAGTGAGGAGCTTGATGTGGGGCTTGATCTCACAATCCTGAGGTCCTGAGATCATGACATGAGCTGAAATCAAATGTTGGATGCTTAACCTACTGGGCCACCTAAGTCCCCCAATTGTAGTGTCTTTTCAATGCAAGTACTATTAAGTGACTGGATGTACGTGCTTAGCACAGCGCTGGGGCCTGTGAAAAACCACCACCACCACCACTACCATCACAAAACAATGGATGAATAACCCTACATAATAAACCACAGGCCTTCACAAAATGAAAATAGAATTGTACCAGAAGGAAATCTAAAATCATCAGGTCCACATTCCTGGCTTGTCCAAGGGCATTCGGACCATTCCATTAGGTATGTATTGAACACCTACAACAGACCTGGTCTTTCTAAATGACCTCCAGCTTCCGAAGCTCTGCAGAGACAGATATCCCACAACACCACTAATTTAAACTGAGAAAGCATCTATCTAACTTACTGAATCGTTTCCATTAGTTGCTAGGGCTCTTGTTGAAATGTTACAATTTGGGGCAAGAGCATCCTTCTTTCTCTATTCTATTTCCATGGCTTCATTTTGTCTCTTTGTCTTAACTTACTACTAAATTCTTTTAATCTCTCCTTAAAAAAATTTCTTACCTAGGAGGTACAGATTTAAGGCTTGCCATTTTTTTTTTTGAAGGAGGAAAACAAAGAAACAAAACAACAAAAACAAACAAAAAAATCCCTGCATCTGAGCCACACAAGAAAAAAAAAAACAAAACAAACCTAGGCCATCAAAGTTTAATGGCGTTTTCAGTACTGATATCACTGGTGTGGAACCAAAGCAATAAAACCAGATTGCATTCCCCCCCACGCCCCCGAACTTCACCAAATGGTATTAAAATGAAAGCTCCCAATCTCCTCCAAACTTGTGATCCTGGGACTTAATTTATGCACCATGGTTTAAAAGCTTGCTGCAAAGAGTATGTCCTTTTTACATTTGTAAGCTCATCATGTGATGAGGAACCTATGCAGAGTGACAGACGTGCAGAATTTATCTCCTTCTTCCCACCAGGAAACACCCAGAGAAAACACCTGCTGTCCCAGAGAGCCATGTGGTTGTGAGGAAGAAGACAACAGGGAGGTACTTACAGAGACTGTGGAGCTGGGCGTATTTGTCCCATAGCCAGAGGAGGGGAGAGAAGCCAAGGACCAGCGGCGTCCATCAGTCCTATTGAGAGAGGGAGATTAGCTTTGGCCAAAGCTGGAGCATGGTTACGCGGGAACTGCAGGGAAACCGAGTATTTTTACTCAAACAAATGACACAAATACGGTCAGTGAAGATGTGGAAATGTTCAGCAAGGGCCAGAGTAAACAAACATTATACAGCAGGTTGACTTTTATTTAAACCAGATCGATACACCCAAACAAGTAGAAAGTGAATGGGCTGATCCATATTATTGATCTCTCACTAACACACTTTGACAAAATGAATACCAGGGATAATTACAATGGTCAGACTCAGCAGATTCAAATGAATAAAAACAGAGAGGGAGGAGGACAACACTCGTGTCTGGGAGCTGGTAACTGAGGCCCTGGGTCTTTGGAAGCGCCTGAATTGCAGCAAGGTACAAGAGCCAGTGGGGACTTCGATTATGTCCTAAAGACTCTCCACTTATTTTCAAGGGAACTGTCCTCCTCATCACACCTAGGGAGGGGATTAGTGGGGCTCAGGGCTGGTTCAAGTCCTAAGTCGCAAAAAACTTTCACACTAAAAAAGCGACTGACGCTGTATTCAGAATCTCTAAGCGTGACTGTCTTCTGACACGACCTGGCTTTATCCGGTATTGCACACATTTGTGCACTCACAACCTTTGCCCTTGTTGTGAGTATGCAGCCCAGCTCTGGCCTGGGGCAGCATGGGCAGGAAGAAAATTCTCCACTAGTGACAGAACCTACTGCAGAGTGCAAGTGTCTGCCCCAGTCACAGAGGCAAAACTGTCAGGAGTCCTTAAAGAGAGTGATTTTTCTCTCCAAGTGGTCCAAGGGCAGCTTCCGGGGTGGATTCTGGTTATGAAGTTGGGGTCTTTACAAGGGTCTCAGATGACTGAATGAAGTAGTAGAGACAATACTGTTGCAGGGGAACATCAGAAAGCAAACTTCCTGAAACCTCTGGCATTCCAGAGTCATTAATTTATTATTTACTCTATTTTAAGTAAGACTGTGACTTCAAAATCATATACCCCTGTGAAAACAAATAGATGTGCATCTGCCATAGGGAAAAACAGGAAAAACACACATCATAAAGGCTTATACTGCATTCTTTAGATGGAGTATCCTATGTACACTTCTTGTAATTTATGACTGTACTAATTTACCAAGTGAGAGGTAAGAGGGGGCCAGATTTACCACAGACACGTTCACAGGAAGTTGAAGTCAGGGGATTCGACAGCACTAGACTTGAATTTGAGAAATGTCACAATTAGATGTAAAAAACCTGACATTTGAGACTAAATTACAGTCAAGAGAAAATATAATCACAGGCTACCATGGATGTTGCCTCCAATAAATGCAATGGTCCACAAAGACAAAATGGAGAAATTCGAGTGGACAAATCACAGAAATACTACAATGTTAAAATCTGAGTAAAATTTACCTGTCATTTCTGTGACCATGATTGGAGTACAATTGAATCAAGTTTGTTTTTTAAAAAAGAAGATAAAATATTTGTAAATATACCAGATACAAGGAATGGGAATAATTAAGTCATATGTTCTTTAAAAATATTTTTAAACAATTAAAAATGGAAAAGATTTAAGAAGAAAATAATTATAAGAACATGCTTCTAAAGATATCTATCAATTAAATGGACACAGGTTAGTCGTATTTTATTTGACTACTTACTGAAGATTTAAAAACCCATGCTGTACTTTATATTTTAAACACCTCCAATTTTTAGAAGTAAAAAGAAAAAGGTGGGGAGGGTCTGATTCTTAAAAGGATTATACAGTCCATTTAATAGCAATTATCAGAAACTAGTCTCTGGAAAGAATGCGGGCACGATTTCTCCTACCATGATTTTGTTTTGTGATTCATTAACTCTCCTTTCCCTCAGGTATCAATAAATATATTTCACATGAATGAACAATTCCAAGACATGTTCTTATTAGCTTTGAAACATAAATTACATTTGCTTACTCTGGAAAACACACAACTAAAAGATGTTTAAACAAGAATGTGCAGCCATGGACCAGAAATAATTTATGTCTCATGAAGTTCCCCAAGTTCTCTGTGTCTATTTACTCAAATGGAGCACAAAGGACCATTGCATTTTCATTACCATGACGACCGCACATCAGAAGTTACTATACATGCTACACAGGGTACTTAAGAGAGAGCACGCCCCCCCCCTTTTTTTTTTCAAGAAAGCTATCACACAAGTGCCATTTGGATCCTGCTAACAATGTTGTCTTTTCTTTGCAGAAGCTACCAATAAAATGTTATCGGAAGACAGACTACATTCTAGTCAAAGCAATAGGCTTTTTTGAAGAGTGATTTTTTTTTTTTTTTTTTTTTGGGGTGGGTGGAAATCTCTCAGTGTTAAACTAAGTGAAAAAGTAAGAAGGGAAAAACATCTGATGGGAACACGGAATACAAAAAGTTTTGCAAAAAAAATTTCAACACTACTCACAAAAATTTAGATTAATACAGTATACAACATTATCAACCTGGCTATTATAATTGTATGAGGACGATTTATTTATTTGTTTAGTTGTAACAGTCACGTGGAGTGACACGTTTTACATTCTGGTTGATACTGAAACAAGTTGAACTATGCCAGGTGCTCAACAAGTGTCTAACTCAGCAGGCAAGTCTGTTCTAGTAATTTGCTTGTGGAAATATATTCTGAGATTTACCCTGGTAAGGGACAATGAGGCCGCTAGGAAACACCCATGGCATGTAGTCAGGGCTCTGTATTTCCAACGTAAGTGAAAGCAGTATGTAATGCGTCAACTCCAACAACTTTCGGGAAGGCAGAACAATGTTATTACCTCCATCTTAAGTCAAAGAAAAAAATGTTAATTCTGTAATCGGATAGATTGTAAATCTGTATCACAGTTCTTAGGAAAGTAAAAATATGTTTTCTTGCTCCTGACAAAATTTACTCTGCTACAGTGCTCATTTTCCTCCTTTTAACTCAGTAGTAAAAAAAAATTAGCTTGATAATTTTACTCTTATGTATGTATATGTATGTATGTATATGTATGTATTCCTTATGTATATGTATGTATTTCTTATGTATATGTATGTATTCCTCCTTTTAACTCAGTAGTAAAAAAAATTAGCTTGATAATTTTACTCTTATGTATGTAATTTTACTCTTATGTATGTATAGCAAATGAGTGCCATCATATTTTCCAGTCTGAAATTAAACTACTCCATTACAGGGGATGTCTAGTGGGGGAGTATTATCACTTACTGGTATAAGTAAGATGAGAAAACATTAATAAGCCTGATCTTTATCCTTTCACTCAAGAATAATTTTAAAAACAGGGCAATCTCTTCTCTGCTGGACTAAATATACAAAATAACAACATGTGAGAGTCTCAAATGATATCACTTCTTAAAGGCTCATAAATGCATACCTACTGGAAGGGAATGGAGACCCATGAGTGGTGTTTCCATGTTTCCCTGAATAAAAATCAACTTTAAAATGGAGGAGAGAGACACCAGATGTTAAATAAAAATACATCAATTTGAGTTTTTATAGCAAAAGCAGGGTTCTGTTTACTTGAATAAAAAGTTTAAAAAGATGATCACTCATGCCCCAATCTAAATTAATATTTTTTGAAGAGTGTGGAGGGAGTTCCATCTGGAAATTCATGCAAAATGAACTACAGGTCTCCTGTGATAATCTTCTGTCATGGCTTATGGTTTATTCGTCAAAAATTAACATGCCTGGGGGTTGTGTATTTTTTTTTAAATTGCAGAGAAACCAGATTCATCTATCCTCCAGTCACCCACTTAATTATCAGATTCTCTTCATTTTTATAAATCTGGCAGGATTAAGAGACTATGATTTCTGTCATGTTTAAATGCACGGTATAATGAGATTTGCATTTTTCTTATTACTTCAAGTAATTAAACACATTCTTTTAAGAGATGTGTTTTAAAGACTATGGTGGGTTCTTGTTTATCCATTTATATAAGATTTTTGTTTCCACTTAGAGTAGCACTATCATGAATTAATATTAACTGGGCCAAGGCACCTGGGTGGCTCAGTCGTTAAGTGTCTGCCTTCAGCTCAGGTCATGATCCCAGAGTCCTGGGACTGAGCCCCACATCGGGCTCCCTGCTCAGCGGGGAGCCTGCTTCTCCCTCTGCCACTCCCCCTGCTTGTGTTCCCTCTCTCGCTGTGTCTCTCTCTGTCAAATAAATAAATACAATCTTTAAAAAAAAAAAAAATTAACTGGGCCAACATAGGCTTTGTGGGACCAGTTAATTTTCACATTTTCTTGAGAGTGCTTAGAACAAGTTGCTAAAAGAAAAGAAGCTGGAACTGGGCAAAGAGTCAGGCTGGGGCTCTCAAGTTCCCTTGAGAGCCTGTCTTATGGCTCTGGTGTCCTGGCCACGATAGAGAACAGGGACCTTCCACACACAGGCATCTCCTTATGGTGGGGGATGTGTAACATTTACAAGGGAATCTTAATTACAGAGAACTTTGAAAATACTGCCAACAGGTCCCTTTCTTTGGATGTAGTAATGTAAATGCATTGCATGCTGACAAATGGCAGTGGGGGTACTGTGGGTTTTGCTGCTTTGAAACATGTGTTAAAACAGATCTATTTTTTAAAAATCTACACACGTTATCTTTATTAAGTGCCATGTTAATCCACTTCATGGTATTGTTAGGTCTCTGAGGAAAGTGAGCAAGTATGCTGGACATGTAGACCACAAACTGAATGTATCCTGAATATTCAGAGACCTGGCTGAAGGGGCGTTTTGTTTTCTGTGTGTTTTTCCCGGGCAGGAGAGGACAGGGTACGTGTGCAAGAGGGGTGATGGAGCCCAGGAAGGGGAAGCTTGGAATCAGACAGGGTGAAGTACATTAATTCCACATCTGGAACACAGAAAATGTGGCTGTGTAGACTGACTCCTTTGACTTGGAGAAGTCACAGAAGAACATCCAGAACTGACAAGATGTGATGTTACATCACATGCCTATGATCCTCCGAATTCACAACAAGACTTCTTTGTGGCTCAATGACCCAGATAGAACACATGTATCTTCGACACTTGGTACCAAATTCTAACTAAGATAGGAAGAGAAAACATAAAATATCCTATAGTCCATGCATGGCTTTATCTCAAGGGGATCACTAAATTGGTGGCTTCATGCTCTCAAGTAAAGAGGCATCCTAGAGTATTTATACCCTGTCATCCCAAGTAAGGTTATTTAAAAAAAAAATATCTCAACAACAAAAGCAGATGCACCAGGACACAGAGATGAGTCAAGTCCTTATAATGTAAGCTCAGATAGTTCCATATAAATCTGTTGAACATCAAGCATGTACAAGGCACTGCACTAGAGTTAAGAGAAAAAAAAGGAAACAATCTTTCTCGCCCTCACTGGGAGCCCACCATCTAGGGAAGGACCAAGAGAGGTATATGGAACTCTAATATGAGTCAGAAGTCACTATTAAACTGTTAAAGCGGGAGCGTTTACAACAGTTGTGCATTGGTCTAAAGCTATCTTTGGGCAGGGAGCTTTAGAGAAGGCCGTATATGATAATGCACAGGATCTCACAGGCAGAAGGCAGGGGAACAGGTAATGACAAAGAGGGGGGTTCAGGAGATGCGATCTTGACCTAACACTTTACTATTTGACTCACAGGAAGTCCTTACCTCCGTGCAAATGAGAAGTGGGCTGAGGCACTGGGGGAGAAATTTCTTGGACTATCTTGAGGGCTATTTCCTGTAAAGAGAAAGAGGGAAAAAAGAACCATAACATGATTTTGTTTTTGTAACATTATCCACATCCAAGATCATCATCTTTCTAGTAATGCGTTTCTGTACATTCTCACACAACGTCCATCTCTTCAAAAATGTTTCAGTGTTCCTTAGAGCAGGGGCAGGGGTGGGGTGCGGGGAGCGAGGGAATGGGCTAGAGTCCCACCCAGCACAGCGTTCCGAGGGTGCAAGCTATATGAATAAGCACATCCATCTATCACCAAGCAGCGGTCTCCCAGGGATTAATAACCTAAACATTTCAGTCCTATAGAATAATGTATATACAAATGTCTTGCTTCTCAGTCTTCCAGATGTTAACATCTTAAGCAACAGGATGGGCACGGAAGTCTATGCTTCACCTGGTGGTGGGGGTGGGGCTTTCTACTTTCGGGAAGTAGCCTTAGTACTTTTTGTTTACGGAAACCGAGTACATGTCAGAGTTCTCAAAAATAAATCCTCGTATTCCGGGGTCCGTGTTTTAAAAGTGGAAATGTCAGTACTAGTCATAAAATACTGGGAAGAACCCAGCCGTTTGGACCTATTTCTCCAATGACCCAGATCTACGGTCCGGGTGGCCCAGCAGGAGTAGCCCCTATCACTATTTTCTTCAACAGCCCCCCTGCTTCTGAGCCTCTAGGCTGTGCCTGGCCAGGCAGGCTTTCAAAGCCACCACCCCACAAAGGCTTTTTCCTCAGAGGGTGTTTCCCTCCCATCCTGCCGAGGCGGGCGAGCACAGACCACTGGCTGTAAGGAGAGTAGCTCCTTGGGGGCTTGTTACTTCCTCCATCAGAACACTCAACCTGCTGCTGATCATTGAGAACGCGTGGCAGGCAGCTGGTGAGGGGCAGCTCAGGACACCCCAGACCACCCGGCTTCCCTCCGTATGCTTAATTAGATTGGCAGAATTATCTGAGGACCAGAGAGAACTGTAGCTGGTTTAAAGAAGGTGAGGAAAGGCTGCAAACTCGTCTTGTACGTTCTTGAAACGTGGAAAATAAATCAGGAAGATACGTTTAATCCCTCCCAGCCAGCCAGTTCCCACATTACAGATTTCAGAACGGCAGTGACAACTGTGGATAGGTGTGAGGAATATAAGATTGCACGTGCAAGTCAGTACCTAGCTGCAAACAATGTGTTACCTGTGTGCAAAAAGAAGGGGATAAGGTTAGTGTTACCTTGAGGACTTCTGGACTGGTTACATCTCTACTGAAAGTTTCAATTAACAGAGGGTTGCAAATTTTATAGTGATGTCTTCAACAGATGCCATTAACTTTATGACAGCACAATTAAAGCCATTTGACTAGAAAGCACTGAAAAGCCTATTTCTTTATGGACAGAGAATCTAGAAGCATTTTTCCCTCTGCTGCAATGAAATTTATCATGTCTCTGCATCTGTTGTTCCTTGGGCCCCTGGAGAAATGGATTCTGCTTTTGCCATCTAGTAATCCAGGACTCTTTTTTTTGTCCATTTATCTACAGAACTAAATTAAGTTCCTCAACTTTTCCCATTCATTCCCCCCACCCTGCCTCTTTCCAACTTAGCTTATGTATCACTGTTCATAGCCTTGAAAGATCTTGAAAAATTCAAGATAGCTAAAGATTTTTGTTTCTGAAAGGGAAATGAATCCAATGTCAGAAATTTTAGTGTAGATTTTGTTTATTTGGAAAAAAGTGTTCACTTTGCCCACATTCCATATAGAGCAAACTACCAGTAAGTTATTAGGAAAAACAGAACAATTGATTGCTGGAAGCCAAGGTATGATCAGTTTAACAATCCCAGCTACCCAATTCATTGAGAATAAATAATAGGATCCAAGAAACTTGGCACCAAATTCTTAGCTCCATGTTCTCTGTAAGATGAACACTATATCTAGAGATTATAATGAGATCAGCTAGAACTAGAGAGAGCTTACTAAGTATTCTTAAGACTCTAAAGAAGGGAGAAACAAGGAGTTAACTTAAAACCCTTTTCACTTTTAGAGATTATAATGATTTGTCCCCAGGAAGTCATGTAACATCTTATAATACATGGCAACTGATCACTTTGAGGATGAACGGGCTGAGACAAAGATACATAGAGGTAGGTTAATTTAACTCTGCTCTTAATGAAAAAAAAAAAAAAATCAAGGCTACCATTAACCATTTCTAATCTTTGGGTTTTGTCTTTCCATTTTATGCTGCCTTTCTAAGCCCATCAATTAAAAATGTTCCTCATTGTCTTCTCATCTACTCCTACATTGCTATTAAATCAAACATAAATTCCCACATTTTTAACTTCAAAACTACAGAGCCATCTGCATAATCTTGCTACTAACAGCTCTTCCTGTTTCATGGCAGATCTAGAGCTAGGTTTAAATGCCAATGTGTGTACACATGCACACCCCCCTGCCCCGCCACACTATCACAAAGGCTCTTAAATGTAGTGGGGTATTAGAGAAAATGATGGTGGCCTGTACTTGAATACCTGATAATTCATTAAAGACAAGAGATTACAGCTTAATTTGAGGACAGTTCAGCAAGCTCAAGAGAAGAAATGGAAGAACCTCAGGAAGGGGACAGAAACAACCCAAACACAGTAGGGTGATAGAGTAGAGATAGACATTCTGGCAGTAGGGGATTCAGACTGGTATGGCCAATGAGCTGTGAACTATGTTTATTGGTATTAACCAGGGGAGGGCCTTAAGAGACATCAGCAGGCAAGAGAGTGATGATAGAGATTTTAACCTGGCATGAATGTGTTGGGTGGACAGATGAGTGGCCAAAGAAGGGAGGTTTAGGAGCTTAGATTAGGACTTGAGAGGCCAATAGAAAGAATATTTTGGTGAACAAACCAAGCATAATTAGTGAGCACTAGAAATGAAGTGATGAAAATATTACGGATCACAAGTGACCAATATTTCCAATGTGGGTCGATTGTGGGTGACTGACTACCCATTGTGGGAGAATGATTGCCTGTTGATAGGGAATTCTGGGAGAGAAGTGGCATGGTTGTGATAGATGAAAAGGGTGGATGAGTATTCTGCAGATTTTTGTGTTATCACAGAATATTCCTCCATTTTCCTTAGGGAGAAGTAATAAGATTAGGAGATTAGATAGGTGGGAGTTAATCTTTGTTTCTGTTTTTACTGTGTTTTGTTTTTAGAGAAGTGGGGCAGAGTGAGAGACAGAATCTTAAGCAGGCTCCACGCCCAGTGCCAGCCTGACTCCGGGCTTGATCCCAGGACCCTTGAGATCATGACCTGAGCTGAAATCAGGAGTCGTACGCTTAACCGCCTGAGACACCCAGGCGCCCCTGGAGTCAATCTTTGAAGTCTGTGTTCTTATTTGAAATAAAAATCGATTGCTATGTTACCTACCCCGTCTCTGAAGCCTTAGGGACACTCTTTGGTTATACAGTGATGAAAATACCACTCATTTAGAACAGACTAAATCAAAAAGCACATCTTATATATGTATTCTTAAGAAATGAGGACCAGGCTGCTGTGGACATGCCCAGCGAGTCTCCAGGATGAGGAAGCAAGACGGATTGAAACCAGAGTCCTCTACATGACCTTCACTCCTCACAGCACTGCTCTCTGAATTCATCTACCCATCTGCAAAGCAATACCTGAGAGACTCTCAAATGAAAACTGGTGCCAGTTAATTCTCTGCCCATATGTGCAGCACTTGCTTATAACTCAAATCCTGCCGCTCCCAGGGATTTGCTGGCTCTTGGATGTTGGGGGGCTAGGACACTTCCTAGAACGCCGTTATCGCCGCTGATGTTTTTGACCTGGTAAAGTAATCCTTAGTAGTGGTCAGGCATTTGGTAGGTAATTAACTCTAGGGTCCCGGGGGGGTGGGGTCCGGGTGGGGGGGACTAGCACGGCCAATATACAAGCAATATAACAAAATGGGGCTTTACCTCACGGCTCTGCACAGGGTGCCTCATTTTCGAGGCAGTTACGGTTAAGAAAGTGATTTCCAGATTAATTAAATTGTTTGATTGCTTTGTAATTAGGTTGGGGAAGTCCTGTGTCTTTACCACAGAGAAACAAGTGGCAAATCTTTTTAAAAGGCATATGCTATACCCACTACAGATTATTAATGTGCTTTTAATAGCTGTCTGTTCACAAAATGATAGTTTCTGGTTGCCTTGATTTTCTATCAGGACTGAGGGAATCCAAGAAATAATGATAATTGCCATTTGAAACTCCTGGTGGATCAAAGAGTAAGCCCCCACTTGAATCCTTGTTGTCATTACTTGACGATCAGCTTAAATGACTTGTGGCGTTTTATGCTGTAACAATCAGTACCGAGCTTCCTATTGCTTTATAAGAGATTGTGAGCAACATATTGCCATTGCTTTAGACTTTAAGACCAAACCTGCAAGAATCAAACCCAGCATCTCCTTCCAAGATGAATTCTAGTAGATAAGACGGACATGAGAACAGTTATACAGGAACCTCAGGCTGAGTGAATTTGCAAAGGCAGTAGTCCCCAATGCCTGAGAACTTTGACTCTATCCTACCAGACCCAGCTAATACAAGCAAAGTTAAAAATCTTCCTTTCACCTGGACAGCTGTCTCAGCAACTGGCTCCTCTCCAGATACAATTGTGGAATATTAATTAAAGCTGGGCAGCTGTTTAGACTCTAAGTGGACAAGGAGAAACCTTGATTGGCCTTCTGTGGAATTGTCTCTGTCTATGCATTCTGTAAAGAATAGAAGTAGACTCACCTGCCTGGGTTTTCAAGTAAATAGAAGATTACAGACAATGAACCAAAGTTTTCATAAAATGTAGGCTCTCTGAACCTGTTTTGTTTTCCCTGTCCCTCATTGCTTACTGATCCTTCAGCAGCCAGGACCACTACTATCATCTGATCTATTCATTCAACAAATACTTACCAATCCCCTACTACGCAGAGGACAATAATAAGATTTGATTTACATTTTAGAAAGATCCCTCTGGTGTTCTGTGACCGAT